CCCATGCCGCCTGTTTCTAGACCTTTGAGAGGTCTCGGCCAGCCAATCGGTCCCCACATGTCGCTCCGGTCAACCGCGAGATGTGGGGTCATTATTGGCACGCCTAGCTGCCTTGCTGCCCTACATGCTATGGGGATTCTCGAGAACGCGGTGACGGCCATTACGACCGCGTGAGCGACATTCGAAGCGCATGCGCATATGCGCGTGTGTGGGCACGGGCTGCGCGGGTTTAGGAAGTGCACCGGCTGACGAGCCCAATGGTGTGTACATACTTTGGTAAGTCGACGATGTCCGCAAGGATGCGCCATCTTCCGGGTTAGCGCGGACCCTTTTTTATTTTTCTAACCCATTACCACCTCTCCTTCGCCCAACGACGTACTGTATAGTCCACACCGCCATATGCTATCAAGCGGCCCCCGTGCGTTTTGCGTGGTGCGTGGTTCGGGTGTTCAGCTGATTTAGCGCCAGACACGTACGTCTTAGTTTCTGCCTCGTCGCAAAACCACGTCTAGACTATTCTGCCTCTACTCCCCGCTCACACCGCATACATAGGTGTAGCCTCGATGAGGCTTGAGCTCGTGCTCGGGCTCCGACAGCGGACTTCTGGCACTAGACCACCCGCGGCTAACCGCCGCAGCTTGGGCGGCGTTACTCGGACCTGCTCCACAAACGCCACGTGCCGCCATTACCTAGTCACCGTCGTCGTTGCCAACGCCGTGGCCGCTGTATTGCCGCCGCCAGCGCCATGAAGGACAGCTCATCTCTTGGAGGAACAGTCCCTCGTTGAAGGCGTTTTTAGACTTTTCCATCGCGCTTCTAGCTCCGGACGAATCGCAGGCGGCTTATTCCCGCTGGCGTTCCCCGCCGCCGGCGCATAATCGCGTCATTTTCCTCCTGCTGATGACCTCTCTTTCTCTTTCTTTCTTTGGACGGAATGTATGGTACAAGCGCTCCTGCCGACGGAACGTACCATTTTTCTGGTCCAAACCGCGCGCTTCTTCATCAGCGGCGCGAGCTCGCCAGCGAAGCTAGCTTATGGGCGCTGAACGAGCCACCGGCCTCTTCCAGGACGGCCCGCGTGGGGATGCCTGTGGCGTTGACTACAGACGACGAAGGAGCGGGTGGCAGGCAGGTGATGACAGCGCCATCACTTCTCTCTTTAGCTGGCTTGCTATTCTTGTCTCTCTCTCTCGGTTCGTTCTTCATTTTTCCGCGCTTGCAATGCTTGTGCATTGTACGATTCTCTCCCCGGACATTGCTCGGGGAGGCGGGGTGGAGGGGGCGGATGGGGGGGCGGGAGACGAGGTAGGTAGGTAGGTGGCAACAACAAACATCAGCTACCACAACCACGTCAACAGCGACAGATGATGGGGTTATCCTGACATCTACCCATATTATTGTTCTGGAACCTTTTTTTTCTTTTCCCCCCTCCCTACAGGCTGCTGCTGCTTCGCCACACTCGACTTTTTTTTTTTTGCCGCCGCCGCCTCCGTCGTTCCTTTTGTTCCCCACTATCTCCCTCATCCTTCCCCTTCCCTGTCTCCTCTCGCTTGCTCGCTTGCTCTTCACGCATGAGGCGGACGTCATACATTCCGCATCCTAGACCGAAAAGGGCTCGCCACGGCGTTTTTTTTTTTTCTTCCTTCATCGGCGAAACCCCTGTCGGCAGAATCGACGTATGCATGGACGAGGATATCGTGTTCCACGGGCATGGATTGGGCCCCGCTTTGGGCTGGGGAAGAGAGGGGAGGGGTATGGGTATGGGTATGGGTATGCATGGTGCCGGGACTGGCTGGAGAGAAAGAAGAAGGGGAAGAAGGGAAAAAAAAACACCGCAAAAGTTCTGGACCGCAAATCATCGAGAATGGGCATGGAGATGTGGATGTGTGGCTGTGTGGCTGATGGGGTCCCTTACGCGTCCAGCGATGGGATTGGGAAAGGAGAGGCGAGGAAAGATCCACGGGGCGTGTGTATGTGTGTGTGTACGTGTGTACGTAGTATGTGTGGGCCCCACCCTCCCCTCCCCCGGTCCGATCGAGATGGGAGATGCCTTGTTAGCGATGGTGATGGTAGCCATGGATGCTGGAGAAAAAAAAAACCCATTTGTGGGCTGAGCGCGCGCGCGCGCGCTTTGTGGGTGCGTGTGGCGTTCAGCTGCTGTCCCTGCTGCTGCAAGGGCAAGCGGGGGAAGAGGGGGGGGGGGGCCAGCCGGCGGGCTTTGCATCTTGGGCTGCGATCGGGAAGGGAGAGGTGAGGGGTTGTCCCCGGTTGGGTTCTTGTTCGGGGAGGGGGGGCCAGTCCAGGCCAGCTCCAACCAGCCAACCAACCAACCAACCAGGGTGGTGGTAGTGATGTGTGATGTGTTGTACACACACTTTGTGGGGTTGGTCCAGGGAACAGGACGGCCGTCGTAGCAGCTGGCACCTAAGTGGCGGAAGTATAGAGCAGCGCGGTCTGAGGGCAGGTGTAGCGACACGGCCTTTTCCTCGTTTGGTCGCCGTGGGTGTTTTGCATGTGGGCCATCATACCTGCAAGGGTAGGAGCAAGGTTTGGGAGGGGAGATGTGGCGGCGGCGGCGGCGGCGACAGCGGCGTTTCGTCGATTTGGGGCTTGCGCGCGCGCGTTTGAGGTGTCGACAGTTAGTTGGACATGGGGGTCTAGACCTTGCGCCTTGTTCGTTCGGTCTTGGGAGGGAGGGAGGGAGGGGGAGGGCTAAGCACTGCCCTTTGCTCGTTACGCTTTCTTGGCTTTGAGGCGGGCGGGAGTACCCACCCTTGTGGGAAAGGGAACAGTGAGGGGACGAGGGAGGAGGGCGGAAGCGGTGGAATCCTTGTCCTCCTCCTCCTCCTCTCTCGCCAAGTCCGCCGCTTGGATGTCTCGCGGCAGCAGCTCCGCGATTGAAGGTGTGGAGTGCGGTACGACGTATCCGTACAGTAGACAGTATGAGGACGGCACGGAGCCTTTTCGGCTACGAAAATCACACCTTCAGACCATTCTCGTCGTCGGTGGAGTGTGAGGCTGTCGAGGGCTGATGAAACACGCTGTTGTGTTTTTTTTTGTTTTTGTTTTCTTTTCGACTCTTCGAGCGTCTCACGATAATTCCCCGTCACCAAGTACCGGGCAAGGCGTACGCGCGATTGTCTGGAAAAACATGTCCGTGATGATTGTAGTGGACGACGGTGAAAAAGCACGGGTCCATCCCGGGGTGGCGTGGTGGTGGTCATGGCACGGGTGGGCAATCATGGTGTCTCTCTCGGCGAAATGCACGTGCGGTGTGGCACTTTATCTTATTACACCGTTTTTTTCTTTCTGCCTGTGTGTTGCGGAATCCTTCAGCCTCACTTTTTAGTTTGCGGTCCCTTTCATTTACACATGGGTTTCACCATTTCTTGTTTTGCGGTATGACGTTTTTCTTTTCTTTGTGGTCATCTGGTTCGCTTGTGGCGCGAGATCCCAAGTGCTAAACTTTATTCGAAGGTCATGGGAGAGGTGTCTGTGTGCGCGCGAGGTGCGGGCGAGGGAATGCAATGGCTTTTGGAATTTCTCATTTTTTTTTCGTGGCGTCGCGCCGTTCGGTGGTGGATAGTGGGTGTTGATGGTGTCAGTGCTGATAGTCGTACGTTTCCTCTAAAGAGTCGCTTGGCCCGCGGGACACTACTGCTCCAGACTTACATGTTTGTTGCTCGATAGAGGTATTCGATTGTAATGGTGTGTGTCAAATGGCAGCACCGGCAACCCGTTACTCATTGTCATCTTTCATTCGTTTTGGTGTCTATCGTTGGCTTCCTTATCTCTTGCCCACTCTTGTCCATCGCCCCATCTTTGCAGTAGATAAGACTTGTACAAGCAAGCAAGCGTGGCCGACTCATAAGGGTAGCAGTGTCTAATTCAATCGATCGAGCTGTTCGACACCGTGTCGCTCCGCTCGCGTGATTTTATTTCCAAACCTTCCAATGCGTAAAGTATCCTACTAAATCATGTAAAATACTCATACTACTACGTTCACCCGTTATTCTTGGATTGAATGGTGCAAAGCAAATGCTACTCGATGTCGTTTTAAAAGCGTTGTTCGCGAGTCAGAAACAACGTTAAACTATTTCCCTAAATTTTAGCGTTTGGCGATCTACGGGTAGTACTACTTATTTTTTCAAGTGACATTTTACTGACTGCACCCGTCTTTTCTAAGCAAAGTTTCTCAAGTGAGATGCTTCAGTAACATTATGCCGGCGGTTGAAGATGATGATGGTTGCATGCTTGTGTCATTTTTCAATTTCGCTCTACGTCCGGGGCATCCTCTACCTACTTAAAAATCGTCGATGGTAGGCTGTGACAGCTCAAGTACGCTGGAATCAACTGTGCTCTGCCACCTTATCTAATAAAGTTCCAAACGCAACAGAATTGGTCCATCTTCTTCCCCAGGACGTTGAATGTAAGTTGGCTGTCCGGTTCAAGTTCGTGCTACGTCGGAGGATGCTCCGGTCCCTGCAGCGGTAATGCGAAAAAGTGGAGCAGATAAAGTCAGCATGAATGATATAGTTGAATAATATTCAGTTGCACCAATTCGGACTTTCTACAGGAAAAAGTACGTCGTGCTGAGGCGGTTAATCTTTACGCATACTGGTGTTCATGATACAGTTTGACATGTTCAGCAGATCAGACATACCATATACTTTGGAGTGTATGTCGTGGAACTACCCACGGGCTTCATGGAAAAGCACGAAGGCATTTCACTAGCAAATGGTGAAGGAAAGGCGGTGGAATCAGAGCGGGGCGGATAATAATCCGCTGCACACTTTTCCGCGTCATTCCTCTCATACGTCACTGGCTGACGACTGCGGGGCAACCACCAACCATCGGAAAAGTGCCTTCCGCAGCTTCCCGGGATGAACTCGCAGCACGTCGTCCAACCTCTGCTCGTCTATCCCGTTATTTGAACCGCGCTGCGACGTCCGTCCGCCTCCAGTTCCTTCTCTACACTCCCTAGCCTGCACTCTTTTAACATGCTCTCAGTTATTCCTCCCTCGGTAGCCGAGGCGCCGTGTGTTGCCTCCAAGCACAGCTACGAGACGCATATGGATGCTGTCGACACAGACTCGGAACCGGAGACGGTACCGCCGGAGCCCAGAACCGTCGATGAGTTGATGCGCAGCCGGTCTCGCACAGATCCGGATCTCCCGCTCATCTCGTACCCGTCGTCCGGCATCGAGTACGTCGACTACACGCCGCGCCAACTCGACATCTTCGCGTACAGAGTGGCGCACGTCTACAAGCAATTAATACCCCAGCGAGCGAGCTCCCATGAGAAGCCGTCCGTCATCGGCCTGCTCGGGCCGTCAAACCTCGAGTACCTCGTCACCATGCTGGCCCTCACCAAGCTCGGCCACACGGTCATGTTCCAGTCGACGAGAATCTCGCAAGAGGCACATGCCTCGCTTCTGAATACGACGGGATCGCGGCACATGGTCATCGATGCCTCCTTTGCCGACATGGCCGCAGCACTCAAGCGGGACAACATTCCCGACCTGACTGTCATCCCTATCGCAGGCCCGGAGGTGTACGGCCTCCCCATCTCAGATGCGGACAACAACCTCAACACGCGGATGGACCAGCATCTCGATGTCGAAGTCGAGCAGAGCCACGTGGCGTGGATCATCCACTCGTCGGGGTCGACGGGGCTGCCCAAGCCCATCTTTCAGACACAGCGGGCGGCGCTCAAGAACTACACGACCAACATGAACATGCGCGGCTTCATCACGCTGCCGCTGTTCCACGCCCACGGCATCGGCTCACTGTTCCGCGCCGTCGATTCGCGCAAGCAGATTCACCTATACAACGCCGCCCTGCCGCTGGCTAAGCAGTATCTGACCCAAATCATCAAGCAGCACGACTTTGAGATCTTCTACGGCGTACCATACGTCTTGAACCTGCTGGCCGAGGACGACGAGGGGCTCGACCTGTTGGCGCACTTCAAGATCGTCATGTTCGGTGGCTCGTCGTGCCCGGACTCGCTGGGCGATAAGCTGACGGCCCGTGGCGTGTATCTAGTTAGCCACTACGGCTCCACCGAGACCGGCCAGCTGATGACATCTTTTCGCCCGCGCGACGACCATGGATGGGACTACCTGCGCCCGTCCGACGCTGTGAAGCCGTTTCTGCGCTTTGAGGACCGCGGCGGCGGCCTGTTTGAGTGCGTGTGTCTGCCCGGCTGGCCGTCCAAGGTCGCCACCAACCGCCCAGACGGCGCCTACGCCACCAAGGACTGCTTCACCCGCCACCCTACCCTGCCAGACGCCTGGAAGTACTATTGCCGCCTCGATGACACCCTGACCCTGAACAACGGTGAGAAGGCCAACCCGCTGCAGCTCGAAGGCGCCGCACGCGAGTGCACCCTTGTCGAAGAGGCCGTCATGTTCGGTGCTGGAAAGGCCCGTCTGGGTCTCGCCCTCGTGTTATCCGAGCATGGCGCCGCATTGTCCGAGGATCAAGTCGTCAACGCCATGTTCGAGACCATCGAGCCCGCCCATGCTACACTGCCCGCCTACGCCAAGATTGATAGGGACATGGTGCTAGTGCTGCCGCACGGCACGCAGTACCGAGTCACCGACAAGGGCACCGTCATCCGCCAGGCTTTTTACAAGCAGTTCGCCGCCGAAATCGACGCCATGTATGAGGAGAAGGCCGCCGAGGACGCGCTGGCGCTGTCGGAGCCAGAGCTCAGAGACTTCATTCGCGCCGAGGTTGCCGCCGTACTGGGATTGCAGGACCCCTCGGCCCAGCTCTCCGACGAGCAGGACTTTTTCGGCCTGGGAATGGACTCGCTGCAGACGACCAGGCTGCGGAGCGCGTTCGTAAAGAGGCTGGATCTGGGCGGCGCCCAGCTCGGACTGAACTGCGTCTTCGATCATCCGTCCGTGGCCGCCCTGGCGCGGCACTTGTACGCGCTGCGGACGGGCGAGAGCGCAGGTCAGGTCTCTAAGGAGGAGGAGATGCAAGCGCTGATCCAGCAGTACTCTACCTTCCGGGAGCATATCCCCCAACCCCGCCTGGTCGAGGGCGAGTACGTGGTAAGTGATGTTCTCCTACACCAACAACCCCCTTTCCCCTCAACTCTCCACTAACCTCTTCAACAATTAGATGGTCACCGGCGCCACTGGCTCCCTCGGCGCCCACGTGGCCGCCCAGCTCTCCCTCCTTCCCACCGTCCACCGCGTCTACTGCCTCGTCCGCCCTTCCTCCACCTCCGACCCCCTCTCCCGCATCGTCCACTCCCTCCAAACTCGACACCTCTGGGACACTCTCCCCGCCGCCTCTCGCGCCAAACTCGCCGCCCTTCCAGCCGACCTATCTTCCCCAACCCTCGGCCTCGACCCTCCCACCCTCGACGTCCTACGCACCCAACTCTCCGCTATCATCCACTGCGCCTGGGCCGTCAACTTCAACCTGCAACTCCGCAGCTTCGCCCCCGACTGCATCGCGGGCGTCGCCCACCTGCTCGACCTATGCCTGTCGGTCCGCGGCCCCGCACCCGCGGCATTCAATTTCTGCAGCTCCGTCAGCACCGTGTACAACACAGCGTCGTGGCTACAATCTGATCAGTCGCACGCGTCCCCGTCCCCGTCCCCGTCCGGCCCGGTGGTCGACACCGTGCGCATCTCGGAATCCCTCCCGCCGAGCCTGTCCTGCGCACAGCACATGGGCTACGCGCAGAGCAAGCTCGTCGCCGAGCACATCTGCCACCGCGCGGCGGCGGCGGCATCACGGCCGGGATCGTTGATGGCTCGCGTGTTGCGCGTGGGGCAGATCGTCGGGGACGAGCGGCACGGCGTGTGGAACGCGACGGAGGCGGTGCCGCTGATGCTGCGGAGCGCGGCGACGCTGGGCGCGCTGCCGAGGCTGGACGAGCGGGTGAGGTGGTTGCCGGTGGATGTGGTGGCGAGGGCGTGCGTGGAGGTCGGTTTGTCGTCGTCCGTGTCGACGACTGGCCGCGGGAATGACGTCGCGCCGGCGGAGGTGTACAACGTCGTCAATCCCGCTGCGCTGCATTGGACGAGGGAGCTGTTGCCGATGTTGAGGGATGTGGGGCTGGCGTTTGAGGAGGTGGAGGTCGGGGAGTGGCTGGAGCGGTTGAGGAGGTCGGAGAGGGATCCGGTGAGGAATCCGCCGGTGAAGTTGGAGGCGTTTTGGGAGGAGAAGTATGGTGGTGGTGGTGGTAAGAAGGCCGCTGAGAGGGGGGAGGGGGAGGAGAGGAAGACGGAGGTGGTGTGGGAGACGGATAGGGTCAGGGCGTGGTCGGAGGCGATTGCGTCGGTGGAGAAGCCCGGGAGGGAGCTGTTGGGGAAGATTGTGGGGTATTTCTTGAATGAGGCGTGGAAGGCGGATGTGTAGGAGGGCTTGATCTTGAGGTTTGTGTTTGGCGTGATGGATGGGAATCAAGGCATCTTTTTATTGTTTATGAAGCTTTGGTGTTTGAGATTTTGAATTATGCGCCTGTATCAATACGTGAGTCCCAGGAAGCGACTACTAACGTACAGCACGAATGGTAGCTCTCTGATTCAAAAGCTGAGTCCAAGCTGCAGGACAACGCGGCAGAAAGGGGTCGACAAAAGCTCTGTTGTCGTAATGTGGAGGGGCTGAGAGGTGTGGAACTATGGAGTGGTTCATCCAAGGGCCACCTGCAGGTGGACTTGGCAAGAGTTGAAAGCTAACGCAAAACTGGAAGATGGGATTGTTCGCAACAACAAGAATGCTCTCAGGTTCTACTGTAACTTTGAAGGGCATAGTCCAGAGGCAGAGGAGTTGGAAGTCCAGAACGAGCTATACGAGTCGAACGCGCCGGAGAAGCCCTCGGTATTTGGGGCTGCTCACGCATGATAGGGTACGATATCCCTGTACTGTTTATTTGTAATTCTCCGTAGTGGTGTTGTGTGGGAGAAATGGACGCGTTGTCAGGACTACCGTTCAGCTGCGCAAGCGAGCTAGACTGCGCCTGTCGCCGACAAGCACAGCCTCATCCGGCTCATGTGGTGGGGCTGCAGGTGGCTGGTTCGTGTGGACGTATGCTTCCGAGAGAAACCTGATTACCGGGGGCTTTCGTGTGCGTCGAGGACGGCGGGTCTATTGGCAATGGAGAAATGTCGGTTGGAGGCTGGTATCATTCCGCTATGTACACGAGGACAATTAAATATTATCAGGGTCACCTGGCCGCGCCGACATGGGTGATGCCGCTTTGGCTCGATGCTAGCTCCTGGCACTAGCCGCGGCGGTGAAGCCTGGGACAGTCAGCCACCCAAGGAGAAAAAAACCATGGTGTCATTTCCAGCATTGCGGCTCTATCCACTGCAGGGTCCGGCCGCTCATCTGCCGCGAATCCATTAAGTTGATCTTTCCCATACGGAGAGCGGGAAAAAAACCCCCCCTCCCAATGAACCCTCTCTCTCTGCTCTGTCCCACAGATCTTCGCACCTTGATCAACCTCCCCCAAAACCTTGTCTCCTACGCACCTCCGCCGAAACTGCCGATCCATCACCGCCGCCGCCCCGCGTTCCCAGTTTTTAAACTCCGTCGATCAACCCGATCAACGCGGACTCGCCCGCCAATCACCACCACCGCCGCCGCCGCCAATATGTGTTTCTGCAACGGCACAACCACCGAAGTCCGTAACCACATCTCTCCCTTCCCCTTTCCTTTTCCTTTTTCCCTCCCACCACCCAAACAAACAAAAAAAAAGAAAAGAAAAACAAGACTCACGCCCTCGCAGTACATGCCCCCCGCCCGCATCCCCAAACACACCCCCTACCCGCGCCCCAGGACCGCCGCGTCCCGAAAGAAGAGCTACCGACAAATCGCCTTACCCGTACCGCCGATGACCACTACCACCACCACGACAACCCTGCAGCAAGAGCGATATTCGTACGCCGCGAGCAGGTCGTTATACGACGCGCGCGGCGCCGGCGCCGGGTCCGGCCCGCGCCGCTCGTACGATCGGTATTATCGCTCCAGCGTGTCGTCGTTGCCGGTGTTGGCGTCGTCGTCGTCGACGTCGATGTCGAATGCAGCTGGTGCTGCGGCGATGTCGGAGCAGCAGTATTATGCTGTGAGGGATAGGCAGCGGAGGGATAGTTATCCGAGGCAGCATGTGCAGTTGATGGTGGAGAGGAGGCCGGTGACGGCTGGTGCGGGCGTGGGGAGCGGCGGGTGGAGGAGGGAGGAGAGGGTTGTTTATGTGTAGGTGGGGGGCGGGTGGGTGTGTTTCCTGGAGGAGGGGGAAGGGAGGTGGGATGGTTGATGTGGCGATGAGTTATGATGTTATGGTGTTATGATGTTATGATGTTATGATGTGCATGCCTTTTTAGATTGTAGCGAGTTTTTTTTTTAACGTTTATAGACACTGGCAACGGTTAACGATATAGATACGAGCCAAATGATACTTCTTGTTAGCAACTGTGTCGCGTTCTGACATGTGTACTGTATTATGGATCAATTGTGAGTCTCCGACTGTCCCTCCCGCTTCCTCTACCGCCGCACGACGCACTGCGCTCCGCTCGTCGCCGACGGCTACCGGAACGTCTCTTAACTTCACCGCTGCGGACGAGCCGAACTTCGCAAGGCCGTACGCCAAGTACTACTACGGGCCGCACAACTCGGACGTCCACGCGACGGCAACGTACAAGTATCCGCTGCTCGACCGCTTCCAAGCCGCGGACCGCAAGACCGCCTCAGCGCCGCCGCAGATTAGAGCATCAGCCTATCAGGTGCGTCGCCATCTATGTCAAAAATACTTGCACGCCTCTTTATTTTCTCCGCCTCCCACCGCTCCCACACTTTTGCACCATCTCGCGGCAAACCCCCCAGTCAACGTTCGAAATCTGCAACAATGCCACGCGTACGCAACCTGGACAAATGGCGCTCATCATCAGCACTTCGCCGTAATGATGGCCCCTGCCATCTTCTACTATCCGTGCTGCTGTCTGCATGCGCATAAGCAAGGACAAGGGAATATCCGACATGGATAGCTCCGCCGCGAGGCCAGTGGCGCGACAGTAATTGGACATGAGTCCAGGTCTTGTCAACCACGCCGGTTCGCCTTGACGCGCAGACAGTGATACTTGTTCGTGATGTCTTGGAAGAAAATGTACGACGGTGGCGCGGCCCATTTATGACGGGAGTTGTGAGCTGGGGGTCTTCTGGCGTGGGCTTCTCCGCAAGGGCCGGGGCACGCGCGTGGGCGCTGTTGGGGTTTGCGCATGTGATGCTAGCATGGGAGCACAAACTTTTTTTTTTTTTAAATTCGTCTTTTTCGGTAGAGGCTCTTGGATACGGTCAAGAATCTTGCATCAAATCTGGACGATTGGAAAGGAAAGAGTATGAGAAAATGTCACTTTGGGAAGTGGGGAGCCATCAGGTTCAAAATGTCGGAAAGGCGTGGAGAATGATGTGACTGTTCAATTTGCTGATGCGGAAGGCTGTTGAACTGCACCACTAAGTGCTTTTGATGCTGTTCATCATTATTTGGAGGAGACGTGAAGTACCACTCGGCTTCCGACGTATTCAGGTTGCTCTGGTTGTGGGATGGAGAGGAGGATGGGATTGTCCATAGCCATCGTAAACTAAAACCCCGCAGTGGACAATGATTATCAATGGCTCCCATAGTCGGCTTGTGATACTCCAATAACCCCTACTATGATAGGTGGTTGTGTTGGACACTAGAATCCCAAGTGACGACGCAGCACGGACTTATATAATTGCCTAAGACGAACCACACGAATTTAGGTCACCCTCTCTAACACGTAGCACACGTTCACGTAATGCCTGGAAATTAGAAGCTGTTCAGATGCCTCTGGCAGCGCTCTTGCTAGTCAAGGCTGAGATATCTGTCGTATATTTGAAACAGACATTCGGGCCCAGCCAAATATGCGCATTCAAAACCGATCTATCAATCTACACCCAGCACTCACACTCCACCATCCTGACCACACATCCCCACCACACCACCCAACTTACCCCTCACCCTTTTTCACACCTCCCACCACCTCTCATGCAACTCCTTCAAATCCACCTCCCCCGGCACCTTCAACCACTCCAACAAATCACTCCCCTTATCCCCCTCCTTCGCCGTCTTCCCGTTCCCCCAATACCCGAACCTCCCCCTCCCCTCCCCGTACCCCCACTCCCAATCCTCCCACCGCGGCTCCTGCCGCACGTAATTCACGTGCGCGCCGCTGCCCGGCCACACGCCGTGCACGCGGGCGCCGGGGCGGCCGCCGTTGTACCAGGACTTGCAGTTCTCGGAGAAGACGGTGCGCGGGAAGAAGGCGTCGCAGTAGGCGACGAAGTCGTCGGTGGCGGCGCGCGTGGGCGCGACGGTGGCGACGTGCTGGCGCGACGTCTTGCGGAGGAGGCGCGCGATGTACGTCGTCTGCGCTTCGGCGGCGTGCGGGATGGTGCCCGCGACGGTGCCTGAGTTGGGTCCTGCTCACCGTTGTCGTTAGCGAGAGAGGGGGGGCTGGAAAGGTGGGAAGAGAGGAAAGGGAAAGAAGGGGGGAGGGGGATGGGACATGTGCGTACCGTAGAGGAACAACAGATTCGGGAACCCCGGCACGCCCAATCCGAAATAGCTGTACGGAAACCCAAACTTCCCGTCCGGCTGCCAGTCCCTGCTGAGGTCGTACTCGCCGCTGACGATGGGGAACGGCGGCGCGAACGACACGTTCGCCCCCGTGCAGCATATCACGGCATCGACCTCCCGCACCGTCCCATCCTCCGTCTCGATGCCATTCGCCGTGAACCGCGCTATCGGCGTGCGGATGAACGACACGTTGTCTTCCGTCAGCGCCTCCAGGTAGCCTGGACCCGGTGTCAGCCGCCGGCAAGACGGGCTGAAAGCCGGCACGATTTCGTTAAGCAACTCGGGCTTCTTCGCGAGCCGCGCCGCCATCAAGGACGTGAAGTTTTCGCGCGCGTTGCGTGATTCCGGACTGTCTTTCAGGACGGCGTCGAAGCGTCGCCAGTAGGTTTCTTCGAGCGCTTTGCGGTAGGCGAGGAACTTGTGCGGGTCTTTGAATTCTTCGAGCTGGGCGGCCGAGAACGGCATTGGTTCAGCCTTCCGGTCGCGGCCGCCGAGCGAGCCGGCGATCCAGGTGGGCGAGCGCGCGTAGTGGTCGAGGTGCTTGACAATTTTTTGGAGCTCGGGGACGACTTGGATTCCTGAGGCACCGTTGCCGATGACGGCGACACGTTTGTTGCTGAGGTCGACGGTGGGGTCCCAGTTGGAGGAGTGGCGGATGAAACCTTTGTAGTCTTTGATGCCGGGGTAGTTGGGTAGCTGTAATGGAACTCAGTGAGAAGTTTGGACGTAAAGAGAGGGTGAGCTTCAGGCTTACCTTCCACGCGTTGAAGTGACCAATGGCGGGGATCAGAAAGTCAAAGAAGTCGTGCCTGACTTCATTCGTGTCGAGGTTCTCTACTGTCAACTTCCATTTGGTCCGCGAGGGGTCCCATTCGGCACGTTGGACCTTCGTCTTGAACTGGGTCTTCTCGTAAACACCGTACTTCCTTGCGATGCCTTGCCAGTAGTCCCGGATGTCCGCTCCTCTTGCAAACTCTTCAGCCCAATCACTCTTCGGCTCGAATGTGCTCTGGTAGATTGTCGAAGGCACGTCACAGCGGACGCCGGGATAAGTGTTCTCGTACCATGTACCGCCCTACAACGGTTAGAAGTGTAATGTCAACAGCGGCGGAGGAGACAGCTTTGACATACCACGTCGGAATTCTTCTCAAACAAGGTGAGATCAATGCCGGGCACCTTGGCGGGTAGCAGAGAGGCAGCAGTTACACCAGACAGACCAGTGCCGATGATGGCGACCTTGAGCTTTTTTATCTCGTCGATGGGATGCTCCTCGATCTGGAAATCGGAAACGGTGCCGTTTGGCCGCTTAAGCTTGGGATAGGGAAGAGAGGTACCGTTTTCATGCGGCGTTGATCCAGACACCTCTTCAACCGTAGCTGCGTAGGCAGATTTGGGCTCTGCAGGAAATTGAGCATCACGAGCGTCGGGCACGTAGAGTTCGGTGGCCATGGTGGCAGGTCAAACAAACTCGATTTTTTCCCGTGGGCAGGCCAGGCGGGGGACGCGGAGAAGACAGGCGCTATATACAGCACAGGAACAGGACTGGGTGGCCATAGCTCCAAGAGTGGTGCGCAGACAAGAGGCACACAATCGACAAGGCTGCGGCAGTCATGGGTGGAGTGGACGAATTACATTGAGCGCATGCTGGGTGGCCGTGGGGAAGCCGTCGCAACAGGCGGATGATGTGATCGCGGGCCCCGATGGTGCTCACTTTAGCGTGGGCGATAGGCATGTGGTAGGCCACGGCGAGTAATCCATGGCCTGAGCCGGCGGCTTCTGGATGACGAGCTGCGGACGGCGGCATGAGATTCTTCATCGCGGGGTTGGATGGCGACAGCGACTGATTAGTCGGCGTAAAGCTCGGGCGCCAGTCGCACGCCAGTCTCGTGGCTCCGTGGCATGGTCGCGCATTGTGGCTGGCGTCCAGGATACGCGACTGCGACGCGTTGCCGTGTCGCGTCAAGGCGGAGAGAAGGAAGATGAGCCGGGCGTGGTGTTGAGGGGCTCCTCCCGGTAAGGACGAAGCTTTGGGCCCAACTCTCGCTTGACGGCAGCAGCGACGCAGCGACGCAGCTCTCCGCCTGCGACGCGACTGGCTCGACACGGGCGGCTGGGCGAGGCTAGAAATACATATGAACAGGCCGGTGACTCAACAGATGGCCCAGCAATTGACATGGGCCTCCGAGGCCGGCGGCTTCCCTCGGTGGTGACGCAGCGGGGCCCACGGAGGAGCTAGGCGGCCTCAACAATCAGGTACCCCGCCTTTCCGCTGGCCGCATCTGCTCCGCCAGCCCGGGCCATGTCAATTGCCCTACGCCCATTGGCGCGCCCGCCAGTCACAGCGAGAGGGCTGATAACTTGTCCAACCCGCCCTCACCTCTCCACCTCACACCACACATCACCATGAAATCTCCCGCCGCATCAACCGCCCGTCTGGCTCTTGCCTCCGCTCGTCGATCCGGCCTCGCATCCCAGCGCCGGCCCGCAGCGCCCGTCGTAGCTTCCGCCCGGTCATGGCGGGCTCTCAGCGGACGCGCCCACATGTCGACCGTGGTCGAGGACCTGGGAAACACGCCCTCGCCTCCCCCGCCCCCGCCAGCAGCTGCCTCCGCTTCCGTCGAGGCTGAGAGAGAAGCCAATGCCCGCGAGATCCTCAAGAAAGCCGTCAATGCCACCTCTCCGCGGAACAACTGGACGAAAGAGGAAATCGCCGCCATCTACTACTCCCCGCTGATGGACCTGGCTTTCCAGGCCGTGAGTTCTGCCCCAATCAACCGACGCCGCCCCTGCTAGCGACACGCAAGCCATTGGCAGCGTCTCTCTCCGATGAAGTGACTGAGCGACGTCTGACACCCGACTGAGACACAGCATGCTGACAGCTTTCCCACGTCTAGGGCCTCGTCCACCGCCGCTTCCACAACCCCGCCGAAGTCCAGCTCTGCACCCTCATGAACATCAAGACCGGCGGCTGCACTGAAGACTGCAGCTACTGCGCCCAATCCACACGCTACCAGACGGGCGTGCAAGCCCAGCGCGTCGAGCCAGTCGAGGCGGTGCTGTCGGCCGCGCGCACCGCCAAGGCAAACGGCAGCACGCGCTTCTGCATGGGCGCCGCCTGGCGCGACATGCGCGGCCGCAAGAACTCGCTCAAGAACATCAAGACCATGGTCGAAGGCGTGCGCGGCTTGGGCATGGAGTGCTGCGTCACCCTGGGCATGATCGACGAGGCCCAGGCCAAGGAGCTGAAGGAGGCGGGGCTGACGGCTTACAACCACAACGTCGACACGAGCCGCGAGTTCTATCCCTCCGTCATCAGCACCCGCACCTACGACGAGCGCTTGCAGACGCTGTCGCATGTGCGCGACGCCGGCATCAACGTGTGCTCCGGCGGCATCCTCGGCCTCGGCGAGAAGTCAAAGGACCATATCGGCTTGCTGCACACCGTCTCGACCCTGCCTTCGCACCCGGAGAGCTTCCCGGTCAACGCGCTTGTGCCTATCAAGGGCACTCCGCTGGGCGATAAGAAGCCGCTCGAGTTTACCTCCATGCTGCGCACCATTGCCACAGCTCGCGTCATCATGCCCTCGACCATAATCCGCATCGCCGCCGGCCGCAAGACAATGAGCGAGGAGAAGCAGGCCCTATGCTTCATGGCCGGCGCCAACGCTATTTTTACTGGCGAGAAGATGCTGACTACGGAGTGCAACGGTTGGGACGAGGACAGCCAGATGTTCGGCCGCTGGGGATTGGTGCCCATGAAGAGTTTTGAGAAGAGCCCGCGGCCGGCGCCTGAGATTCAGTAGTAGCTGAAGGGAAGAGTAGAGAGGTATTTTTTTTTTCTTTAATCCGCCGCGGGAATGACGTATAAAAGACCATGGCACTGGGAAGAAGCCCGTAGAGCAAACGAAAAGAATTGATAGATTGTTTACTTGTCGCACTCTCTTCGTCTTTTTATGCAGTGCCGGAAGAGCCACCATCTACCATGATGCTAAGATGCTAATCTAAGAGGAAAATACAACAAGTTTAAGGAATTTTTCTTTCTGCTCGCACTCTATTCCTTCTTCGCTCCTCTTCCATCTACCCAACCCCGAAACAAGCCATACCCACCTCCCTTACCATCCTCCCTTCCTCTGCCTCCGTCTCACTCACTCACAACCTCGCCTTCTCCAAAACGACCCTGTCCTCCGCCACCACCACCGCCGCGCCGCCTCCCTCCCCTTCCCGCCTCCCTCCCTCCCCTCCCTCCAACTCTTTGCATCTCTCCCCCACCCACCGCCCCACGACCCCCACCAGCCCCTCCACCTCCTCCAGCGTGTTCCCCGCATGCAGACACACCCGCACCCTCTCCTGCCCCCGCGGCACCGTCGGCGCCACTATCGCGCGGACCGTGTATCCCGCGCGTTGGCAGCAAGCGGCGAGGTGGCGCGGGTGGGGCGTGAAGATGGGCAGGATGGGGGAAGGGGCGAGCGTGGTGGTGGGGAGCGGAGAGAGGGCGAGGAGGGGACGGCGGCGGCCGCCGGGGTGGTGGTGGTGGTGGTGGGATATGAGGCGCGTGAGGAGGGCGTGGAGGTGGCGGGTTAGGGTGTGGAGGTGGGTTAGGAGCTGTGTTTGTGGGGTGGTTAATTGTTTAGTATAGGAAGGAGTGGGGGAAGGTTGGGGGGGAAAGGGGACTTACTGGAGCGGTTTTGCCGGCGGTGAGGAAGGTGTAGGTTGCGAGGATGCTGGCGAGGGAGGGGTGGGAGAGGGCGGTGGTGTATATGAGGGGGCGGGCGTAGTTGATGAGGTAGGAGCGGGTGAGGGGGGTGCAGAGGATTATCGCTGTGGTGCGGTTCAAAAAAGTCAGACAGACAGACAACCCAAGAGACAAACAAAAAAAAAGAGAAAGAGAGAGAGAGAGATGAAAGCAACAACGAAACGAAACGAAACGAAACGAAACGAGAGACTGCGACTCGACTCACCACCCTGACTCCCCAACGCCTTCCCAAACGTCACCACCCGCGCAAACACCCTCCTCTCCACCCCGACCTCGCACGCCAACCCCCTCCCTTCCTCCCCAAACACGCCCGCCGCGTGCGCCTCGTCCACAACGACGTACCCGTTCCCCGCCGGCAACACCTCCTCCACCACATCCAGCATCTCCCGCAACGGCGCCACGTCCCCATCCATGCTATACACCGCCTCCACCGCCACAAACACATTCGCCTCCCCCCGCCGCACCCTCTCCCCCTCGCCGCCATCTTTTTCCCCCACAATCCCCTCCAGCACCCCCCGCAGCCCCGCCACCGAATTATGCGCAAACGCCACCCGCCGCCCCGCCGGCACCCGCGACAACCGCATCCCGTCGTGCACGCTCGCGTGGATGAATTCGTCGTACACGATGTAGTCGCCGCCACCCGCCGCACCCGCCGCGCCCGATGCCGACGAGGACGATCCGGATTGCGGCACGCAGGAGAAGAAGCCGGCGTTGGCGTCGAAACCGCTGTTGAAGAGCAGGCCGGCCGGGGCGCGGTGGTGGGCGGCGATGAGGGATTCGAGGCGGGTGGCGAGCGGGGTGTTGCCGTCGAGGAGGCGGGAGCCGCGGGAGCCGATGGGGGGAGGAGGAGGAGGAGGTGATGGTGCTAGGGCAGTGGGGGGAGTGCTGGATGTGGTGGTGGTTGTGGGGTCGGGTACTGCTTGGAGGAGGGAGAGGAAGGTGCGTCGGATTTCGGGGTGGGTGGAGAGGGAGAGGTAGTCGTTGGAGGAGAAGTCGACGGTGCCGGGGGGAGCGGTGGTGAGGCGCCGGAGGAGGGAGCGGGAGCGGCGGCGGGAGAGGAGGCGGGAGAAGGTGGTTTCGAGGCCGGTGGGAGGAGGAGGGTTTTGGTCGTTGTCGTCGGAGGAGGACATGGTTGTGTTGTTTGTGCGTGTGTGTGATTTTTTCTTTCTCTTTAATTTTTTTCTTAGAGATCCCTTCCGATGGGGTGATGGCGGGTGGTACAATGGATAGGTGGATGAATGGATGGCCCGAAAGGGAAAGTTCGTGGTGGAGGGGTTCGGCGAATTTTTTGCGGGGCAGGACGGATGGCACAGCGGCCAGGTACACGTGCGGGCGGGTCAATTCCAAGATGTTGCAGGTGTCCAGATGAATGGGACTGGGCAGGGAAGGGCAGCTATCAGGTTTGCAGGGCCATTGAGGCCGGGGTGGGCGGATTGGAGCTGTTGACAGATCAGCGCGAGATGGTTGAGGAGGGCTGAAGCTGGCGGCTTGTCGGGGCCGGCTCGGGTGGCGGTCGATTGGCGGCGTGGCGCAGGAACCCGCGGCACAATTGGAGGCGCAAATAATCGGCAACAACGTCGCGACACGAAACGCGACGCACCAGCTCAACAACCAGCGCCCCGCTGCGCCAAAGCCCAGCCTTCTCAACCCATTTCTCCGGCTGCCCGATTCTGCCGGCCGCAGATCGTGCGTCAGCGTCCATTGGCCCCGCCAAGCTCAGCTCCGCTCCGCCTGCTCCCATCCCACTGTCATGCCTGGCTTTCAGTAACGCGCCCAGTCTTCATTTGCTTGTAGCTTCACCTGATGGCGCCGCCTATCGGTGGGCTGCTCTGGCGCCACCTGCGCCCCTACCAGATCTGGGGCGCCAACACCAATGTCGGCAAGACCGTCTTCACCACCATCTTGAGTGCCGCCGCCTGGCACAACCACGGATGGCCCGACCACCATGTCACCTATCTGAAGCCTGTATCCACCGGTCCCGCTGACCAGTCTGACATACGGTAGGACCGCCTTTGCTCTGTTAAGCTTCTGCCCATCTGACATGCTATAGCCAATTCCAGCGCTTCTTTGCGAGAATGTATCCCAGCAAATACAACCGTTACTTGAACACCAAATGTTTCGTCGAGTACGATGAACCAGTCAGCCCTGATATTGCCGCCGCCCACTCGAAACAGGTTGGTTTGTCGTCCAACTCGCCTGACCATTCTTCTGACCTTTCTCAAGCCTCCCATGTCCGACTCGCAGTTGCAGTCTCTCATTCACAACTACATTTCCAGATGCTCCGACAAACCCGGCTGGCTGTTCTGCGAGACCGCTGGCGGCGTTCATTCTCCCGGCCCCTCCGGAACCTCACAGGCTGACCTCTATCGCCCGCTGAGGCTTCCGGCTATTCTTATCGGCGACTCTAACCTTGGTGGAATCTCTGCTACTGTCAGCGCATTCGAGTCTCTCCGCATCCGCGGCTACGATGTTGAAGCAGTCTTGCTCTTCAAAAACGAACAGTACCAGAATCACGAATACCTCAGCACCTACTTCCAAAAGTTCGGCATCCCTTGCATCTCCCTCAGACCACCCGCCGAGCGCGACCCCGATGAAGGTAGGGAAAAAAGACTCATGACGGCCTACTATGATGGCCACTTCCGATCCAAAGTCATCAAGCAACTCCTCAAGGACCTGGCCAAGCGTCACGACCAACGCTTCAAAAGCCTGGCTACCATGTCTACCGAAGCCTATGACACTATCTGGTACCCTTTCACCCAGCAGAAACTGTTGACCCCGCAGGATATTACCGTCATTGATTCGGCATCGGGCGACCACTTCCAGACTTTCTCCGCTGATCCACCAGCCAGACCTGCTAGTGCCAAGGGCGTCGCCGACGAGACTGCCGTTGAAGAAAGGGACGCCGAAGAAGAGTACGCCGAAGAAGAAGAATCTGCCCACACGGCCAAAATGACTCGCAGACAGAGGTTCAGAGAAGCAAGGGACGCAAGAAAGGCCCACGTAGACCTCCCCAAGCCATCCCACCTTCGTCCCTCTTTCGATGGTTCTGCTTCTTGGTGGACCCAAGGCCTTGGCCACGCGAATCCTCAGCTTACCCTCGCTGCTGCCTACGCCGCTGGCCGCTACGGGCACGTCATGTTTGCCGAAGCCGTGCACCAACCCGCTCTTCAGCTGGCCCAAACGCTCCTCAAAGGCTCCAACAATCCCCGTCTCTCGCGCGTCTTCTACTCGGACAATGGATCCACTGGCACCGAGGTTGCCGTCAAGATGGCGCTGCGGGCTGCACGGTTGCGCTATGGCTGGGGCCCCAGGGAAGATCTGAGCATTCTCGGCCTAAAGGGCAGCTACCACGGCGACACGATGGGCGCAATGGACTGCTCCGAGCCCGGCACGTACAACGAGAAGATTGAATGGTACCGCGGCAAAGGCTTCTGGTTCGACTTCCCCACCGTCAAGATGACCGACAGCACGTGGACCGTCGAGATTCCAGCCCAGCTCCGCGACCAACTCGGCGATTCGACCACCTTCGAGAGCCTTGACGACATCTTCAACGTCAAGGCACGGGACCGCACCAAACTCGGCAAGCTGTACGAAAAGTTCATCGTCGCCACGCTGAAGGGCCTACAAGCGGACGGCCGTAAGTTCGGCGCGCTGATGCTCGAGCCCGTCGTGCTCGGCGCGGGCGGCATGCTCCTCGTCGACCCGCTCTTCCAACGCACGCTCGTCAACGTCGTCCGCAGCTCACCACAACTGTTCGCCTCGCCCGGCTCCAAGCCCCAGCCAGCCCACGACCAAACCGACTGGTCCGGGCTGCCCGTCGTCTTCGACGAGGTCTTCACCGGCCTGTACCGCCTCGGCCGCTTCTCGGCCGCGTCGCTGCTCGGCGTGCACCCGGACATCAGCGTCAACGCCAAGCTCCTCACGGGCGGCCTGCTGCCGCTGGCGACGACCATGGCGAGCGAGCACATCTTCGACGCGTTCGCGAGCGACGACAAGAGCGACGCCCTGCTGCACGGCCACAGCTACACGGCGCACCCCGTCGGCTGCCAGGTCGCGGTCGAGAGCGTGAGCACGCTGAAGCGGATGGAGGACGAGGGCGCGTGGGACGCGTTCAAAGAAGGGTGGATGGTGTCGGCCGACGCCCCCGCGCTCGCGAAGAGCGCCGAGGAAAAGCCCAAGCTGCCCAACATCTGGAGCGTGTGGAGCCACGCCTTCCTCGAGGAGTTGTCCGAGTCTGAAAACGTCGAGAGCATCTGGGCCCTCGGCAGCGTGTTGGCCATCTCCTTGAAGGACGAGGCTGGCTCTGGTGAGTTTTTTTTTTGTTTTTTTGCACTTTCCCTTTCCCTTTCCTCTCCCCTCCCCTCCCCTCCCACCACCGTCTTCTACCTCCCCTGTACCCCGCCTCGCCACTCCCCCACCAAGCATCTCGTCTAACAAACCAGCAGGCTACAAATCCACCGCCGCCCGCAAACTGCAACAGGAGCTCCTCGCCGGCGCCTCTCTCCGCTCGTTCGGCCCGGACTTCATCGCCGACCCCAAGGTCTCCACCGCCCGCAACCCCGTCGACGTGTCAAACGTCCACTCGCGCGTCCTCGGGAACGTCTTGTACCTCATGGCGTCGCAGACTTCGACCCCGGCCACCATCGAGGGGATCGAGGATTGGTTGTCCGAGGCAAATGCGTTTGAGGTGTGAGAGAGAGTGAGTGAGTGAGTGTGTGAGGAGGGAGTAGGGGGAGGGAGGGAGAGGGAAAAGGGGTGCAGGGAGGGGAAATTGATGTATGTACAAAATGGGGGGTTTTGGGTTTTTTTTTAGGTGTATGATGAAATTGACGAAGTGTTGGTTGAAGAAGCACGTATGGGATGTGTATCGATTCATTGTGATGATGAAGTGCAGCATTGTTGATCGTTGCTGCGGTACATGTAGTGTTTGAAGTAGATAGTGGGGGTAGTGGTTGGTAAGTACAATGCATGATACGACGTAGAAAGGAACGAGAAGACCGGACCGCAGTCGAAGGGATCTTTTCTTCGGCCCCGCAAAAGGAAGAAGCCAGTAACTCTCGTTGTTGCTCTGCCAGTGCGTTCGATGATCGAGATCATGATCACAAAAGCAAAAAGGCGACACATAGATATATATATAGAGAGAGGGAGAGCGAGTGTGCAAATAAGAGCAACGCCACTACCCACCTGCCTGTCTGCCTGCCTGCAACTCCCTCGTGATGCGAGGTAGCAGGTGTCCGTGCGGGATGCAGTTCCGCGCGTGCTTAGCAACGTATCTTGTCTGCGAGTCTTCTTTAATTTAATGATAGGTCGCGGCGCGGCGACAGTGTATGTATGCTTGCGCAGTTGTATCATACTTTTGTTTTCCGGACTTGGACACGATATAGTTACTGTGTCCGCCCTCTCGTTCCTCTAGACCTTGACGGATTGGCAATGGAGGGGTGGTGGTGTTCGGGTGGTTTGATGTGGAGGAGGAGCGTTTATGGTTGGGGGTGATGATGGGTGTTTTGTAATGGTGATGATGGGGCGTGGGTGTGGGACGACGACGACGACGACGACGATGATGATGATGATGATGATGATGATGATGATGATGATGATGATGAGGAGGAGGAGGAGGAGGAGGAGGAGGAGGAGGAGGAGAGAGACGCCTGCTGTGCTTTGGAGCGGGTAGCAGTGGGGGTTATGCGGACGGACACCGGGGCAAGAAGCAAGTAGATCGTGATGTTAATGGATCCCTATTAGGAAGAAGTTAGACCGCTGCCTCAGATGTGTAGGCCGTAGATGTTCGCAAGCAAGGAATAAATAGGCAGGGAGAATACTTGTAACGAAGCACATGCACATTTGAAGCATCCGCGTGACAGTTGCTCACTGAGAGCGTGTTCTGGATGTGATCGGTTTCGTGCATCTGATGCAGAGGTCATTGTTAGCGCACGGGGAACGAGACGCGCAAGTTTTGGAGACCATGTTCTAAGCTTCGATTATGTGGCCAGGAAAGCTTGATCGTAGCCGTACAGCACAGCCTAATTATTCTGTGACTGAGCTGCTACCGTAAGACGATATTCTCATCTGACTGGTTCTTGCCCTTGGTGCATTCCTCTCGTCAGATAATTAGATCGAGTCTTCGAGTTTACGTGAAACAGGCAGCGCCTTCTTCAGATCATGCTTAAATTCTTCATGTGATGTCGTTGCGATGCGTCAACTGAAGCTGATGATGGTACGCAGCGCGTGTGCTTATCTTTACAGGACTCAAGAAGGGTTACGGTATGGGAGTGTGTAGAGAGACAAGAGATCTGGTCGAGTTTTAAGAAACAAAGAACAGTCGGTTCTACATAAGTTTCTTAGTCTACTAAAGACCCTCCTGGCTTGACGAAGGTTTAACACAGGTTTTCATTCAGTGGCTCTACTTATAAGCAACGCTGTGTGACTCACAAGTCTCAAGAGTCTACCGTCAGCCTCGCCGGATACGCGATGACTACCTCCAGGTTCGCAAAGAGACTGCTCACGAGCTTTCCCGGTCCAGGACACGGGCCAAGCTTGTATGTGCAAGTGAACGTGACGGACTTCTCTCATTCTTCCTCTTATTAATGGGCTACACAGCTTCCATGGATTTTTCGAATACCTAATACTGTACGCACTCGTCCTCAGTAGAGAATACGAGGTAGCGATGACTGTGTCCAGCAAAGCGCAATCGACCATCCAACACTCGTCCTCGGAGAGTGAGAAGACCATTTCCCGACATCAAAGCGGGCAGCTCTTATCTCAACATCTTCGTCCCGCGATATGTTTCTTCATTCTACCATAATGCTGATGCACAGCAAGGAAAACCTCTGTTGACAGCCAATGATCTAGAGTCGTTGTGCTTCGTCTAATTCTCATCAGCACGTACTACGTCAGTAATGTTCTGAATCTCGTATATTGACACGAACGAACACCGCAGACAGTCATGAGTCAATGTATCGACCGACTTGTACTATGGTCCATTCGAAGGTCAATGGCCGTTGTGCGGCCGGTTTCAGATGTGGTAGCCAAAGGCCTTTATCTAAACAGTCCCTGCAGGCGGGCTTCTCAACACATGACCGAGTGGAGTACTTGCAGTGATACTAGTCCTCCACATCTGCCATCCTTCTTTGTTATGTGAGTAAGCCAGTATCTCAGCATAGCAGGCATGGAAGTCTGCTTGCATCACTTTCCGACCGCGTCGGAAGAAGGGAAGTGAGAAAGGCAGGAGGAGCGTGACTAAGAAGCTCCGGAATAAAGGAGTGGAGGACTAGGGCTGAAGAGTGGTCTAGAGCATACGTATGGACAACGCTAGCCGCCGCGCGCTCGCAATCAAAATTGTTTGCTTTTACGAATCAACGCAGGACTCAGTGCCCCTCGTGCATGGATCGCGCTCCTTACACCGCTCTGCCACATGAAACCGTACCTGTCAAATGCCAGCGCATTCACGTCGCTAATCCCCGCATTTCGGAACCAAGCGGAAGTTGGCGGTATGTAAGACTCCCCGAAGGCCGAGCTTCTATCGTCGGAAGGGAAGAAAGGGGGAATATAGAGACCGAGGCCGAACCCTTCGTATCTCCAATGTTTCAGTTACGTGATTAGACGGCCTTTCTTCATCAGGAGCTGAATCGGATATCTTGACGTAGATTTGAATGTTAGGACTGTACAGACTCATATGTATACAGGATTCTACTACGCATGGAGGAGTGCCAATTCTTTCGTCACTCACTATGGGTATTGGCGTGGAGCGGTAATTCGGACGAGGTTTTTCCTATTCGCTTTCCCCTTCTCAACTCCCAGTCTCACAACACAGAAATAGTATATAGGCTCATAAGTTTGATTCTACATTCATTATCTATAGTTTTTATTCTCGGGGTTTGGCCGAGACACGCCTGTTGCCGGCGATTATCTTTCTTCGTCTGTGCATCAAAAACTCTCTCAAGTCCGACCGACCCATCCGTCTATCATGGTTTTAAAAAAGGCAAAAGAACCACCACAAATCTCGCTCGCTAGACCTTTTCCCAAGACTTCATCAAAAAGAAGAGGGGGAGATAAAGCAAAGGTCTCCCAGATCGTGAGACCATGACAAAAAAAAAATGAAGGGGAGGAAAAAAGCAGCATCCACCACCGCCGCCACAAACGAGGTCCCTTCTTTTCCCAATTACCTATAAAACAAATCACGCCCGATCCCTCGATCTATAGTCACCAAAACAGAAAAAGAAAAAGACCAATCATACGCATCCCCTTACTCCGCCCTCTTCGTCGCCTTCGTCCTCAGCTTCATCAACCCAAACACCAGCGAGTAACTGCTGATGACGAAGATCACCACGATCGCCGCGTCGCGCCAGCCGTAGTAGTACTCCTTGATGTTGATCGTGTACAGGTAGTCGGCGCCGGTCCGGTACTGGCAGACCTTGCAGCCGCTGTCGGCCGCCGGGTTGACGAGGTTCGACAGCATGCCCATCCCTTGCTGGTAGTCGGCGAGGTACTCGCCGCAGGTCTGGTTGGCGGGCGGGTCGAAGACGGCGAATTCGTGGGCGGCGCACTGCACCTTGGCTTCCCAGGTGGTGAAGGTGAGGAGGGCGCCCATGAGGTAGTTGAAGGGGTTGAGCCAGTAGATCCTGGAGGAGAGCGTGTTAGCGGGGACAACTTGGGTTGGTTGCGGGGAAGGAGGAAGGAGGAGGAGAGGAGAGGAAGAAGTGAGGGGGAAAAAGGGGGACAACTCTTACCAGTATCGCCAGAACTCCTGGATCTGGGCATACGGCACCAGCACGCCGCAAAAAGACACGAGCGTGCCGATGATGACGGGGTTGACGAGCGACGCGAAGACGGCGTTGGGCGCGTACGCGGCGATCATCTGGCCGATGCCCGTGTAGACGAACTCGTACATGAGCATGACGAAGAAGGTGCTGCCGGCGTACTGCGCCGTGTTAGGGAAGCCGCACGTGTAGTACCAGCACACGAAGTACAGCACCGCGCAGACGATCAGGTACGGGATCTCGGAGACGACGAGGCCGGTGACGAAGGGCGCCCAGTGGTACATTTTGCTCTTCTTCTCGCGCGTCTCGTAGATGTCGCGGCGGTCGATGAAGAGGGGCTGCAGCTGCGCGATGACGCCCGGGGCGACGAAGATGAAGTTGAAGACGGTGAAGAGCTTCAGCTGCAGGTCGCCGACGCTGTCGCCGATCATCCAGAACGAGAAGCCGTTGAAGAGGGCCGAGCCGACGTGCAGAGCGACCTTGTTGTTGATGTAATCGACGTTGCGGTACAGCGCCACGTTCATCCGGTGCGTCACCAGCTTGACTTGCTCCCACATGGGCGCCGCGAACTCGTGTCCGTCGTCGACCGTGCCGGGTGGCTTGGAGGCTGCCTCGGCGATCATGTCGTCGAGCTCCTGCGTCACCTTCGAGTGCTCTGGAGACTCTAGCCATACCTTGTTCCAGTCACGACCCTGGGAGAGCTGGCCGGACACCACGTCAATCATGTGCTCGGCGGGGTTGGCCTCGGGCGGACAGGGCGCGCCATAGCGGCCGAAATAATCCTTGATGGTATTGGCGTTGTCGCCGATGTCGCCGAAGTAAACCGTCTTTCCACCCTTAGCCAGGAGGAGGAGCGTGTCGAACTGCGCGAAGAGCTGAGCACTGGGCTGGTGGATGGTCACGAGTACCGCTTGGCCGACCTCTGCCAGCTTTCGTAGGAAGCGGACCGTGTTGTAAGCGGCTTGGCCGTCGAGACCAGAGGTGGGTTCGTCGAGGAAGATCAAGATGCTGGGCTTGGAGACGAGTTCAACGCCGATGGTCAGACGCTTGCGCTGTTCAACGGAAAGACCAGCACCAGGGCGGCCGATAAGGGTGTGCTCAAGGTCGTGCAATTCGAGGAGGTCGATGATGGTATCAACATAGCGAAGCTTCTCCTCCCGTGGTGTCTCACGTGATTGGCGGAGAAGGGCAGAAAACTCCAGGGCTTCCCGGACGGTGGCCAGGGATTCGTGCACATCAAGCTGTTCGACGTATCCGGCGGACCGCTGGAACGAGACGGGGAGAGGGCGGCCGTCGACCATGATGGAACCGTGGATAGTGCCGTCGGTCTTGCGTTGGGCGAGGACGTCCAGGAGAGTGGTCTTACCGGCACCCGAAGAACCCATGAGAGCGCCAAGCATACCCGGCTTCACGTAGCCTTGGACATTGTCGAGGAGTACACGGTCGCCATGGGGAGTCTTGACGGTGTAGGTCAAGTTCTTCCAGGTGAAAACGCTCGTGTTGCGGATGAGTTGGTTGTTCAGGGTGTCTTCCGAGGCGTCAGAAGCAGACTGGTTCGAGGGCTTCTCTGTAGCCTGCGTTTCCTCGTCTTGAGGCTGCAGGTGCTTGACAAGGTGCTGTTGCTCACGGGGGATGAGGAGACTGCGACCGCCCTCACCCATCTGCTTCCACTTGGTGGTGAAGAAGATGGTCAGGGCAACGAACAAGACCCACCAGGCCCAGAGGATACCAAAATTGCGCCAGACATGACTGTGGCTGTAAGAGAGGGACGAAAGATACTCATCGCCAGTCACGTTGGTCGAGCCGACCTGCGCACCGCCAACGCCAGCGCAGGCCTGACCGCCGTCACCCGTGCCGTATCCGGGCCCTCCGGGCACGATGTTGACGCCAACACAGGGAATGATCTTGTTGTGGAACTCATTCGCCAGAAGAGCCTCGAATCCATAGGAGAGAGGGTCGATCCAGAAGATCCAAACGAACCACGGGTGCATGTTGGGCTTGGCGATCATGTAGCCAGTGTACATGATGTACGCAGAAACGAGGAAGCCAGACACTTTTGAGGCAGCATCGAAGGTGGGGAAAGCAGCACCAATCAGGCGGAACAGCGCCGTCATGGTCACCGTCACCGCAAAGTTGACAACCCAGTAGGTGAAGAAGGCGGCAGCCGTCGCCTTCAGGCCAACCATGAAGTAGATGACGAGGCCGAAGTGGGTGATTTGGAAGAGTAAGACCGGTATATCGGCTGCTATCTGCGCGATACAGAAGGCGGCTGGGTGATACAGAGCGAAGGAGCGATGCTTAGCCAGAACCGGTCTGCCAGAGAACGAGTCGGTGACCTCGGACATGGCAAGCAAGGAGTTGTACAGCAGAGAAAAGAACAGAGCGCCGCCCTTGACAAAGAGGCCACCAGAGTTATCGGGAGCATTGTAGAAGAGCGAACCGGCGATAAGGGCTTGGGCGAGGGTCGAGACTTGCTTCAGGATGAATGTTGCCTTGTCACCCCACAAGATCTGGTACTGGCGGATGACACAGGCCTTTACTTGTGTGAAGAAACCGGTTGTCAACGGCGAGTTCTTGTTCACGCTCTTGTGCTTTTCCCGTTGAGTCATCTCCACAAAGTCGGCTACGTTCTGCTTGGCCTCCTCAGTCTCTGGGTAGTTGTATTCGGCAATCATCTTCGGCTTGATGGGCGAGCGGTCGTAGGCGGCAAGGACCTCGTCCGCGTTGCGGGGAAATCTGTTCTCATAGCCAGGCGCAATGCGACGCTCAGTGGGGACGGTGACACCGGTCAGGAAGTCGGCGTGGTTAGCAGAGGGGTCGCAGACAAATCCAAGCTCTTCCATAAAGGGGACGGCCTCCTTCTGCGGGCCGTAGTAGATCTGCTTTCCCTCATCGAGGATGAGGACCTTGTCGAACTGGTTGTAGATTCCGTTGCCTGCTTGGTAGAGGGTCACAATGGTTGTGAGTCCAAGAACGTCGGTCATGGCGCGCATGGCCTTGGCCCACTCAAGAGCGGTGCTGGCATCAAGACCACGTGTCGAGTTGTCCCAGCAAAAGACGCTGCCGCGAGTGGCCATGCATTCGACGATGGACACACGCTTCCGCTCCCCACCGGAAACACCACGGATAAACTCGTTGCCGACCTTCGTGTCCTCAGTGTGCGAAATGCCCATGGACTTGAGTAGGAATTCCTTGTTGAGCCGGGCGTACTCTTCGGCAGTGCTGACTCCGGGAGGCAGATGGAAAGGAACCTTCATGCGAGTGGCGAAGTCCATGGTCTGGGCGACGGTCAAGGCGGGGAAGAAGATCTCCTCTTCTGTGTTCATGACGATCTGGCCGCGGTAGGCCTCTGCTGCCTTGTGGTCCATGCTTCCGTATTTGACATCGCCGGTGATCTCGGCGTATCCAAGTCTGCGGTTTGAGAGCATGCTCAACAGCGACGTACATCCTGCACCGGGGCGGCCGAGGACAAGCAGCATCTCTCCGGGCTTGACGCAGCCGTGCGAGTTGTCGATGATGGTCTTCATAGGAACGTTCTTGTTTCCCTTGCCGAAGGGATTGTACTGCGAGAGCACGTTCTCGTTGAAGGTGGCGTCGCTGCTGACGCCCTTGACGGTGAGGTTCTGCCATGTGACTCCGAGTTTTCTTTGCTTCCCTCCGTCTGCTTCGTCACGTTGCCGGAGTCCTTGCACTTCTTGCTCCATATGCCATCTGGAATGGTCTTCCTGGCCCTTGTCCATGGACTTCTCGTCCGTACCTTCAGAGCCGAAGTGCTCACTTCTGGAATCCAAGTCGATGTCGCGCATCTGTTGTTGTCGTCGTGACTCGCCAGACAGAGTGCGGACAATCTCCTCGCCAATGCCGGCGGGGTAGGTGCCTACCGAGTGGTCCTGATGATGGACCATGTTGGGTGTGGTTGCCTTCGAAGAGGCGGGGATTAACGGTTAGAGCGAGGCAGTCGTGGTGTAAAGAGGTAGGAGGACAAAGGAGGATGTAGCTAGGCAGTAAGTTGCCTTTGACTTTCAGCTTGCTAAGCTGAGGTTGAAGGAGTTGTCACAGAAGTGGGAGACGAGGAAGAGGTTAAGGGTAATGTAGAGAAATGCCTAGTGTGGATACGGCAGCGCTTTGACTTGATACGGAGATTCCCATGGAGCCGGAAGGACCCTAGACCACGAAGCTCAGGTCGGATGAAAATGAGGCCGGCCATCAGTCCGGAGCGCCGGGACTTTCGCAATTGTTGCCAATTGAGCGAAGGGGGAGCATGGGGCAGCCAGAATGGCGGGAGCGATGATAGGCAGCACGGAAATCGGACATTTCGCGCCACGCGCACCTCCGCCCGAACAGGGGCACGTCCATGGGCTAGGCCTGGGGACAGGGATCTGGCTCGGCCGATGACATGCAAATGCTTTGCACTAATCTTCGCGGATGAGGGAAGATATCAGTCCCGGTGTGTCCGCCGCAGCACTACTGTTGAGCGGTTGCGTGTTCTTTCGTTTCGTTCCCGAGCAATCTCGAGACATGTTGGAGCCTGAACCCCAACGATGTCGGCACAGAAGATGGTAGCGGTGAACAGCCAAACTCCAGCTACCAAGCACTGAATCTGCTACTGAAGGCGCATATCCGTCCTGACCAGATGGCGGCTCTGGCTGGTGTAGCACATCATCTGTTGGCAAGATCGGTGAGATACTGAGGGGCCGCCATTGGCCGGGTGGCGGAAGCTTGTCGAGGATGCAGCTTCGGCCTCGGCCTCAGCATGGGCGGCGAGCTGACAAAATCCGGGGCCAAGACGCCGTATTAGTGGGAATGAAGGGAGCGAATGTCGATGGCGGGGGTTCGGACTTTCAGAAATGCCCGGTCAGACCCGGAAGGGTCCGCTTGCGGCCGGCGGAGATCAAGGTTTCCGCCCCGGGATCCGGCTACCGCAGGGAACTGCAGGGAACTGACGGTTAACTCAGTAGACTGGGTCCGGCAACTGCAGGCAGGGCTGACGCCAGGGCGCGATTTACGTGCGCCCAGCGCCCGCCGTAGCCTCCGCCGCTCTCTACGCGGCTGAAACAGTCCTTGGGCGGTGAGTTGCGGGCAGTCTTTAATCACCTTGATGGTCGGCTCCTTTTTTAAGTTAATTTGCGGGGACGGGACAACGGGTTACAAAAGGAATCAACCATCTCATCAAGCGAGTGGAATCCTAACTCTGGATGCATTTGCACAGTTTTAAATATTCGAGTCTCCATCCGGATATCAGCTTCAGCTCGCGAAAGAGGGCCGTTTAAACTCACATCTACGTCGGCACCCTTGGCTCAATCGCCCACACAAGTGTAGGTCACTTTCTTTCGTAACTCGCGGTGACGGCGCCTTCCAGGAAACGACGATCCAGCTCCCGGGCAGCCGTCTCGTTGTCAACCTTCAACTGCAGCCAGTGCTGCTTCGTCGCCGTCTCATCGTAGACCCAATCATTGCTTCCGTTCGGGTGCACGTAGTTGTAGCCAAACTCATTCGCGTACTCGAATAGATGGCCAAGCCCGTCACAGGCATAAAGCACGGTGAGAGGATCCCAGCTGAATCGCGAAACATTGTAGCCCGTGTACCAGCGGTACGCGGCGGCAGCCGGATCGCCAGCAGGAGCCTTCACAGTCAAAGTGGCGCCAGACGACACGTTACCGCCCAGTTCGCTACCTGCGGTGGTATGAGCAATGCACGAATGAGGCGACGGTGGCGACAGGCCCGTACCAGAGAACGTCATCTTGCCCGGCCAGTTGTTCACGACATGTGCAGTCAGCGAGCTGTTTGAGCCCTGTGCGGTTCTCGCTCAGTCCTGATCACAGACCCGGACGGAGGCCAGTCGGACATACATGGAAGTTGAATTCAAAGCCGGATGGATAGCCACCGCCCATGATGACGAGCTCTGAGACCTTTGTTTGGACGAGCTCGAGACCGGAGCTGCTAGAGTGGCCATCAGCCGTGGAGTTCAGCAGGCCCGACAGCTGGAGCAGGCGGTTAGCGGAAGCTTGGGCCTAAGGCAGGCACCCTACGTTTTCGAAGAAGCCAACGGACACGATGGTCACGCTCTCGTCTTCCTGTTCAGCCAGGACTTTCCTGTACAGCGACACTGGATCCCAGGCGCGGTCGGCATCACCCCATGGCAACGAGCCAGCCGACCAGTGGTAAGCCACTTTGCTTGCGTACTCGCCATGCTCGAAGTAGAGTTGGTCGAAGAAAGAAGCGTTGGTTAGGGGACGCACAACTCCAATGGGGATATCCGGATGGCCATAATGGGCGAGGATGGCGGAGGCGGCTAGAGCAGAGTAAGAGCTGGGATAATTGACATTGACAGCAAGCAGGTTCGCGTTGGTTGAGGTGGCGGCCAAAAGCAGGGCGGTGGTATCGTCTACGTCGGAGAACAGGTCGGTGTCGATGACCAGCTTCTTCTTGGCAGGCGTGGCGGCGGCAGCGAGCGGGAGCGAGGCCAAGGCAAGCCGCAGCAAGCACCGGAGGAAGCCAGAACGGCACATTTCGAAGAGCGGCGGAGTGGAGTCTCACACGGCCTTTGCAGCGAGTCTTATCGTCGGCGGCGTTTTTTGGAGGCTTGTGGGGTGGACGAGTCGTGCTTCCTTCCCCCGCAGCCGAGATGACATCATCGCTGCTCCCGCTCCGCCCCCTCTCCCCTCCTCCCCTCCGCTCCAAACAGCTTCCCCACTTGCACATGGCTGTGGAATCCCTGCTCCATGGCCATCTCGTCCAACATTCGGTCCCGCTCGCTTTCCAGCCTCTCAATACTGGGCGCGGAACAGTCGCCAGCTTGTGCGCCCGGAAAAGAGCTCGTATTTTGTTCAACAAGTACCTTGTCGATGCAGCTGATTCGGCCAAGTCGCAGCGGAGCCCATTTCCGCGTTCAGCCATGTTTGCGACATGTGCGGCGGCGCTCTGGGTGATTACTCACTCAACTTCCGCTGTTGCCTTATCACTTTTCTTTTTCGCAACGCTGTCACTACAAGGCCTATCTCCGCTTCCTGGTTTTCAGATATGGCCTTTTAGCCCCGCTAATTCCGAGGGCGCACTGGCTGACATGAACCTCTCAGCTGTTTAGTCAACAGCTGCCCCGCAACTATACGCATCTACAGCGTTTAGTGAACTACCTTAATTAGCGCTAACCCGCGCCTATCGCCGGTTCGAGGCCCTAGCTCGCGTATTACAGTGGGATTGGTTTCTGCGATAACGCCGCGTCGACGTCAGCCGCAGTTGTGCTACCGCAGCTTCGCCCTCTTAAATAGCCCCTCATCTGGTCCACGGAATCAGACAACCCCAACTCTGAAAACCATCCATGGAAACCATTCTGAAGCATCTGCCCAAAATGTCGCCCAGTCTCCCCAAGTCCTACAAGGCTGCTGTCATCGAAGAGGCCAATGCCAAGTTGAACATCAAGGAAGTCCCGCTCAAGCAGCCCGAGCACGGCCAGATCTTGGTCAAGGTCAAGGCCTGCGGTGTTTGTCACTCTGACGAGGCCGTGCGCTCCGGCGCTTTCGGACAGCCGTGAGTTGCTCGTTTCTCACCTGCCCATTGTTGACGCTGACATTTTCAAAGCCCTATCGTACCAGGTCACGAGGTCATTGGCAGTGTAGTTGCCCTCGGCGATGGCGAGAAGAAGTGGAAAGTTGGTGACCTTGTTGGTGAGCTGGACGCAAACCCCAACCCCGAGTCGTCACTAACCAGACGCCAGGCGGACCGTGGCATGGTGGTCACGATGGCCTCTGCAGGCAGTGCAACCGCGGTCTCTTCCAGATGTGCGACAACGAGGCAATCAACGGAGTCACTCGCGACGGCGGCTGTGAGTCTTTTGCTCTGAGCCTTTCCCCGATATTTTTCTGAATCTAACGCGCTGCAGATGCCGAGTACGTTCTCCTTCGCACTGAAGCTGCCGTCAGGATCCCTGCAGACATGGACGTTGTCCAAGCTGCACCCCTACTCTGTGCCGGTGTCACCGTCTTCAACGCCATGAGAAACATGAAGGTCACCGCTGGAGGTGTTGTCGCCATCCAGGGCCTCGGGGGGTTGGGACATTTGGCCGTTCAGTACTCCAGGAAAATGGGCTACCGCACCGTCGCTCTTTCTCGCGACGCAAGCAAGAAGGACTTCGCCATGAAGCTCGGCGCTACCGACTACGTCGACGGCAGCAAGGAAAACACGGCCGAAGCTCTGCAGAAGCTGGGCGGCGCTGACTTGATTGTCGTGACTGCCCCCAACCCCAGCATCATGGGCGACCTGGTCAAAGGCTGCGCTGCAGGCGGTACCGTCGTCATACTTGCCCCCGTCGGCGAAGTCACTGTCGACACCATCCCTATGATCCTGAAGGGAATCAGCGTCCGTGGCTGGCCTTCTGGACACGCCCTCGACGCTGAAGAAGCCATTGCCTTTGCGCAGACGCATGGCGTGGAGTGCATGGTCGAAAAGTTCCCTCTCAGCGAGGCCAACGAGGCAATGGAGCACATGTTGAGCGGGAAGGTTAGGTTCAGGGCTGTGCTCACTATGGAGTAGGAGGAGACCGGGTCGTGGAAAACGTAATGGCTGGCTATGTGTATGGAAGTAATGTAATGATGGCAATTAGGTCGCCACAGTTGACGAAACAAATTGACTCACCTGTAGTGGAATCCTATACATGAAATCCTTTGGCTGTTTTGATACTCACGGCTACGTCTTAATATCCCTCAGTTTTCTATCAAAGTCAGCGGACTTGCTTCAAATGCTCATACATGGATGATTATAGGTCAATTCCTTGCATTACCCACTGCGCCGCTAGACTCACCACAGCATATCACTGGATTTCAAAAATTTGGAAAAAAAATCATTGTCGAACTCTATTTACATGTCCTCTATTCTACCGCCTCCCCCAATCAACCCTGTCGCCATCTCATCACACGCCGTCATCCTCCTCGACTCAACCGGCTCAAGCACTCATCCTCTTCGCCGACATCTCCACCTTGCCCTCCACCTCGCGCTCCTCCCCCTTCCCGACCTTCTTCAACGTCAACCCCACCCCCAAAAACGCATACACAATCACCAACTCCATAACCAGCGCCATCCCCAACAAATACCCCACATCCCCCATCACCGGATTAAACCGCATCTCCCCGGTATACACGCTCAACGCCGTATACACGACCCTTACCAGCAAAAACGGCGTCGTGCCCCCCACCGCCACCAGCAGCCTCTTCTCCCCCGGCTCCGCACACGCCACATCCTTCCACACCACGGCCGCGATCCCCACAATCGCCACAAACGACGCGACGAACAGCCCCACCGCCCCCTTGGTCAACCCGCTCACCTGCACCCTTCCCCCCGCCCCAACATTCCCCGCCGCCTCCACGCCCCCCGCCACCGCCAGCGCCAACCCCGCCGCATTCAGCACCTGCACCATCCGCACGTGCCGCGGCGTGATCGTCACCGCCGTCTCCGGCCTTGTTTTATTGATGCTGCCAGCCACGCGCGACAGCAACCCCAGCGACACGAGCTCCAGCGGCGACAAAGCGATCCCCAGCAGCACCCACTCGCCGATGTAGAGCGACGCGTCGGACGGGTGCGCGATGGTGCTGAGCTGGAAGGCGGCGGCGAGGAGCCGCGCGAGCGAGAAGGTGAGGAGGAAGCGCCAGCCGGAGGAGCGGCGGAGGCCGTGGCGGGCGGTGAGGAGGAGGGAGAGGAGGAGGGCGGGGGTGTAGAGGGCGATGAGGGCGATGGAGATGTTGTTGCGGGTGGTGAGGTGGGGCATTGTGGGGTGGTTTGTTTGGTTTGGTTGGTTGTTTGTTTGGTGTTTTGGGGGCCGGCGGCGCTGGGTGGCGCCGGGTTGATTGCAGGGGGTTGGTTGGTGTGCTCGGTGGTGGAAAGTGGTTTGGAGAGGCGGCTGCTCTTCGGAGAGGGAGGGAATAATGCTCGATGAGGGAGCTTGGAGTGTGGATTGATGCCCAGAAGTGTTGGTGGAGCTTGGCAGGTTGCAGTGGGCTACACCCTTGGCGGCGCGGCGTGTGTCATTATATAGACATGATGGTTGAAGGGAATCGATGTGACTGTGGAAGCGGTTGTCCAGTCTGCCACTGGGAAGGAAAGGGCGGTCGGCGTCGCGGTGGTGGGTTTGCTCATGCTGCGCCTCGTGGGAGGTGGTTAATGGAATGCAGGAGAGCTTCGCGAAGGCCGAGAACTCGCGCTGGTGGACGGATGCGGTTAGCTGTGCGAAGGCGGATTTCCTGTCTGGGCGCTAGCGCTGTCCTGTCAGCACCTGTCTGGGGGGCGGTGCGTTCCGTGTCTATATCAACCGCAAGCCTACCACCGGACAATGGCGCCGTCAGAACCTTCTCCAGGCGCTTGTCAGACCTAGATCTTCTCGCTACCACAACTCCTCTCGGGCGCCATCACCACCTCTATTACTTACCACCTACCAACAACGACCAATACCCAAACTCTGACAAAAAAAAACAACAACAACAATATGCACCCCCGCGACATCCTCGCCATCCTCGTCCTAACCTTCTACGCCCCCACCCTCCTCGCCTCCCTCTTCCTCCTCCGCCGCCACGGCTTCCGCCAATCCTGGGAATCCTGGTTCGTCCTCACCACCTTCGCCCTCACCCGCCTCCTCTGGGGCGCCCTCCAGCTCGCCGGCTCCGCGCACCCAGCCACATCCCGGGCCGGCTACCGCCTCGCCGCCGCGACGCTCGCCGTCGACGGCCTCAGCCCGCTGCTGCTCTGCGCGCTGGGCCTGCTGCGGCGGCTGCGGGAGGGGGTGGTGGCGGGGCGGCTGCGGGCGGGGAGGAAGTTGGTCACGAAAGGAGTGGTCGGGGCGGTGCTGGTGCCGCGCGTCAGGCTGTGGGTGCTGGAGGCGCTGGTGACGGCCGCGTTCGTGTGCGCCAGCGTCGCGTATCGCGGGCTGAGTGAGGAAGAAGCGCTCGTCGGCCCGCAGCGGCACGGCGGGACGGCGCGCGCCGCCGCGGTTTTGTACGTCGTTGCGTTTGTGGGGATCGCGGTGGGGGCGGCGGCGCTGGTGGGGGTGAGGGGGGAGGTGGAGAGGGGGGAGCGTAAGGCGCTGGTGGCGCTGGGGGGGTCGCTGCCGTTGCTGGGGGTGCGGGTGTTGTATTTGGTGCTGGATATTTTGGCGGAGGAGCGGGCGTTTAGCGCGATTACGGGGAGTGTAGGGGTTTTTGCGGGGATGGCGTTGGTGGAGGAGGCGGTTGTTGCGGCGTGGTTTCTTGGTGTTGGGTTTACGGTGAGGGTGATTCCGAGGAGTGAGACGTTGGCGTTGAGGAAGGCGGAGAAGAGGGCCGTGGAGAAGGAGGAGGAGGAGGGGGAGGGAGTGGAAGTTGGGGATGCGGCGCTGTGGGAGAGGTCGACGGCGAAGCTGGCCGATGAGGAGGATGGGAGGATGGAGTTGGACGGTAGGGAGAGGGTAGAGTTGGATGCGGGGGGAAGACAAGAGCTTAATGGGAAAGAGAAGGCGGAGTCGGATGCGAGGGGAGGACAGGAGCTGGATGGGAGGACGAGGGCGGAGCTGGCATGATTGGGGTGTGTACTGGGTTGTTGCGTAGCGTGAACAGCGTTAGAAAAGTCTTATGAGATACGGCCTATGTATTGATATCTATTCCATCTTGCACCACTTCATGCAGAGTGAAGATGCATGCGAAGCCTTTTCAGCCATAGTTCATGTCTATTGACGTTTTTTTTTTTAATACTCTATGCTTAAATCGATGATGCCTTCTGTTGCACGTTGAGGATGGATGTCTCAGCTGTAAAGACTTCGTGGTAGAAATTGACCGGATGAGGCTTAGCTGTTTTCCCTCTGTACATATTGCGTAGTTTGCTTCAGCCCCTTTGGGGGTCAATCCATTCAGTTTTCAACACCTTCCGTGCGTGCAAGTTTCGCCAAACTATCCGAGCAAAATCATACATAAATCTGCGAGTCTTTGTGGCTACCTTCCAGGGCTCAGATATTGTCGGACCGTACAAACTGCGACTCCATGTCGATTCCAACTGGCTCGCACTGCGTTCCCTAGGCATTCGAGTAGCTCGCCAAAGTGATCGCCTCTCGGTGCTCGTGTAGCCACTAATAGACCCCCATGTACACTCGACTTATGTGGAAGTGTTTGATTTTGGTGTTGATTGCGGACTGACCAGCGATGATTGGCTCGCACTGGTGGCTCGGGTAGGGCAGGGCCGACGCTCGGACATAAGCCAACACGTTCGGCATGAATCCTTCAAGCCCATGCTGCATCATCGCGTCCAAGCCGGTGCCTGACGCAGGCATGGTTGCGCACAGCCTCAGCCTGCGGCAGCTAGGCGTCGTCACGGCTAGCCCACACGTGACAGCCCGTTGACCGCTCAGCCCCCCCGCCGCCCGCCGTCAAGCCTCCTCCGCACTGCATTCCCGTTGCGGCCACCTCTGCGACTCACCTCCCCACCGAGCCCGCACACCAGCCCACACCAGCGCACAGCTAGCCATCTCGTCACGCCCGGACCCTGGAATCGCAGCAGTAGCGGCACAGCGCCCGCGCCCTCAGCCCCTCCCGCACCGCGTCTGCCCCTCCCGCGCCTGCACCGCCACCGTCGCTCAGGCAGCAGCCCGCCGTGGCTCCCTGATAAACCGCAGCCCCAACCGCCCCGATCCACCACCCCCTTCGGCGCCTGCCGTAGCCATCCCGAACTTTGCCCATGGTCTACTGTGGTCCGCCAAGCCGTGGGTGCGAGACCTGCCGAAAGAGAAAGATCCGCGTGCGTCCCAATTAATAAAGCTCGATGTCGTGCATACTGACATGCACCTAGTGCGACCAGCTCCCGCTCCCTGACGGCTGCTCCCAATGCTCCAAGGCCAAGCGCCAGTGCCCGGGCTACCGTGACCTACAGCAGGTGCTGTTCCGCAACGAGAGCGCCAAGGTCGAGAGGCGCGTCCAGCGCAGCTCCCAGCCCAAGAAAAAGCAATCCACCGCCCCCCCGGTCCGACATCCATCCGCGAACTCTTCTTCCTCTAGCTTCTCCTTCGCCCATACCTATCCTCAAGCCTTGGCTTCGTCCGAAGATGCCCCCGTCCAAGAGAAAACCGACAGCAGCACCCTTGTCATCCGCCGACCAGGCTGGGCAGGGAACCCAGGTCCGGCCAGATTAACCAACACACGAGACGTCTTCGACCATGGCACCGCCACCGGCCTGTATGCCCTGGTGCCCTCGATGGATGACCGCGCCGCCGGCTTCTTCTTCTCCAACTTCTGCAACTATGTAGTCTTCTCCGCTGCCGGCGACGCCGGCCCCGGCCCCGTAGCCCAGCCCGGCATGCGCGCCGACCTGTGGCAGACCTCCATCGACCCCCACCTGTTTACCAGCATGAAAGCCGTGGGCCTGTACGGCCTGTATCGCCACAGCCGCAACCCGGAGTTCGAGAAGCTGGCCTGGCGCCGCTACCTCGACGCCATCCGCGTGACGAACGAGGCCCTGCGTAACCCGGCCGTGGCCACTAAGGATAGCTCGTTGCTGGCCGTCATCATCTTGGGACTGTTCGAGAGCATCAGCGGCCGCACCCGCCAGTCGCTGGAGGCGTGGGAGAACCACGTGAACGGCGCTGCCGCCCTGGTCAGCATGCGCGGCCGGCGCCAGCTCGAGTCGGCCGTGGGCCGCCGGATGCTCATGCAGATCACGTCGAGCCTGCTCATCAGCTGCTTGCAACGCGACGTGCCCTTCCCCGAACCCATCAAGGAGCTCATGCTGGACGCCACCACCGACGGCCTCGTCGACCCGGCCAATCCGCTGTACCGCCTGCGCGAGATCATGGTGGCCGTCGCCGACTTCCGCTCCGCCTGGCGCCAGGGTGCCGTGTGGGACTATCGCGCTGTCGTCGTGCGCTCGCAAGAGCTGGACGGTGAGATGGCCGCTCTCGTATCCTCATTGCCGCCGTCGTGGCACTACCGCGTCGTGCACACCACCGACGACCCGGAGATCGTGGTCAACGGACACTATCACGTCTACTCGAACTACTGGCAGGCCCAGGTGTGGAACAGCATCCGCACCTGCCGCTTGCTGGTTCTGAACATGATGCGCCAGGCCCTCCTCGCCGGCTTCGCCCGCACCCCGCCCGTCTTCGACCAGCCGCATGACATGCAGGCTTTCGCCGAGTGCACAAACACCCTGTACCAGCTGCAAGCAGAGGTACAGGCCAGCGTGCCCCAGCACATCGGCTACCTGTCCGCCGTGCGCCAGCGCGAGCGGTACGCCAAATACAGCAGCAAAGCGTCCTCCCCCACAACCTCCAACACATCGTCTTCCCCTCCATCATCATCATCACCATCACCCGCCTCCTCCACCTCCTCCCCACCCACCCAACCCTCCGACGCCCCCTACACCCGCAAAACCCTCATCACCCGCCTCGGCCTCCTCTCCTTCCCCTGGTCCGACTTCGCCCCCGAAACCACCACCTCCTCCTCGCACCTCTCGCCGCCCTCGCCCTCCCCCAACAACTCCACACCCTCCGACTCCGACGCGCCCCCCTTCTACGACGACCCCTGCTCCGACGACTGGCAGCTCGCGTCCACCCACCTCCCCGTCGTGCGCAGCTACGGCTCCGCCCTGCTGCTGTGGACCCTCTTCCTCGTCGGCAACCAGGACGTGACGACTCGCGCCACCCAGGCCTGGGCGGCCGCGACGTGCGCGCACATCGGCGAGGCCATGGGGCTGCGCCAGGCGAATGTGCTGGCGGATATCTTGAAGGAGAGGATCGAGAGGGAGGCGAGGGAGGGGGTTGTCAGGGGGGAGGGGTGATGTGGTGTGTGTATGTGTGTGTACGGGCTGAGTGGATGGGTCGGTGGGTGGGCGGGTCGGTGGTTGGATGGAATGAGGCCGAGGGTCGGTGGTGGTGGGTGGTGGTCGGGGTGATGGTCTGGCCGCTGCGTTTCGTTCTACATCTTGGCGTGTGTGTTGGGAGGTTTGCGACGATTTGGCTGGGCAGGAGGAAAGAGGACGATGGGCCTTTTTTTTTTTGGACCGGTACAATCTGTTGCTTGGAAGATATGCAAATCGGGGCGTTGGCGTTTGAAAAAGGGCGGGCATGCGTTTCTTTTTCTTTTTTTTTCCCCTTGAGAGTTTTGTATGACCGTTTTAGAGATACACAGACAGTAGCGTTTTCTATCCGTCGTTGTCGGCCACAAGACTATTGCCGTGGCCCATGCATTCACTGGCCTGTACAAGCCTCAGGGTTTGGGTAACGTTCTTTGCTTTTGTCCCTCTTCCTTCCTCACGTCGTCCTTTCAATCAGTTGTTCCGCAGCCTCAGACCCCCCTTTCACGCATATGGATGCACAACCTGCCACCCAAAACTGGTGTACCTTCGCCATCAAAGGCGGCAGCGATGGCGGCGGCGGCGGCAGCCACTCCCGTGCCGTCGATGCGCGTCCAACTCGGTCGACGTGCCCGAGGGCCACAAGACCGCGAATCCCGGCGCAGGATGATCGACACTGGGGGCCGAGATCCACGGCACTGGAGGCGGAGGCAAACATGCATGGGCTGCTCACTCCCGTTTCTGGTCTGAGGGGACGTGCCGACTCAGTGCGCGTTGCCGGGTATACGATGGGCGGACGGGCCGGGCCGAATGAGCGGTACATGGGGAGGGAAGGGGGACACGGTTCGAGGGTCGAGTAGGTGAGGTGGATATGGGGGAGGATAGGCGGCGGAGCGGGTCCGGGGAGTGAGGGTTGGGCTGTTTGGAGGAGCAGTGAGCTTTGGAGGGGATGTGAGGGGGGATCTTGGGAAATCGAAGGGCTTTCAATGCCGTGTCGGCTGTCTGCTGCCCGGGGTACAATCACGATTCATAGTTCTGGGGAAAAGGATGATGTAGATAGCAGATTGGGTAAAGCTTAGACTAAGTTGAACGTTTTGGAATCAAAGTGGCCTTTCTCCCACATGGCTACAGCTTCTCCTTGCATGATTCCATGGACGTAACAAGGTCCACATAGTCTGTAAATATGTTCGCTTGCAGATGGCAACTCGTGGACAACGAATGGAGTCTGCGCCCCAAAAAAGATGCACACTTCATCCCCAATGGACGACACCTGAGGGCCTGTGCCTATCCATCCCCGCTCTGTAACAAACAAGCATTGATAAATACTCCCAAACCAATCTGAGAATTCCCTAGGGCTTTCCTTGCACGGTAGAGACCGAATCTCGACGTAATAATGCCCATCTCAAAAGAATATGTAAAAAATGACAAAGAAAACTTTTCCTCGACCATAGCTATGTTTGCACTAGATCCATCTAGCGCTAGGTGGTATCCGATCCGTCGCGCGCATAGCGCACAACTGACTGCTTTAGCAGTACTTTCCGACAACATATATGTTCCAAGATAACCCCATATCTGGCTAAGTGGATGTGGATTCTGTTTCATAAGGGCATGTGCTGGATCAGGCGGTATAGAGCCAGAATAAAATGTGTCAGACCTCCAAATTATCTTGTCGAACCCAAAGCCCGTCAAGCTCAGGGCCCGGTCGGCGAGTCGAAAATCTGCCAAAGTTTGAGCGTGGGCACGCCAGAGCCTCCATCCAACACCACCCAGAAGTACCGAATTGAATGGTGTATCCCACTGCGGAACCCATGAGGGATTGAGGGACTTGTGGAACACATCCTGCTCATGCACGATGTATTGGAGCAGGTCGAGTGGATTCCGATTTGAAGATTGAATTAATCTTTGAGCGACATCAAGATAAAGCTCCTGGTGAGATATGGTGTAGTCCACAAGCAGGAAGCTGCTGGAACTGCGGTTTGCAAGTGTATGCTCGAAGCACGGATGTCCCAAAAATGCATATACCCGATCCTTTGGGTCTGAGCATTGGTGACTTTGACCATTTCGGAGGACATTGAGTGCATTCTCAGGGTGTTTTGTTCCATTTCGAAAGGTCGTATTTCCCAGATCCCAAATTTGAACAATATCCCAGAGGCCATGTTCGTTGACCAACTTCAAAAAGTTGCGCATGAGAATGCAAAATCTCCAAAGAGGAGCCCAGGCCAGGTCTGCTGCTCCGCAATGTATCGTTCCATGAGCTGCAAGACCAATCTCCTGAATTATCCAAAGCCTTTTGAACCATGGCTTCTGAGCCAACCAAACCAAGTCTTGCCAAAAGACGTTTGGTAATTTTCGGAGTATATCTTCCTGGGCGGCTGTATCGTCAATGCTTCGTAACGCGGCAAAAGTCTTCCTGATGGTTTTGAAAAGAGTGACGGTGTTGATTCCCTCGTCCTGACCAAGCCATACGAGAACAGTTTGAGCCTGTTTGAAGATTCGAGCCATCATTTGGACCTGATGGCCCCTTTCCCGCATATCATTCTGATCAATGCACACGGCATCTGCCCAGAGTATCCTGGGTCTCTTTCTTCTACGAAACTTCTGTAGAGCGTGCATCAAGTTTCGAGGGACATTCAGCCTCTTTCCTTCACACAGGATATCAGCCCGGTCGTTGCTCTCCCCCCAGGTGTACGAGATTGCTTGGTATGGAGGATAGCCGTGGATGGGTTGGATTTCAAGGCTGCATTGAACAAGGTCGTCGGGATCACCAGGATGGAGCACCAGAACTCGAAAGCTCGCTTGGTCTTCGAAATCCTTGTATTCGTAATTCTCATATTCGTCCAAGTAGATGCTTTCGGTCGAGAGTTTCGGTCGCTGATCGTATCCTTGTTGTTGATTTTGACGCTTGTTGTTGGGAAGAGGACGACGACGCTTGTAAGCACAGAAACCGTGTTGACGCCGACAGTGCGTTTTGCGATCACCGTAGTGGCCGCAGTGAGAGCAACGCTGCATCTTGCGATGAATGACTAGCTCTGGCGAGCTATTAGGGCTGTGGGCGGAACATGATTTCGCGACAGGAAGATGGAGTGAGACAGGTGTCGGACGGCTTGCCAGCAAACTGCAGCGGGCGCAGCCTCGCCTTTTGAGTGTTGGCAACCTTGCGTGAGTAAGCATAGCAAAGCAGAATGGGGCGGCGGTGCTGCCTGATCGAACGCAGCCAATGAACAATAGCCTGACCCCGGTTGGTGAAAACAGGGCCACGCTCTTCGTCAGCCTACATGGTAATGCTGATGTTTTTGCCGAGACCTTGCCAAAGGCTGTTTGGTCTGGGGCATGAGCGGCTAAGCACAGCAGAATCGAGATTTACCGCGCTCAGCGCACTGAAAGAACCCGGCGAAAGCGAGTATCGAAAAACTCAATCTCTCGCTTCCTATTCGCCGCACTCACCGCCGTCGTCATTTGTTGAGAACCACCGCCTCATTAATTGTAGTGGTGGAGGTGGCGGATGGTGTACATGTCAGCTTGAAGAAATTTGAGGACTGATGCCTTTGGCTTTGGTATGTGCTCAACTTCACATTCAGGCAGAAGGTCGATTCTAGACTACTTAGAAACCTACTAAGCCCGGATAGGAAGCCGCAGGAGAGCTTAGAACGAAGGCCTAGCCCATGGTTCGTGAGCTGTAGAGAAGAAACAAATTTGCGTTATAGCTGCTTTGTATCCGATCTACCCCTCTCCCAAGTCCGAGTCTCATACCTTAATCTTAGGCAATGGCGGTAACCCCGCTTTTGCTGCAGCATCTTTGTATGCGTTCTTTACGAGACGGGTAGGATGATCCCCAGCTGATTAGCATCAAGCACTGAACGGAACAACCTTCTCGACGAAAGCGGATGACGCAAGAAATGGTATCCCAAACAAGGGATCGGTTGGGAGCTAAAGCAAGAACAATGCTGGATTGACTTACATAACTGCCCAAGCGCATATCGTCGGGAACCATGCCTGGTCTCGTGTCGCCCTGGTCTTCAAACCTGAAGATGGCGGCGGACAGTGGGTCGTAGTTGTCCCAGTGCGGAACGTTCGGGACTGCAAGGAAGTGGCTTCTTGTAAGCGTGGGCAAGAGTAATATCGGAGGGGCTGCCTACTGCCGTGGTTATTCGGATCGAGGTCGTACGCGAACGATATCCACCTATCGACAGAAGACGTCAGCCCATCTCCCCCGCCTTTCCCCCTCTCCACAAGCCACACCGCAAACCACCCTTGCAAGCCCCGCCTCATCACAGCAACCGCCTGCTCAGGCGCACAGAAATAAAAAACTAGAGAGACATCAAACTCACATCCCCTGCACCAAATTCGCCACCCTCCAATCCCTCTCCCCAGCATCCGGCCACCCATACACATCTCCAAACACGCTCCCCAGCTCCGAGGCGTGCAGCACCCCCGCCCGTATCTTATTCGCCTCGGGCACATCCGGCGGGAAGCCGTAGAAGCTCTCGTCGAACAGACTCAGCGGCGGCTTCTGCGCCCAGCGGTAGCCCCACGTCTTCGCGCTGGCGGGACCCGCGTGTTGGGCGTCGGTGGTGGCAGGATTGGATGCATCGGCGCCGGAAGCGTGGCGCGCGAGGTTGATGCGGCGCGGGATGTCTTGCATGGCGTCGCCGAGGAGTGCTTCGCCGATGTAGTAGCTGTCGGGAGCGGTGGGGTCGGCGTCGTAGCCGCGCCCGTTTTGGGCGGCTGTGTGGTTGTAGTAGGTGGCGACGACGGGGCGGGCGAGGGCGAGGTCGGTGGTGTGGAGATTTTCTACGTTGGGGAGGGAGGGGAGGTCAGTGTGGTTGTTTGGATCGGGGTGATGAGTCCCAAGGTTGGAGAAGTGAGGATAGGAGGGAGGTGCTTACTCGCGACGACTTGGTTCAGATAGGTCTCGTTGGTCGCTAAGCCGGTGGGCACGCGGCCGTACAAGCTGCCCTCGTTCAAGGTGGTGCCGATGATCTGGCCCACACGTCAGTCCTCAACTCCGACACTTGCAACACCACAGAACCACCACCCACACACCCACACTCACCATCGGAATCTGCGCAACGCTCTCATTCCAATAATCCTCCCCACCAACCCACTCCCCCCCATCCACCCCAAACCCCACCGGCAACTGCGCAAACTCATCCAACGTATTATACCACGCACTCCCAGGATCATACCAAACCCTCATCAACTCCGCGACCCCCACCCCCCTCAAACACTCCAACGCCCCCTCCCATTCCTCCCCCCTCGGACACCCCAACGCCGCCAACGTCCCCGCCAAAAACCCATCCCCATTCTCCGGCCTCTCCCCCCTCAGCGCCAAACTCCCGGGCCCCCCACTCTCCATGATCGCGCCGCGAAACAACTCCTCCTCCTCCTCTCCCTCCTCCTCCGACCCTGCACGGCGGCGCCCCTCAAACCGCGCCTGCATCCACACATCGAAGCTCCCCGCGCTCTGCCCAAACACCGTCACGCGGCGCGGGTCCCCGCCAAACGCGCGGACGTTGTCGCGCACCCATTCGAGCGCGGCGCGCTGGTCCTTGAGCCCCGTGTTGAGCAGCCCCCGCCGCGCGAAGGGCGTGTTGTACAGGAAGCCGAGGCCGCCGGTGCGGTAGTTGAGGGTGACGGTGAGGAGGGGTTTGGATGGCGTTGTCGTCGTGTGGTTGGGGGGCGGAGGGGGGAGGTGGTTGAGCGAGTGGAGGACGAGGTTGGGGGCGTGGTAGAGGCGGGATTGGCCGCCGATGTTGGCGCCGCCGTAGATGTAGACGAGGACGGGGAGGAGGGGGGTGGAGGGGCCGCCGTACGAGGGGGGGTTGCTGTTGTTGTCGTCGTTGTAAAGGGTGGAGCCGTTTGTGGTCGTCGTGAGGACGGCCGTCGCCGGCCGGAAGATGTTCAGCGTGAGGCAGTCCTCGCTCAGCCCGTTGTCTTCCTCGAACGCGCGGTCCTGCAGGCACGCTGGCCCGTAGCGCGTCGCGTCGACATGCTGCGATGCGTTTCCCGACGTGTACGGCACCGGGGCGGCGAAGCGCAGCGCGCCCACCGGCGGCTCCGCGTAGGGGATGCCGAGGAATTGCTCAACGCCGGGGATGCTGGTGTTGGGGTGGTAGATGCCTTGAGAGGTGGAGACGGACAGGGGATGACATAGAGCTGCCGGTGGGGCGATGAGCAGGAGGAGCTGGGATGTGAAGACAGGCATGGAGAAGAAGCGGGGCATGGCTGGAGCTGAGGGAAAGATGGGGTTCCTGCATCGGAGAATTTGGGAGGGGAGGGGTATTAAGTCATGGATGTGAGGCCATGCAGGAGGACTGCGGTATCAGTGGCGGTGTAGTAGCATGGAGTGTGTCTACGCGTCAGTGATTTCAGCTTCTGGTTGGCGGCATGTCGCTTCCATGGTACAAGACATGGGGTTCGGGAAGCAGGACCTGCAAATTCATGCTCCGCGTGAGCGGTGGAGGAGATGTGGCGTATTTTGACAAGTCAGCGCGCATTAGAGGTACATGCAGATGCATCCTGCGGCTGAAAATGCGGAGCATGCAGAGTGTCTGGCCATCTCAATCATGGCTGAATATCTCGCTGCAACTTGCAGCACCATTGTCTCGGGGAACAGTGATCAAGGAATGATGATGCAGGCTAGTATCCTGTTAGTTTGAAGCGTGAAGGAATAGAAAGGAAGATGGCCGAGAAAGACTTGGCTGCATAGCTGTCGATCTCCCAATCCCAAGAAGGTCTCTCACCACAGCATGCTGCTTACGGTGGCAATTTTTCACTTGAATGCACGGTCAAATGCTGTCTAGCACCACAGCAGACTACTTGATGCGATGATTTGGAAGTACACAATGCTGGGCCAGCTGAGAGGATCCGTACCAGGTACGCATTCATATGGAGAATCCAGCTGCGTCCCAAAACTGTGGTTCGAGGGGAATGTAGCACGTGAAGCGGCCCCTGCGGCTCAGGTAAGTGTGTTCGTGTAACGTCGGGTGGAAGGGCGGAGCTGGATCTTTGCGTCTGACAGCGGCCGCAGACGTGTCATCCAGCCACCGATTGACGCAGGCGGCAGGTCTGTGTAACTAAATGAACGTCCAGACTGGTGTTACCGACTTGGTGCCTGCGGTCGCTGTGGTCTGATGACTCCAAAGGGATGAAAGAGTAACAGAATTGTATGCGTACTAGGTCCCCCGTCCCACCGTGCCTTGGCATACTTACTACGTCAGGTCGTGTGGAAGTAGAGCTTGGTACCAATCGACCAATGAGAAATGCAGCGCACTTCAGCCGTAAGTGTTTCGAGCAAAGTCTCCCTTCCGCATTTGGGAGGAAGCCATGCCCAATGCCTAAAATATGGCAGTCATTCATGCCCGAAATCAGAAGAAAAAAAGCTGTGCATAGCTGCTAGGCAACTGCAATACGTATTGTCGAAGCTGTTAGCCAACGCGAACGATCAGAACAGAGACACGAATTTGTAAGCTCCGGGCTAAGCAACGGTAAGCTGGCCAGTCTTTCGACAAACCCGCAGTATTTGTAAGCGCGTCCGTTGATACGGGACAGCGTCAATTACGCGTGTATCGTCACCTGGTCATGCAGCACGATATGTAGACGCATGCATATGCACCATGCCACATCGTCACCGGAACGACAATGCAAAACCGCATAAAAGCGGTTGGAACGGGACTTCCATTTGCGATTTAGATGTCCCGGTGGGAAAGCAGATCGACCTTTTAAAGGGGGTTTATATGGCCACGAAACGATTCAGCGTCGTGAGCCCTTACCCATGCCTACCTTGCCTATATCATCTCGGGCTCTCTCCTGCATCCAGTTGGGCAATCCTCTGATGCTCGACACAAACTTGAACGTCTTTGGCAATATCAGTTGGTTGCCACGGCAAGCAAAGATCTGGTCCAAGATAGCATTGCCGACATATTCGGGCGTCATCAAGGGCCCCTGGTGACGTTCGAGGTCCTTGGCATAGTCGGCGACAAGAGCCGTTCTGGTCCAGCCGGGATGAACGACGGTGGTGTGGACATCAGGTGCCTCGTGGCGGTGGCGGAGCTCGAGGGTGAGGCCTATGATGCCGTCAGCTGCATTGGCAATACAGAGAGGCGTGATGTAAGAATATACCTTCGTGGAAAGCAAGCGCACCAGACTTTGTGACGGAGTAGTCGGTGATGCTCGGCACCGTCACGAAGCTGGCCATGCTGGCAACGGTGACGACATGACCTTTATTGTGCTTGATCATGTCGGGCAGGAGAGCTTGGCAGGTGTACCAATGAGAGAGTAGGTTGACTCCGAAAATCTTGCCAAGTTGGGCAGGAGTGGTGTCGAGAATGGTGTGGGAGGAACCAATGCCGGCGTTATTGACCAAGATGGAAGGCTGACCGACGGCCGACTTGATCTGGTCTGCTGCTTGGACGACGGCATCAGGATCGGTAATGTCGCAGCGCTGAAAGAAAATGTTTGCTGAACAGCGTTAGTTGGACAGGAATCAAGAAAGATGGCGGAGGGACATGCCATGTTCTAGTCTTTTGGGAAGCGGCTGGACATCCAATATGGCCACTTTGACGCCGCGTTGGACGAGTCCGTTGACAACGACCTCTCCGATACCGCTGCAGCCACCGGTCACGACGGCAATCTCGTTGCACCAAACCCAGCGATGGGCATCACTCCGGATGCTCCAACCATTGGTGGCGAGGGAATTGAGCCAGGAGTTGACGTGACCTGCCAGGCCCAAGGCGAAGATCCACTTCAATGAAGACACGATGCGGGAAAGAGGAGCAAGACCAACAAGGCGGCGTATGATTGGCTCCTTGACATGGTCCGGGGCTCTAGTGAGCAGCAGGAGCAGCGGGCCAGTTATCAAAGGATTCGTGAGAGCACCCGCAACGGGGGCAGTGAGATTGACGACGGCCCGGAGGGGTTTGGACATGGCGACGATGCGGAACGAAACCAAGCGGGCGGGCGGGTTATGTAGATGGTTGGGATTGATGAAGCAGCAGTCAGCAGCGCGGACCAGGATCTGGGGAAGGCGCAGGTAAGCTCATGAGCCGAGGCAAGGCTACGTCGGAACCAACTGATCGTCCCCAGAAATCCCTCGGCCGTGGAGTGGAGCAGTTCTGTAGCTCGCCATGACATTTCCATTTTCGGGCTCCAATGCGAAGGCCAGCGTGAGGGCCGAGGCGCGACGGGAGGTGCGGACGTGGTGGTGACGTCGACTAGGTAGGCGCGCACGACAGGCCGGGCCGCGGCAACCTTTCCATCTCGCGCGCGTCTCGTCGAAATAATTCCAGCCACAACCACTCGTCGCCCACGCCCGCTGCTCTATGATATGATTCCCCGCCTGGCCCGTATGGGCAGTGCGAGGCCGATCCCGTCGCTCTTCGTCCTCACCCCGCTCCAAGTCGCCTGTCGCCGCGCCTCAACCCAAATCCTTCACTCCAACAAACAGGCCAATGGCCCAAGCACCACCCTACCTGCGACTCTCGAAATCCCCGCCCGCGACCCCGGACAGAATATTCTCAGCTATGCCTTCCAGTCCGGCAAGGCCTACTGGGGATTCTACAAGCAGGGCGTGAAGAATGTCTGGGCAAACCGCAAGCTCGCGAACGAGGTCAAGTCGAAGCACAGAAGCGCGTCCGGCATGGCCTTGACGCGCCACGACTTCCAGCTGCTGCGCCGGTCAAGGCACGACATGCGCCGCGTCCCCGCCTTCGCTCTTCTGCTCCTAGTGTTCGGTGAGTGGCTGCCGTTAATCGTCATCTTCGTCAATGGCCTCGTCCCGCTGCCGTGTCGCATTCCGCGCCAGGTTCAGAGTGCCGAGCGCAAGCGCGAGGACCAGCGTTACCGAGGCCGCCTGCTGCTGTCCGACACGTCACAGCGAGCCGGCCTGCACAGCCAGCATGTGCCGAGCGGCGATACTCAGCTGAAGGCGCTGAGCACGCTGCGCATCGACCTCAAAACCGCCACCAAGAACCTGCTTGACCACAAGGGAACCGCCCTGCCTGCCTATCTGCAGCTTGCCTTTACCAACTTCAACCTGCGCTCGCCCCTCTGGGACCGGACATCGATCTCCGCTATCATGCCCACCGTGTTGTGGAAGCACAGGCTGAAGAGGCACTTGACATACATGGCCACCGATGACGCACTGCTGCTGCGCCATGGCGGCGTCAAGAGTCTTAGTGCAGAAGAGGTGCTCTTTGCTTGCACCGAGCGCGGCATACGACTTGTGGAAGAGGATGGCCAGGTGAGGCGGCACCAAAAATTGAGAGAGGATTTGACCCAGTGGCTGGAGAAGAAGAGGTCCGAGGCGTGGTTGAAGCTGTTTGAGAAAGAGTTAAAGTAACAAGTGTATGTATGTACATTACTGCTGTAAAGCCTGCCAAGGAGCACACTTATTCCACTCATGTATAAATATGAACATTCACGATCCCACTCGGATGATTTTCCTTACAATCGCCGGCGAAAGTGATCATTAGGTGCGTTGTGCGGAGTGGCGGGCGGCGATGCCTTGTGATTCAGGCAAGATCACGTGCAGCCCACTCGGGGCTCGCGACGACGAAAATGCGAGGTTTGTGGCCCACCAGAAAACCTCCAGCTCCCCTCCAAACTCTTTCACTTCGGCCTCGCTGCCCACCACCACCCGCACATCATGGGCGTCCCCTTCGACTTCGCGCCGGAACGGCCTGAACACATCGACCAGATCCTCAACGGCCTGGATCGCTACAACCCGGAGACCACCGCCGTCTTCCAGGACTATGTGATGGGCCAGTGCGAGAGCCAGACCTACGACTGCTACGCAAACCTGGCTCTGCTGAAGCTGTACGTTATCCCGCCCCTGTTCCCCAGCGACTTGCCACCTTTCTCTCCCGTGCCGCGCGTTTCGCCTTTGTTGCAATGATGATCCAATACCACACGTTTCCTATTACCTGAGGGCTACGGAGAATGAACCCTCCTGCCCACTGAAGCGGAATTATTAGCTCTATCTGATAACGCAACTTATCCCTCATCTCTCTGCATGTACTCGCCCAGCACACATCGCTGACAGCCAGCCCCGCATAGCTACCAGTTCAACCCGCACCTTGCGCGCGACGAGACCATCACCAACATCCTGGTCAAGTCGCTGACCGTGTTCCCCTCGCCCGACTTCTCCCTCTGCCTTTCGCTCCTGCCGCCGCACATCCTGGCGCCGCTGTCGACCTCTGCTTCCAACCCGGCGGCCGGCGACCCGGCCCTCAGCGAGGCGGTGCAGAAGCTCAACGTGCTGAACAACCTGCTCGGCCTGGCCGACTACGCTGGCTTCTGGGCGGCCCTCGACAGCGACGACCTGTACGCCGACCTGATCGCGGACGTGTCCGGGTTCGAGGACCTCATGTGCGTGCGCATCGCCGTCACCGTCTCGCAGGCCGTGCGTGAGATCGAGCGTCCTATCCTCGAGTCGTGGCTTAACAAGAAGGGCGGCGAGTTCGAGCACTTCGTCGGCGACGTGTGTGGCTGGACCATTGATGGCCAGAACATCAAGGTCCCGCTGAACAAGGAGAACGAGGCAAAGGGCACCGTAGTGAGGGAGAACGTCAAGTTCGACCGTAAGTTGTCCCCAATGTTCGTTGTTTTGGTGGGAAACTGTTTCGCTAATGGAATTGCGTGGTATAGAATTCTCGAGGTTGATCAAGCGTGCGTACGAGCAGCCCGCGTAGATGCGGTTGCTTGGCGATGCCTATGACAACCTTATACCCCAGATCCTTGTGTTTCCTCCCTTTTGTCTTAATGTCACCCTGGGTAGACCAATCACCATTTGGTGCGCCCATCATTCTGCCACTTTCAAAAAGAGATATCTGTGGGCACTTGCGCCCGCCCCAAAACGTTTGGCGTGCACGAGGACGGCGAAGATATAGGGTAAACGGCGTTTACGAGATGATGACATGATGCGGTGCCATCTTCAGATGCAAGATGTGTGTTACCTGCTCTCTTGAAAATTCAGCTGGTAGAGGGTTGGGGACTCAAATTGTTCCTTGCGTTGAAGGCTGAAAAATGTCCTACAACGCAAGTACAAGCCGCCAGCAACAGGGAGGCTGCATCAAACAGGAAGCTCCCTGAAACAAGTAGAGCAAAGCAAGAAAAAAAAAACAGAACCATCCCTTCATTCTCTCTCTTCTCCCTCGCTGTGATATCGTAAACATAAACAAAAACGCCATATGCTACCCGCCACCATCAGGAATTTTTTTTCATCTCACCAAACCTTTCCCCCGTCACTCACTTCCTCACAGCCACCTCCTCCCACTGAACCCCCACCCACTCCTCCACATACCCAACCTCCCCGTCCTTCGCATCCTTCGCCGTGCAATCCTTCGCGCAAACCCCGACTATGACAGTGCCCCACTCCATCCCCTCGAGCCCCAATTCCTCGGCCTCCAGCTCCGCGATAGCCTGCGGCGTCAACTGCACCTCAAACACGCGCTCGGCACCGCAGTTCCCACACTTCGGCATGCCATTCCCGCGGCCTCCCGCCGTCTTGACCTTGGCATTCCTTTCACCGCCGTCCATCTCCTCGTCTTCATCCTCGTCCTTCTCCTCCTCGCCCGCAAACATCTTCCCCACCCCATCCCGCCGACTGTACAGCAGCGGCTCCCCCCGCCACTCGTACCGCAGCACCTGCTCCGGGTTCTGCGCCAGGCGGTCCGCGAACGCCTGGAACGTCTTGTCCATCAGCGATTCGTAGATTTGTTTCTCTTCTTTGCTCTGCCCCGACCCTCCCGCACCTCCTCCTCCAGCGTTCTCGGCGGCGGCGTCGTCCGGATCCGCCGCGTTCGGATCCAGCTCCGCGTTCGCTGGGAGGACCGACGTGTCTTCCGGAGACAGCGTCTCGTAGTCCGCGTCGAGGTGGTACGACGGGTACGGCTTGGCCAGCGCGGAGGCGTCCGTCGGCCACGGCTCGTAGGGAACGGCGGCGGCGGCTGGTGCGTGCTGCTTCTGGTCGGGGGTGCCGGGCGCGGAGGCGGCGATGCGTGCTTTTTGCGCAAACGTCTCGGCGAGGCTGCCGCCTTCGTCCTCGTCCTCCTTCGCTGCCGTCGTCGTCGTCGTCTGCTGCGGCGGCTTCGCAGCCAACCCGCTCGCTGGCGAGGCGAACGGGTTCGCCGCTCCTCCTCCAAGACCACCACCACTCGCAGCGAACGGATTCGCAGCAAACGGATTCGCCATTGCCCCAGCACCCAGACCACCACCTCCACCACCAAACACCGCCGACCCCAGCCTCCCCTGCTCCGCCCTCCTCTTTTCTTCCTCCACCCTCTTCCTCTCCGCCTCCGCCGCCGCCTCTTCGTTCTTCTTCCTCTCCGCCGCCGCCAGCGCGGCGTCGACGCCGACGGCGCGCACCGCGCGCACGGAGCCCGGCTTGCGCGCGCACGCCTTGCGCCGGCACCCGAAGACGTAGAGGCGCCGCGTGTGGCCGGGGAAGTGCGCGGGCGCGTCGCCGTTCAGCTGGAGGAGGAGCGGCATCGGCGCAGTGCAGGTGAGGCAGCGGGTCAGGGCGTGGGAGGGGGGGTGTGTGGAGGTCGTGGTGGGCGTGGTGGGCCAGGTCTGTTTTTTTGGGGGGTTGGGATTGTTAGTGTGGGAGTGGTTCTTGTTGTTTTTGTTCTTCGTGATTGGTTCTTCGTTCTTCTTCTTCTCTGGGTGAGGGGGGTGGGTGGTGGTGCTGCGTACCGGTTGCCCGCCTAGCTGGCTGAAGGTGTCGTCGGTTGGCTCTTTGGAGGCGTAGCCGAGGAGGACGTTGGTCTCGGTGTATTCCGAGTCGCCGCCGTCGGAGGAGGCGTCGCTGTCGTGGGGGGCCATTGCGTTGGTGTGCGCTATTGTGAGGGTGCTGGTTGGAGAGCTTGGTTTTTTTTTTTGTGGCGTTGTGCTTTCGCGGGGTTGGTGTTGAAAAAAAGTTGGGGCGCGAGTCGACGCGGTTGATAAGATAGCGCGTCACTCTTACCCGACGAGTTGCTCATGTCGTCATTAGAAGACTGCGCGTCTAGTAGCGTAATATCCACGATGAATACATGCTTTAATCGCGTACAATCGGAAAGCTTGTTCATGCCTTTTGGTCAAGTTTGCTCCAAATCTACTCTTCTGCTCGGAGCTGTCCATTCTTATGCAATTGTAATAATTATCGGATAATGAACTGGAGAGTGGCGCTTTTTTTTTTTTGAAAGTTGGCAAGAGTGCGCGGTCTTTCAGGTAAGGTGTTGACACTTATGTAAATTTCATTCAGTTTCATTTTGTTTGCATGATCATGTCCTCACTTCTTTTCCGGTTCATCCCTTGGCATATTAACACCCATCATTCCCATCATGTTGCCCGCAGGCCCCGCCATACCGGCCTGGCCCTTGAAGGCCTCCAGCATATTCTTCAACAGGTTATAATCCATATCGCCAGCCTCTTCCTTTTCATTATCGCTTCTTTCAATCTCCTCCACATCATCATCATCCTCTGCCGCTGCCTTTGCCTTTCCTTTACCCTTAGCCTTGATGGATTTCTGTCCATCAGCAGCAGACTGGGGCTTCGGATTCAAGTCTAGCGCACCAGCCTCCTTGAGTTCCGCCTCCATGCTCTCCATCATCTTGCGGAATTCCTCCGCCTCCTTCGGATCATACGCGTCTTCGTCGTCGTCGTCAGAGCTCAGTTCTTCCACCACCTTCTTGGCGCCTTTCTGCCCTGAGCCCTTCGGCGGCGGCCTCGGGGGCCCAAACATCTTCGCCTCCTCTTCCTTCTCCTTCAGCCTCGCCTCGACCTGCTCGCCCTTCAGCTTCCTCACCTCATCTATCGGCATCTCCATGACCTCCTTGTAGACCTCCTCCGGCATCCCCATCATCGTCCGTATCATCTTCGAGAACTCCTCCTCATCAAACGACGCCACCTTATCCTCGCCCTCGCTGCTGACCTCGCTACCATCATCATCATCATCCTCCTCATCCATATCATCCAGCCCCCCCTCCGCCCCTTCCAGCCCCGCGCCATCATCGTTCAAAAAACCCTCAAACCGCTCCACCATCTTCCGCAGATTCGCCTGGACGTCCTTGTCCCCGAACCCTTCGTCCGTGCCCCTCGTCCCCTCCATGGTGAAGCCCTTCTTGCCCGCCAACTCGCGCTCGAAATCGCCGTAGTCGATGTTCATCCAGCTGTCGTCGTCCTCGCGCGCGTCCCACCCGGCCACCTCCGCGTCCGTCGGCAGCGCGTCGTCGCCCGTCTCTAGGTCGTCGAGCAGCAGCGCGATTTCTCGCACGGCGGGGGTGTCGCGGTGCGCGGGGTCGAGGACTAGCATGTCGAAGCCGCTGGAGAGCTTCATGCCGAGGTGGAGGCGGTCGTGGTGTTGCTGCTGCTGTTCGGTGGTGGTGGTGGATGCTGGTGGTTGTTTGAGGGCGTCGGCCCAGGATGTGTTGGGGGCGTCGAATTCTTGCGACTTGAGCTGCGCGTAGCCGACTTTGGTGAAGCGCACGCGCACCGTCACGAGGTCTTGGGGTGGGAACTTCAGGGTTGGAGGTGGAGGTGTCGTCGTTGCTGTTGCGGCGGCGGGCTCCTTGGCGTCGTCTTGCTTGAGGGGTTTCAGCGCGATGGGGTCGCGCAGGTAAAAGGCCTCGACGGCCGGGCTGATGTAGGCCGGGTTGCGGTGCAGCAGGTGGGCCAGCCGCCGCGGGATGGTGACGAGGGCGTGGTGAAGGGTCGCGGAGATGTCGGCAGGGTAGTTGCGCAGCCGGTAGAAGGCTTCGGACTCGATCAAGGGCGAGTCGGTTGGCGCGACGGGGGTGCCGGTTGCGATGATGGAGCGGGCTTCCGGGAGGGTTAGGGGACGTTTTTCTGGGGCGGTGGGCGGGCCGGACAGGGGGATGATTTTTATTTGGCCGTCGTTGAGCCAGACCTGGGGCGCTGTGTGAGTGTGTTATAGAAAATTTGGTGGTGGTGGTGGCTTACTCTGTTTTCGGCCACTTCCGGATTGAGCCATTTTGGAAGGGTGTTGGCGGCTTCGATGAGGAGAAACTCGCCGTCGGTGTCGTAGACGCGGATCCAGGCGTCGGGATACTGCTTGCTTATTTCGCGAAGCAGGTAGACGATCAGCCACTCGTCGGCCACGGAATCGCCGTAGTTGGTGGTGCCGCGCAGTAGCCACGTGCCGTCCTCTCTCTTCAGCTCCAGCTTGAAAGAGTCGCGCTGCCATATGTAGTCTTTAAGAAGTTTCTTGCTGAGAAGGTTTGCCGCCGTTTCCACAGCTCTGAGCCGTTCGCGGACCTGCGAGTCTGTGGCAGCCGTCGAGTTGATTGCATAGATGATGTACTCGACCGTGTCGTCTGGGAGGCGCTTGGGGAAGCCATCAAAGCCCTCGCCGAACCACTTGAAGTCGTCCTGCGGAGGGTCGCCGATTTCCTTGCTCTTTTGCATGGCCGGAAATGCTCCGACTAAGGATGCTGTAGGACACGATGCGGAAGACCCCGGTCCAAACTGAAAGAATGATTGGTTAGCGGGGTGCAGAAAAGTGCGGCGACCCGAATGGCACCGCTGGAGGCGGATGGCAAAGATGGAAGGTCTTGGCGTAGTGGTCCGTGCAGAGTCTCCAGGCAGGTGCGGGGACGCCAGTCCCAAAACGACAACAGGAAAACAAACAACCGCTCCAAGCTACAACCACCCGACCGCCCGCCCAACCTTCCGCCGAAACGCCAACGACAACAATCCGCGCCAGCCATTGCGGCCCATCACCACCATTCTTTTCCTCTTTTTTCCTGCATTTGCGCACGCGCATGACTAACCCACCATAGCCACGAAAGCTGCTGCTGGCGCCACTTAAAAAACGAACACCGAATTCACCATGGCGCACATCTACCCGGACACCCCGCGCACCGCGTACGGCGACGGCGACCAGACGCGTCTTACGGCCGCCGACTTGGATCTGGACATGTCCATCGAGCCGTCCTTCCACTCGCCCTCGAAGCACGGCGACGACCTCGTGCGCCAGATGCGTGGCCAGCGCACCCCGCGCGGCCTCAAGACGCCCTCGGCCGGCCGCAACCCTCTCGTCGCCGGCCGCCGCCAACAACAGCAGCAGCCACCCGGCAAGCCCGAGTTCACCCCGCTGCTGAAGAGTGCGATGAAGAACAGGATATCTAGCGCCTACGACAGGGAGCTCGGAGCCGCCGGCGGCGCCGTTGGCAACCCGGTCTTCAAGGCCGGCGTCCAGACGCCCGCTGCGCTGAAGCCCGGGTACAAGTTCGACAACAGCCCACTGCCCGAGGGCAGCTCCATGTACGACGGCTCGTCGGCAACGGACATGACCGAGCTGGCGGACCCTGCGCCGCCGGTTGCGAGCAGCAGTTTCATGTCGACCCCCATGGCGCTGCCGCGGTCGGGCGAGATGGATAGAGGGAACATGCTCACTCTGCGGGAGCAAGAAGCAGTGCGTGTTGATGTTCTTTATTTACAGTTTTAAATGGCGCCTTCTACGTGGCTAACATGTGGCGGAATTGCAGAAAATCGCACAGATCGACAAGGACAACTTCGGCCTAAAACTCAAGATCCACTACCTCGAGGAGAACATGAGACGCACCGGCACCGAGTTCCAGCAGAGCGCCCTGCAGGAGAATACGGAGCTCAAGGTCGACCGTGCGAAGATGCAGGTCGAGCTTAAGGGCCTGAAAAAGTCGCTACAAAAGGCTGAGAGGGACCTCGAGGAGTACAGAGTACAGCTGCAGGACTATGCCGAAAAGGTCAAGAAGAGACATCTCGACTCGAGCGCGCGAGAGGAAATCGAGGAGTTGAGGAATCTGGCAGAATCGAGGGCGGCTGAGCTCGAGGAGCTTCAGAAGAAGGTCGACTCTGCTGACACGGATAACGAGGAGGTGGAGAAGCTGCAGGGCGAAGTTGAGGAACTGGAAAATGAGTTGCAGCAAAAGGATCAGGAGCTGGATGAGAAAGATGAGCAGCTCGAGGATCTCCGCGCCAAGCTGGAGACGGCTGAGGGTGGCGATGGCGATTCCGAGGACAAGCAACGGCTCATAGATGAGCAGGCCGACAAGATCGACGAGCTCGAGGATCAGGTTCGGAAAACCACCGCCGAGAGAGACGAGAAAGAAGACGAACTCGAAGAGCTTCACGAAAGGCTAGAAACCCTCGAAGGCGAAAAGGACAACCAGCTGAAAGCATTGCAACGACAACTGGAATCATTTGAGCGGTCAAAGAAGGAGGATCTTTCGGCATTGGAAGAAAGGATTCGACTAAAGGATCTAGACATCAAGTCTTTGGAACGCCAGGTCGAGTCTGCCGAACGTGAGAAGCAAAGCGAGGTCGATGCACTTCTCGACCGTGTGAGGATTGCCGAGGCTTCTGGCGGAAATCAGGCCCAACTTGCCCAGCAAGCTGCCAATGAGGCCCGTGAGAAGCTGCATCAGACGACCCGGGAGAAAGATGACGAAATCTACGCTCTTCAAGCCCGTCTAGATGCGGCTGAAGTCCTAGAAGACAAACTCGAGCAATGCCAACACCAATTACGCCAATACGCCGATGATGCGAGACGCCGAGACGCCGTTGAGGATAGGAGAGAGCAAGAGATCCAGAATCTCCGTGAACAGCTTCGTACCTCGGAGCGGAACATGAGCCCACTAAAGAGACGGATAGGAGAACGTGATGGCTCTGATCGAGAGTTGGAAAGACTTCGAACCACCCTGGCTGAGCGTGATCACGAGATTTTCAACCTGAAGCGTGCTGCTGAGAACCAAGCCGCATCTTTGGAGGAGCTTAAGCGCACTCAACTCGACGCTGCGAGCCGTTCTTCGGATGCAGAGGGTATCAAGAGGGCTTTGGAGTTCACCAGGAAAGACCTTGAGCAAAGCCGCAGAGCCCAGGAACAAGCCGAGTATGCTCTTACCCAACGCACACGCGAACTGGAATCCGCTCGTCAGTCTCTGGAGGAATTGAGGCGGTCACAACTCGAAGCCGCAAGCCGCTCTTCGGATCTTGAGGGTGTCACTAGGGCTCTGGAATTCACCCGGAAGGATCTCGAGCACAGCCGGAGGGCTCACGAACAACTCGACGCTACACTCTTCGAGCGCACTCGTGATCTGGAGGCAGCTCGTAGGTCTTTGGATGATCGGACTAGGGAACTGGAGGCTGTCCGTAGGAGCCTTGACCAACGTATCGTGGAACTCAATGACAAGAGCAGGGAGCTGGAAACTACCAAGAGAACCTTGGTTGAGCGGACAGAGGAGCTTGAGCTGCTCCGCAGCCACAAGGACGAGCCCGGCACGCAGTTCGAGCTTGTCAACAACCTTGCCCGAGAGCGCGAGCAGGACCTCGACCGTCTCCGATCCACCGTCAATGCTCGCGAGAAGGATCTTGAGGCTGTCCAAAAGCTAGCGAATGAGAGGCTAAATGCCATCAATGCGCTGCGAGAGCAGCTTGCTCAGTCAAAACAAGAACTTGAGGACGAGATCGAAGTCTTGATCGCTGCCGCTGACGAGGCTGACGTGGAGAAGGAGGCACTGGAGTTCAAGGTCACGCAGCTGGAGGAGGAACTCAAGGGCTCCGACCAAATCCAGAGCAAGATCGAGCCACTCGAGAAGCGCCTCCGCACCGCTGACCGAGAGAAGGCCAGCCTGCAGTCCGAGATTGAGTCACTCCAGCAGGACCTTGGCATCGCAGACAAGGATCGAGAATCCCTCCAAGCGCGGGTACGCAAGCTCGCCCAAGAACTTGAGCAGCTTCGCGCTTCTTCCAGCAAGGGACCCGACGTCTCGACTACGGGCGAACGCCGGGACCTGCACGGAGCCGTCAAGTCTGCGCAACTCGAGGCCGAGGAGCTCCGTCTCGAGCTCACGAACCGTGAGAAGCAGCTGTCGGAGCTGCAGACCAGGCTCCGCGAAGACAAGAAGAAGCACCGGACGGCAGAGCTCGAGAACGAGGAGCTCAAGCTCCAAATGTCGGAGAAGGACGGCGAGCTCGAAGCGTACGCGGCGCGCTTCAAGCGCGAAGGCGGCGCCAACCGTGACGCCATCAAGAAGCACACGGCCGACCTGAAGGAGCTGCACGAGATGCTGCGAAACGCGACGCTCGAGGTCGAGGAGCTGCAACTCGCCCTCGCCGAGCGCGACGCCCAGCTGGACGCGGCCACCAAGGACTCGCGCCAGAAGGAGCGCAAACTCAAGACGCTCCAGCTGCAGGCCGACGCCAGCGGCGATGCCGTCGAGCTCAAGGCCCAGCTGTCGGAGAAGGACAAGCGGCACTCGGGCGAGCTCAAGGGCCTGGCCAAGCAGATCCAGTACCTCCGCGCCCGGTGCGCGCGCGAGGAGAAGTTCCGCGACGGCTTGGCGTACGAGAAGAGGTTCTTCATGATGCAGATCGAGACGTACAACCAATGGTATGTCGTCCCCGTCCCCCGTTCCTTCGATCCTTTGTGTTTTGCTGACCTCGATCGAATCACAGCACTGGAGCCCACCTCCGCCTCGTCGAGGAAATGGGCATCACCCCCGACGTCTCCTTCCACAGACGTAAGCCTACCCTCCGCACCGCCGGCCTCGCCGTCATCGCCGCCGTTCGCATGCGTAAGATGCGCGAGGATTGGGCGGCCAGCAAGAAGCTGCATGATGCGCTTGTGAAGAAATTGGAGAGTATGAGGAGGGCGGGGAGGGCGAGCGGGAGGGTTGTGAGGTGAGAGGGTGAGCGAGTGTGGAGGGTTGATTGGAGAGAACGAGGGTGTATCGGGTACAAAATGGATCGGTTACTGGTATGTGGCGTTGGGCTTTGGGTGGTCTTCTCGGTTTCTCAGGGGTCTATTATTTGGAGTACGTTTCGGAGGGGGTTTGGCGTTTCGGTGTTGTTGTTGTTGTTGTTGTTCTACTTTACTGCCTCGTGTATATGGGGTGATCTACAGAGAATGGAGGCCAAACGGAGGTTGATGATGCTTCTTCATTTATATTTGTCGCGTACATGGTACGCATGCCTATTCGTATGGTCATTGGAAAATCGTTGAAGTATCATACGTACTTGTGCTTCTTTGATTGGCATGTCTCCTGCGTGAAACCAGATTCTACACCAAGTACCTACCCATGTTCACTGAGTAAGCCTTTTTGACGGAGTAAAGCCTCTGATTTCGTAGGGTTTCCGCTGGGGCCCAACCAATATCTACAGCTAAGAGGTTGAAAACAATCGGAACTCTATATTCAAGTATTCAGGAAACCAATGCAAGAAAAGAAATACGAAGAAACCGCTCCCAAGAAAAAAAGAAAAAACAAGTATCATGTCATTGATCTCCGTCCAGCCGTCCAAAACACCTCTTCCGAACGACGAAACAAACGGCCTCATCATCATCACCACCATCATCATCATCATCCCACCTATCGCCAGCCCCCCTCAATATCCCGGCGGCGGAGGAGAAAGATGCATCCGCATCTGCTGACCCCCCTGAGCGGCGCCGCCACCGCCGCCACCGCCCTCATACGCCGACGGCATATCAAACGGCGACACAGGCCGCGCCGGCGCGCCCTGCGGCGTCACCAGCGGATGCACCGACGGACTGTTCCGATAGCTCTCCGCCTCCGCCTCCGTCGTGCGGACATACCCCCCGGCGGCCCCCGCCCCAGCCTGATCCGGCCTAAACATCTGCGCGATATCCATGACCAAATCGCTCGGATTCGCGGCGTCCACGCACGCCGCCGCAAAACTCATGCACGGACCCGCGTGGCCGCGCTCGTCCGGGTGGTACATGCGCGAGCGGAAGCTGTAGTGGAAGAAGAAGGCGAAGGCGGCCATCTCGAGGCAGACGAGGGCGGAGGGCAGCCCGTACTTGACGTCGCGCGGGGAGAGGGTGCCGTTGCGCGAGAGGCCGGCGGGCGTGGGGACGAAGTTGAAGACGAGCGTCTGCAGGAAGATGACGAAGACGATGAGCTTGAAGGAGAGGAGCTTGGCGAGCGGCTTGTGCACGGCCATGAGGTGTTTGTTGGCGGTGTAGAAGCGGACAATGGTGAGGAAGCAGGCGACGAGGGAGATGTTGCTGATGAGGGTGATCTGCGTGGGGGGTTAGTGTGTGGGTGGTGGTGGTGGGGGGAGGGGTGTGCGGGCGTACCCAGATGTGGCCGAAGTGGATGGAGTTGGAGGCGGCGCAGTATGTGCCGGTTGCTGTGGAGGCTTCTTGGGCGATGATGAGGATGGTCTTGACGACGGGGTATTGGAAGACCATTATCCAGGTTTTCTGGACGGCGGCGGTCAGTATGGGGGGGAGTTGGATGGGGAGATGGGGTTGGGTCGTCTTACCTTGATGTCTGCGATGCTTTGGAACTCGTTGCGGGTCTGGGAGCGCGTGAAGCCGCTTTCGCGCACGGTGGGGTTCCGACCGTAGTGGACGAACAGAACAAAGAGGCATGCTAGAGCAAACGCCTCGTAGAGCTCCGGCAATGGCTCGATGTATTCGTATGCATCGTAGAAAAGAAGGCCCAGTAGAGAAAAGACGCTGTAGACGACGGGAGTCCAAATGAGGCGCACAATCTGGCGCTGTTCTGCCGGCCGAGAGTATCTGTGTAGGTGCTTGAAGATGAGGTAAAGGCAGGCGATGGTTGTGATGGCGATGCAGGGGATAGAGATGTAGGTAAGAAGCCACTGCGTGGTGATGCCGATATCCAGCGGCTGGCCATCCACGTCGGATATGGGCGCCGGACAGGTTGTGTTTTTCAGTTTATCGAGCATTGTTGGGTTGTGATGTGATGTGATGAAGTCGAATAAGCAGCCATGCCAGGCGACTATATAGACACTGGGCCTTGGGCCGCATACCGGAGGAACCGAGCCGCAGCGGCGTGGCTTTGGAAACTGACGGGGGAGTGTCACTGCAAGCCTTCCCCAAGCCTCTCAGACTTCGCATGGCATGCTCGTTTGGGTTTAGTCTTGTCAGCTGCGGATTGTTGGTGGACGTGCGCTGACGCGCGCTCAGCCACTCTTCCCACCGAACCAATCCTCCCAGCCCACTAGCGCCGACAGTTGCTGCCTATTCGGCCACTCAAGTACGCGTATAGCCTCTTTCCGTCACTTGTCGGTCAAGCATCACCCAGCATCAGCCAAGGCAAAGCTTGGCTTCGGGTTTAACGGACATGACTGCAACGTCCTCCGGGCTTGCATGAGCTCCCGTTTAACAGTACCGTCTTTGATCACAGAGCCAGCGCAGCTGCTCCAAAAACCCGTGAGTTTGAATGACTCAACGGCCTGCTCGCAACACCCGACAACAAGAAGAACACAATGGGACCGTGCTCCGGAGGCCTTCTGAGTTTATCTGAAGCACCGAACTCAGGGAAGAGATAGATCTGCACTGAAGAAATCTCACGAGCCTGCATAGGAGGAAGCGCAGGCGATTGTGGACCCGCCAAATCCTTCCAAATGGAGCGCTGGCCCACATGCCGGCCTCCAAGTCGGACAAAATTAGCATATGCCTCTCCGCCTGGAGATATAATAAAACACTACGGAGACGCGGATACGGACAAGCCGTATCAAGATGCAAGTGTTCAGTTGTGTTCTTCTTGATTTGTCAAAATGAATTTGAAGTATTGAACGAGATTCGCCTTTCACAAAGGAAAAGCGACCGTGTGTCGAACGCATGGAGTTCGCCGAAGCCGTCCTAAGGCCGTCGACGGAGGGAGCGCCATGTTCGGCTTCTTCACCAAGAGCGGGGAGGTGCTTGCCGCACAGTTATCACAGCGGAGACATCGATGATTGTTGGGCGATAGCAACGTCAGCAATAGGGCTCAAAAAGTGTGCGGAGAGTGAAAATGCACAGCTGTCCCGATGCAGTAAGGTGTGCGAGTGGGGGCTGGGGCCGAAGCTCAATCCGCTTTCCATCACATGCATAGGAAGGATTGTGGCCCCTGCGCATCTTGAGCAGGGCGCAGCACGACTATCGGTGTAGTAGTTTCTGATGTCTATTCTGCCTTGTACCCTTATATGCCTGCCTAACGAGATCGAGCAAAGTTCTGATGATGAGAGGATCAGCTTGTTTGATCAAAGCGCAGAGCCTGACCTCGCTGTAAACGGCTACATTGTGCGCAAGCCTTGTGGATCGGAAAGGGACGGCATAACCTACATGAGTGCCTGCAGCCAAATTGTGGAACGACAGAAACCGCTCCCTGCTCCCTGGAACCATGGTACAGTTTATCTTCAGCACGGCCGACAGATAAGCATGCAAAGTAAATCTCCCTGGTAGTGAACCCTAAATACCTACAGAGTCCACAACAACAGTCGTGGCCCTTTTTTCTTTTTTTGTGTTCCCAGACATACACAAGCTCCACAAGCTCACTAAGAGATCCGTTGACGAACGATATGGGTCAAACGCTTGCTGCAGGGCTCACAAAGAGCTACTACCTTTGGCCTCATAATTCTCGGCCAACGGTACACGCTCTAGATCAGACGAAGATACCGCGGAAGGTAAGCCACGAACCGCTCTTGTTCTAGAAACTTGATCCGAGACATGCAGCTCCCTCCTCGACGATGATGTCCAGCACATCAGGTAAACGGCATTGTTTGGGGCCCCGGCCAGATGTGCGAAGAACGTGGCTCGTGGCATGGGAAAGAGCGGGGATCCTGCCGCGGCCCGGGAGGAGTCCAGTCCAGAAGCCATGATGAAGCAATAATGGAAGCATCATGTCAGACGAGACGGAAGCCTCCCGTCCGCTTCCGTCCCCGCTCTGCCACCGCTTTCGGTTAGCGACGTCATATGGCCACCCATGACGCAGAAGCTCCCCCCCCGTCGCCTATAAGTAGCAGCGAGCTTCCGCATCACTCGGAGCGCAGCAGTTTCACCGAAGCAAACCAGAGATACATACATCTCCTCGCTGGAAAAGACACCACTGCATTATTCGAACTTGAACCAGTATACCTTTCGAACCAACCATGGGATGCAACTGCGGATCTACTTGTACCTGCAACGGCCCTCAGTCCTGCACTTGCGCGGGAGGATCCTGCTCTTGCAGCAGCTGCGGCGTGAGTGATCATAGAGTGCTGCTGTTGTGGAATATGAGAACTAACCATCCCCTTATAGAAATGAGCCATCAGGATCAGGACATCAGTCTTGACGGCCCTGCTTTTTCCTTCAATTCAGTCCATTCCACGAATATTGCAGCCCACGGGCGATGAAGTGGCAAAAAAATGTATTACTTTGACCTTCTGAAAAGAAAATGGAACCACCATTGCGAACGCCACGCAAATTGCAAGTGACTGTAAAACACGGTTCCTACGCCCCTCCCCCTTAACGAGGCCACGTCCATCGAGTCGATTAGCAAACCTCGCGAGCACAGCCCTCTCATGCCAGCGCACCGCTCACGCACCCCGGCTCAATCGCTTCCAGCTTCGCAACAAGCTGATCCCACACCTTCTTCTGCATCTTCCGGCCTTCCTCGGTCCTAATGAACGGCGCCGTCTTATCCCTACAACACACACACGTGACATCAGCCCGAGTCCCACACATAGATAGACAGACAACAAGAGGTAGGTAGGTAGGTAGGTGGGGTAGGTAGGCAGGTAGGTAGATAGGTAGGTAGGGGTACTCACGCCCTGATCTCGCAATCCCCACAGACCTCGCCATGGCTCTCCCTCCCGGCCACCGCCGCGTGCAGCAGCGTGCGGCTGCCGACCTCGGCGGAGCGGCCGACGAGGGCGCGCATGGTCACGATCTGCAGCCAGTAGCCCCAGGGCACGTTGCGGGCGAGCTCGGTGGAGCAGAGGCCCGGGCAGAGGAGGTTGATGACGACGTCGGTGCGCTCGACGGGCTGCAGGCGGGCGAGCTCGCGGCCGGCGTAGACCTCGAGGAGCTTGGAGACGGGGTAGCTGGGCGGGGCGTCAGTGTCGGGTTGTATGTATGTACCTGTTTTACGTGGGGGGGTGTGGGTGTGTGTCTGGCTTGTTGCTCACCGTTCGGACATGTAGGTCGCGTTGTTCTCGGCCAACGCGGCGAAGACGTCGTCCTGCTGGCCCTCGAGGAACTTTGCGGTGCGGTGTATCCCGCTCGTGACGATGGTCAGGTGCGGGGTGGTGGCGAAGGCGGCGGCGCTGGCCTTGAGCTTGGGGAGCAGCAGCACGGCGAGCAGCACCGTCCCGATGACGTTGACCTGCACCGACGTCTCCGTGCCCTCGGCCTCGGTCCACTCGGCGAGGGCGACGCCCGCGTTCTCCAGCAGCACGTCGATGCGGTCCAGCTCGGCGGCGGCGCGCTTGGCGAAGGCGCGGACCGAGGCGTTGGAGGCGAGGTCGAGCGGCCAGACCTCTGCGACGCCGGGGCGGCCCGTCGCCGCGTCGATGGCGTCCTTGGCCGCTTGGCCCTTGGATGCGGACCGCACGGCTAGGATGACCCGGGAGGCGTTGAGGCGGACGAAGTGCTTGGCCGCTTCGAAACCGATGCCGGTGTTGCTGCCCGTGACGATGATGGTTTGGCCGGTGCAGTCGGTGGGCGCGATGGGGAGGCACTTGTATTGGTCGCGGAGAAGGTCGAAGAAGGGCATGGCTGTGGCTGTGGCTGGAGATTTGGTGTTTGGTGGTGGATGTGATGCGGAGAGTCAATGGTGATATACTCGAAACATAACAATTTCATGGTGTTTTTATATATATGGTTTGTAGAGCAGAGGCGGAATCGCTTGTAGGCCGTCTCCGGGCTTAAGTCCGGGGAAGGTGTTGGAGGTTGGTTGAAGGATGACGCTGTGACGTGCTTAACTCCGGCTGCTCCCTTGTCCGGACCCCGCGGATTCCGCACGATTCGGATGGTCTGTCTATCCGCTTTGCAGGGAAGGGTGGGATTATTAGTCCTGAGCTACGAGCACTCCACGGTATCGCATCCTCCCCTCCTCCAGCGTCGCGAAGGCGTCAGCCACCCCAGCCTCAGTCATGGGGAAGCTCTGGATCCACGGCACGATGCCATGCCGGCCGACAAAGCGAAGCATCTCAGCATAAGTCTTCCTCGACGCCTCGGTCGACGAGATGATCTTGTGGCCGGGCAGGACGAAGGCCATGTACGGAATGTGGACAGGGTCTTGTTGGATGGTCATGAAGACGATGCGAGCCCTCGGCGCCAGCAGCGGCAGCAGCAGCTCGAGGTCAGGCACGCGGTTGGAGCACAGCAGGAGCACGTTGATGGACGAGCCATCAGGCGCAGCCCGTCCTCGCTGGCGGAGCGTGTCCAAGGCGATGAAGTCGTCGGCACCGAGCTTAGACGCGTCGGCCCTCTTGGCCTCGTGGTTGGAGATGGCGGTGACGGCGCATCCCCAGCGCGCAGCGAACATGATGGCCATGTGTCCCAGCCCGCCGACGCCGACGACGCCGACCCTATCGCTTGGTTTGGTGTCGGCGGCGCTAAGGGCTTCGAAGGTGCTCGCGCCGGCGCACATCAGGGGAGCGGCCGACTCGGAGGGCACGTCGTCGGGAATGGGGTGCACGAAGGGACGGCTACGGATGGCGTAGTCGCCCATGGAGCCCTGGTCCAGCTCTCCGAAGGCGAAGCCACAGGAATGGGCGCAGTACTGCGGGTAGCCTTCGGCGCAGCACTCGCAGGAACCGCAGGACTGGACGACGCGGTCGGTCAGCAAGGTGCTCCATCTGGTGGGCAACGTCGCGGCGAACGCACATGGTGCAGCCAACTGGCGGCGGTCAGCCTCGAATGGATAGAGGGGCGCTGTTCGTCGTCCAGACGGCACTCACCCCCAGCCGACCCTCTGGCCGAGCGTCAGGTCCGTCACTTGGGTGCCGACGCGCACGACGGTGCCGACGCCCTCGTGGCCCAGGCCGCAGCCCTTGGCGGCGTGCTTCGCATGGACGTCGGTGTAGCAGAGGCCGCTGTGGGTCGTCTTGACGAGCACCTCGTTGGCTCCCAGCTCGCGGTCGGCCGACGTCCTGACGAAGGCATTGGAGGGCTGGTCGAAGCGGAAGGTGGTGATGGCGTAGGAGGGCATATCGTGTGCGGGCGTCGGCAAGCGCGCCCGCGGAGCTGACTTGGGCCCCGACTTCTGAGCCGGCCGGCCACTACTTTTGCCGCCATCCCCGTCATTCTGACCCGCGAAGACGGAAACAATGATTCATCTCTATCCAGACATCGACCCGTGAACAGGACTTGCAACGTACAGCGAACCGGCCTCGTAGCTGTGCCCTCACCACCCACGCGTGCGACTCAGCCGTCTCCATCAGATCTTTCCACATCTGGAAGATTACTACGCAAGATGCATCCCGGTATTATGCAGGTCAACTTCACACAAGATGTTCTTGCATGCATTCACGTATTTTATTGGGACCATCGGGACTTTGACTCGTTCTTACAGGTTGAAACTTCGGATTACACACTTTCTCCCAGCTTCATCTCCTCGCAGAACCTTCTCCACTGCCCGCGAATTTATGCATGCTGGAGCAGTTTCAGTCAGCGCTAATGCGCAACAGACATTATCTATCATTACTACCATCACCCCCCGCTTCGGCTCTATACAGTTGCACCGTGCTGATCTATTGCCATCTGTAACCCGTCTTGGAAACGACTATCACTGGGACTGCTTGCAAATCTCGGAAACGCGGCAACCCGGAAATGTTCAGCCTCTCGGAAATATTGATTTCTGCCCTGCGCATGACGCTTCAGCCCTCTCTGTGGGGCTCAGCAACTATCGCATGGTGGCCAGACTCACGACAACCGAACACACCCCCGCTTGCCAGAGAAGCCGCGGTGGACCGTAGCCACGTTGGCGGGGCTGACAACACACAAGCTCCATTGCGGCTGTAAACAATCCCCGTCTGTGCTGCGGATCCGGATCCGGGGAACGTTGTGGGGAAATGTAGTCACGCACGACGTAGCTTCGACGAAATGCGGGGAGCGACTATCTGCTGCACATCGCCTCCAAAATCACACCCGACCCCTCCTTTCACCATGCGGAGCCGCACCAGCTTTCAGCGCGCTTCCGCTCACCACCACCTGCCCGTACACTCCCCATTGGACCATGTACCAAAAGTTGCCTGATGTAGACTCAACCCCTCACCCATGAACAGCTGGCTGCCTGGGATCCACGATGTTCCTCCTTTGCTGATCCCATCTCGCGGAACCGTCCAAGATGACATCTCCATTTCCGCCTCTGTTTTCTTCGTTTATGCCTCTATTTAAACCAATCTTCTTTGCCTTCTACGTCTTGAGACAAACCTCGCATTCCCATTCATCATCTGAACCTTCATAAGCTCTGTACCCTGCACAGCCCGTTTCCGCTTTGAGCCAGCAGTTCAAAAATCCCCATTCACCATGGTCGGCCCCATCAAGACCGAGCTCCGCGAGTACGCCCACCGGCCCAGCGACGGCACAGGGCCCTACGCCGACAACCTCGAGACGGACGTCTTGATCGTCGGCGCCGGGTTCGCCGGTGTGTACCTCCTCCACGAGCTGCGGTTGCAGGGCAAAAAGACCGTCATCTACGAAGCCGGCGACGGTTTCGGCGGCACTTGGTAAAGCCAGCCCCCTTCTCCTCCTCGTTCCTCTCCCCATCCTTCTTTTCCTTTTCTTTCTCCAGCTCCACCCCCACTCACCTCCTCCTCCTCCTCCAGGCGATGGAACCGCTACCCCGGCGCCCGCGTCGACTCCGAAGTCCCCGAATACCAGCTCTCCATCCCCGCCGTGTACCGCGACTGGACCTGGACGACCAACTACCCGGACTTCACCGAGCTGCGCGCCTACTTCGCCCACGCCGACCGCGTGCTCGACCTCTCGCGCGACACGGCCTTCAACACCGTCGTCGTCGGCGCCGCCTTCGACGAGGCCGCCGGCCGGTGGACGGTCAAGACGGAAGACGGCCGCACCGCGCGCCCGCGCTTCCTGATCGTCGCCGCCGGGTTTGCGGCGAAGCGCTACGTGCCGGATTGGAAGGGGATCGATTCTTTCGAGGGCTTTATTTGTCACTCGTCGTTTTGGCCAGAGGAGGACGTCGACGTCAAGGGGAAGCGGTGCGCGGTCATTGGGACGGGCGCGTCGGGCGTGCAGATATCCCAGGAGTGGGGGCCCAAGGTTGGGGAGGGCGGGAGTTTGAAGTAAGCGTGTTTTCTTCCGTGTCTCCTCTGACATGTCAGCATGTCACTGCGAGAGAGAGAGAGAGAGAGAGAGAGAGAGAGAGAGAGAGAGAGAGAGAGAGAGAAATGAGCGTTGCTAATGGGGTTGAGCCAACAGGGTCTTCCAGCGGACGCCCAATCTGACCGTGCCCATGGGGAAAAAGCCCCTGACGGCGGAGGAGCAGAACCAAACGAAGCAGTTCTACCCGCAGCTGTTGAAGTTGCGCGAAAAGTGCTTTGGGGGCTTCATGTTCGGCTTCAGCGAGAAGAACACGTTCGAGGACTCGGCCGAGGAGCGAGAGGAGCACTTCCGGAAGCTCTGGGATCACGGCGGCTTTTCGTTCTGGCTTGGCAACTACAAGGATTACCTTTTCGATGCGAAGGCCAATCGGGAGGTGTACAACTTTTGGTAAGTCCGAGATCCTGGACTCTCCCAAGACTCTAATGTTGGGCTAATGCGCAGCCATGCAGGGCTAAAAACCAACGAGCTCGTATCGGGGACCCCCGGAAGAGAGACTTGCTCGCCCCTCTGGAGCCCCCACACGCCTTGTAAGTACTAGCACTCCGTCCAATCCCCTTGGGCTGCGCAAGCTGACGGGCACATTCCAGCGGCGTGAAGCGGCCCTGCCTGGAGCAGAACTACTACGAGCAGTTCAACCGCGAGAACGTCGACGTCGTAGACATCGCCAACAACCCGGTCGTCGAGATCAAGCCCAACGGCATCCTCCTTCAGGACGGCACCCTGCACGAAGTCGACGTCATCGCCATCGCCACCGGCTTCGACATCACCACCGGCGGCATGACCAACATGGGCCTCACCAGCATCCACGGGACCACGCTCAAAGACGAGTGGAAAGACGCGGCGTACACGTACCTGGGCACCACCGTCAGCGGGTATCCCAACATGTTGTAAGTACATACATACCGTACCACGCATCACCCCAGTCCCGTCCCCGTCCCGCGCCGTCCCGCTGTGCTGCACGCGCGCATACGCACGTACGCATGCGGTGCAGTGCAGCGCAGCGCAGTGCATCGCATCGCTTTGCTTTACTTGCTGGCTTGCTTGCTCACAAAAAGCAACAATTTACCAGCCACCTCTACGGCCCGCACGGCCCGACGCTCCTCTCCAACGGACCCACCAGCATCGAGGTCCAGAGCCGGTGGATCGTCGACTGCATCAAGGCGGTCGACCGGGCGGGGCTCAAGTACATCGACCCCACGCCCGAGGCCAGCAAGGAGTGGAAGCAGCGCATCAACGAGCTGTCGGACAAGTCGCTCTTCCCGACGACGCGCTCGACGTACATGGGCGGCAACGTGCCCGGCAAGCCGTTCGAGCAGGTCAACTACGCCGGGGGCATCCCCATGTATGCGCAGGAGATACGGGAGGCGCTGCCGGGGCTCAAGGGGTTCAGGACGGTCAAGGCTTGAAGACTCCCGAGGAGTGGTTTGACTCGGATCGATACTTTTTCGGCAGTGCCTCGTAGGTGTGTAGGCTACAGTGGGCTCGGTGTCTCTGGTGTCGGAGCTCTAGCATGCATCGTATAGCTAAATACAGACGGTTTCTGCATACGCATTCAAACTTGATTAATGCTCGACAGACAGTCTCACTTCATTTCCGCCCGGCTGGGACTTTCCCCACTCCATGTCCACAGCACACGTCGATCGCTTGCTTAGAATGCAGTCCGGGTGAGTGTTCTCATTGGAAGTGGATGCAGCAATGGCCACGACAGCTGTGGGGCTGTCTCATGCCGGGTAGGGCCGAGGCGCCAAAAGACTCGGGGTAAGGCTTTAGCAGCCCTTACATAAGCGGGCAATCTCGAAATCTTTTCACCATGTGGGGCCCGCCCTGTCGAAACCCGGGGTCTCTGTCTATCTCGACCCACAGAAGGGAAAGCGAAAGACGCACAGTACGGAGTAGCACTTGAGTGTTGCATCCAGTCGGCAGGCTGATATGGGAAACGTGTTCCGACTGCTGCCAGCATTAACGTACGTCGTGCGTGAGGCTGAGGATGCTGATCCCGACAGCAGGCAAAAGCAAGCAAAAGCAAGCAAGCTAGAGCTCACAAGGCTGCAAGGTCCCGGGATGTCTGGTTGGTGGGATGTGACAGTGGGCTTAAAGGGTGGTGCATGTATAAGGGAAGAAGCACGGGCGAAGTGGTACTGTTACGGCCTGGATTGGGCAAGCAGAGCAGCAATAAGGGGCTGGTCTTACTGTAGATGGCGGCAATGTCCGACCGCTGTCTTCTGGACCCTGCATAGGCAGGCATATGCAGGACCCACGCGTGATTTCTTTTGGCGCGAGCAATTTCTGGTCCGGAGGATGCTTGGCACGGGCGAATTTTGCGCTTTTCGGAGTTACACGACGGCTTGACGAGGCTTCGGCCTTGTCCGCCATGGAGCGCAGACGTGGTTTGCGTGTCGGATCAAACGGGGGCCGGGCAGCCGAGGGCCGCTGACGGTGCCGTGCCTCTCTCGGCCCATGAGGCAGCTTCGGCAGAGGGCAATCGATCCATTGGAGTGAGTACGGACACACCGCCCCAAGAATAATACGACGTCGCCGGTGAAAGCTGGATCCGTGGTTCACTAGAGATACTGTAGATGACGGGAGCCCCACGTGGAAGCGCAATGGACCGGTGGCACTCCCGCCAATGGCAAGTGTTGGGCAGGCGGCGAGTTTGTCAAAGGCTCGGGGCTAGAAGGGAGGCCTCCTTTCGGCGGGCGGGATCTGCCCGCACAAGCGCGGCCGTCGCCAATGACAGGTCACGAGCAACTCCTTTCGACTTCGCCAGCACCGGGACACGCGGGACGCGTGCTGATCCATCGCCCTAGAGCACGATAGCCCAATCAGCGGCTCCCCCGCATTCCCCACGGCTGGGCCTGATCCCGGGTGTTTATCTGTGTGGTTAGCTGGCGGGCTCGAGTCAGGATGAGGCTAGCAGCGCATCGTCTTATAACTGATCCAGGGGCCCCGCCTATGGAGACCCGCTTTCCACGTCACTCGCAGGCCGACGCCGACATCATGTCCCATCCGCAGCCCGTGTGCGACTTCTCGACCACCCCGACCTCCTCGCAGCCCATGAAGGCGGGCTTCAAGACCGGCCGCCGCCAGCACCGCAGCTGCGACCAGTGCCGCAAGGGCAAGCGCGCCTGCGACGTCGCCTTCGCCAAGGAGCCGGGTAAGCTCTCCCTCTGCTCGCCGCCCTGCACCACCACCAGTTCCCCCACGCTCATCGCTCGCCCCCTCCAGGCGGAAACTCGGACGACATCACCGCCCTCGGGCCGTGCTCCAACTGCAAGCGGACCGGCAAGAACTGCACCCTGCAATGGCTGCGCGCCGTCCACCGCGCCTCGCTGCGCCCGCGCCGCGACTTCGACACCCCTGCCGACCCGGCCAAGCCCGACGACGACACCACCACCACCACCCTCTCCCAGTCGCCCCAGGCCCAACAAGGCGCTCGGACCCTGCCCACGGCCTCTGATCAGCAGCCGGGAGCTGCCTATGCTTACTCGTACCCTTACTCGCCCACCGTCGCCGATCCCGTGTTGGCCGTCCTGCTGCCGCCTCAGCACCAGCACCAGCATCAGCAGCATCAGCAGCATCAGCAGCACCAGCAGCAACAACAACAACAACAACAACCCCTTCCCGATCAATGGCCCGCGTCCGGCTTCGACCCTCTGCCCCTGCGCGCCGTGGCCGACGCCCTGGACGACGATTTCCGCTTCGAGCATGTCCCGCAGGAACAGCAGCCGCAACAGCAGCAACAGCAACAGCAGCAGCAACAACATCAGCAGCAGCAGCAACGTGAACAGGCCGACTACCAGCGTGCCTTCTTCCCCACGGCCGCGGCGCCGCCGCCGTCGAACGTGTCGCCCGGGTCCAACGGGCTGTACCTCGCGGGCGCGGCCTGGGAGTGCGACGAGACCAGCGAGAGCCCGGAGAGCGTGGAGCAGGCGGTCGAAGACGTGCTGACCGAGTCGGTGACGCAGAACGAGCTGGTGCCGTGGCGCATGGCGGCGGGCGGCGGCGGCGGCGGCGGCTTCGGGCAGACGCGGGCCCGCAGCCCGTCGTCGGCCGCCAGCTTCAGCAGCTTCATCGACCACCTGCAGCCGTCGACGCTGCAGAGCCGGCTGTCGTCGACCATGAACCAGTCGGTGCTGACCAAGGGGCTGTGGAAGGTGTACCACGACAGCTTCGAAAACGCCCTCTCCTGCTGGCTGACGGAGAAGACGTGCCCGTACACGTACCAGATGCTGCCGGCGCCCGGAGACAGCAGCAACGACGCGGCCTCGTCGTTGTCAGAGGTATGGGGTCCCGCGTGGGTGGATCCGTCGTACATCGCCGCTCTCTTCGGCGGGACTGACCAAGATCCTTCTTCACAGGGCAATCGCATCGTCAAGCGCGTGTGCCACCTGGACAAGTCGTGGGCGAAGCTGCGCCACCGCGGGCCCATGAGCCAGCAGGAGGACCGCGCCGCGTCGCGCGCCCTGCAGCTGTCCATCATGGCCTTCGCCACCCAGTGGGCCCAGGGCAGCCAGCGCAGCTCCGCCCAGTTCGCCGCCGACGATGCCGGCATGCCGTTCCCCTTGGACGGCGAGTTTGACCGCATGCTGCAGGAGTCGTTCTGGCACCAGGCCCGCCGCGCCCTGCAGGACGCCGCCGACTGCGAGTCGTTCCGCGTCGTGCTGGCCCACATCATCTTCTCCTTCACCCAGAAGCCCCTCAACCTGGACCAGCACGTCGCCGCCGACGCCGCCGAGGACGGCGACACGTCGCGCCTCGACGACATCATCGAGGCCGAGGGCCCGCCCGTCTTCCTGGAGACGGCGACGAGGCAGGTCTTTGCCCATCGCGCCAAGCTCAACCGCATGATGGGCCGCACCGGCCCCTCCAGCCCAGCCAGCAATCTGGAAACAGCTGACCGCAAGGTACGTATTTGCTCCTCCTGGCTTCCCGTTCGCGCTGCTGACACACCCGGCAGACATTCGACATGATGTTCTGGCTCTGCGTCATGTTCGACACGCTCTCGGCCGTCATGAACGACCGCCCCCTCATCGTCTCGGACAAGGACAGCAAGATCCACCCGGACCGGAAAGCCAGCGCCTCCAGCGCCACCAGCAACGGCTCGGCCGCCAACATGTTCGACGCCGGCTCGACCGGCGACCTCTTCACCGACGGCGCCTTCTCCGCCTCCCTCCCGGAAGAGCCGTCCGGCGACCTCTGGGGCGACCTCTTCCTCAAGCCCAAGCAGCTCCGCTGGGGGAACCAAGGCATCCCGCGCTGGCCCTGCTCGTACGAAGAAGCCGCCACCACGCTCTGCAACGCCTCGCCCGTCAAGGTCCTCCTCTACCGCAAAGTCGCCCGCCTCCAAACCCTCATGTCGCGCGTGTCCACAGCCCCCGCAAAGATGGAAGCCTCCGTCACCGAATCGCTCAAGGTCTACCAGCACTGGAACGCCACCTACCGCCAGTTCTTCCTCGACTGCATAAACCACCACGAGTCGCTCCCGCCGCGCATCCAGTCCTGGTACGTCATCCTCGCCGGCCACTGGCACCTCGCCGTCCTGTCGCTCGCCGACATGCTCGCCCGCATCGACGAGGGCGGCATGGGCCTGGAGCCGCAGCGCGAGCAGCGCGCCCGCTCCCGCCTCGTGGCCATGCTGCGGAAGGAGAACGCGTCGGCCATGTCGGACGTCGGCCGCGTGTCGTCGCCCGGCGGCGCCGACTCGTCGTTCGCCCGCGCCCAGGACTTCCACTTCGCCGTCAACAAGGGCGCGCTGCTGACGGAGCCGTGGACCGTGGTGCTGGTCAGGGCTTTTGCAAAGTCGGCCCGCGTGCTGCTCGACCTGGTGCCCGCGCCCGACCAGATGCACCTGTCGCCCGCGATGAACGGCGTCGGCGTCGGCGTCGGCGTCAGCATGGGCGCCGCGGATGAGTACATGCGCCGCTGCGAGCACTGCATCAAGGCCTTGTGGTACCTCGGCCGCAAGTCGGATATGGCGTACCTCGTCGCGACCATCTTGTCCAATTCGCTCAAGGCGAAGGCGATGAAGTTGGCTGCGCCGTCGCCCTTGCGACAGAATAGCGGCGTGGGGGCTGCGGCGGCACAGCAACAACAACAACAACAACAACAACAGCAACAGCAGCAGCAGCAGCAGCAGCAGCAACAGCAGCAACAGCCTCCTCAGCCTCGCCGACCGACCATGGACTCGAATTTCTACGACCCGTGGCAGGGATGGGGGAACGGTGGCCATTTGGACACGTCGCTCTATGCTACGTTATAGAAGTTTGTTGGTCTTATAGGATGGACGGGAAAAGTAAATGGATTACGCGCTTCTCTTTCTCTCTCCTTTTCTAAATTTGGGAAGATGTTCGTTTATAGACGGGAATTACGCCGTGACGGTTCTTAGTCTTCTCTCTCTCTCTCTCTCGTTCTCTCTCTCTCTCTCTCTTATATTCAGCTACTGCGCAATCATAGGGCTCAATATACCGTCATGGTCGGAGGGGGTGTTGCTACATATACGGCTAGGCTAGGCTTACACGGTTCAGGGTTGAAGGTTGGAAACCGGGGGAGTGCAAGGTGTTGATCGTTTTTATTTACTGTCGATTTCTCATGTACAATGGAATTGCAAATACATACGTCGTTCTCAGCTACATACGAACGTCAAATCTGTGGTAGCAGCAGCAGCAGCAGCTTCGGGCTCTGATAGGTACCTATCCAATCGCCCGCCAAGAGTGGCGGCGCCAACTCCACGCAAGCCCCTTCCGCCCACCCCAAGCTTTCCGCCATGGGATAAGAAAGAAAGAAAGGAAAAAAAAAAAAAGCCTCCTCCGGACGGCCCGCCGCCACTCCTGCTACTAGCCCCAGCCATCATCGCGTTTGCCAAGCGCCCAAAAAAAAAAACGGGCGGCGCCAAACTTGTTTTCCGCGCCTGCAACGGCGTCCGTCGTCGATGATCGGAGGGGGACATGAGTCGCAGGCTCGCAGCGCGGCGGTCCCGACTCCCGAAGCACACCAGTCCGAAAACAGTCGGCCGAACGAGACAACGATGATGATCTCCAGCCAGCCCCGTGTTTCCGCATCCGCCCGGCCGCCGCTGGCCTTTTTTTTCAGCAGCAGCAGCCCATCTCTCGCCACGATCTCTCGATCCGCATCCGTTGGTCACGAGACGGGAATGCGTCACAAGTCGATCCAGTCGCGGGTGGCTCGGCGACGTTCTTGTTTTATTACTGATGTTCGCCGTGACGCGTAATTGCGAGGGCCGGCTCGATGGGGGAGACTTTCTTGTTTTTATTATTCGGCTTACGTGGACGGACGGCTGTGATGGTGTGGAAACTGGAAAGCGTGATGGGTTGGGTTGGTATGTATCATCCCCTACCTAGGCGGGGACCAACAGTTGACCCGATCCCGCCGGAAGAGACACCGAAGGTCTTTGTGAGATGGAGATTGCGCTCGGAGCGAGCGCCTCTCGAGAACCGTGGCAGGCAGACAGGCACGTTTGACTTTCGGGTTCTTCCTTTTCGAGCGAGCCTTGCTTGTGTCGTCGTCGCTACGAGCCAACGTTTCTTCGGTCGTTCGATGAACGCGCGCCATCAGCCTCTAGAAGTGCGTGTACGGCATGGGCGGTTCTGCTCGTTCGCGGACCCAGGTACTAGCTCAGGTGCAGCAGCGAGCTTGCCTCGCGACCCTTTTTTTTGTATTAATTTTTTTTCTTTAAACAAAAATCTTCCGTCGAGATATACCCAGAGGGCGATCGCGGTAGAAACCTGCAGGCTTATCAGCCAATGTAGTCTCAGCGCCTATCAATCGACTTGAAGAACTCAAGCTTGTCATGCGTCTTGCGGTCCAGCAGGAGTCAGCGGTCGTCTGCTTATCCTTGAGGGCACCGGGAAGGCAAACCGCCAAACCGACAAACGAAGACCTGCAGTACGTTCACATGGTGTTGCTGTACTTTCGACCCCTGCTTCTCCTGACGGACCGGTGCTTTATTTCTCACCTTTCCTTCGGAAGAGCTTATTGTCGGCGGTGCGGTCCGGTGCAAAACTTGGGTTTCCCCAACTTCGGAGTACGATTGCCGGAGGGGGCGTCATCAGTGGACCCACTAGGATCTTCGCGTCGCGATTATAGCAGCTGTGCAGCTTGAAGAAAGATGTCCGTAATGCGGGAAGTCGATGTTAACGACATGCGTTTACCGCAGGAACGATTACCATATATGTATCAAGTCTGGCGGTCTGCTATTAACCCATAGGTCGTAAGAAAGAAAAATCAAAACGTAAAAACAACTTCATGTAGTCAACCTCTAGCTAACTTGTCTTTGGTCGATCAAACTTACGCCCTAAGCATGTCAGAGTCACCACTTGACTGTTCTCGCACGCACGAAAGAGATTATCGCAGGGACATCCTTTTTACAGCACAGGCGCTTCGATTTTGTACTCTCGATAATTAATCATATCCAAGCAGGGGTTTCAGTAAACCAATTCAACCAGTTCAAGCTTTTGCAAAGACCAGATTGCACTTACTTTACCAACGCTTTAAGCCACGTAGATTAGAACTCTTCTCCCAAATTACGAAACTGAATTGCAAACTAGACGGGTACATCAAGCAAGTACCTACAACGGAACCACGGTCTGAATCCCGAAACCGTGTTAAATTGATCAACCCTCATATCGACTGGGGGGAGCCCTGTATCCAAGCCCAATTGACACACGGCACGTCGGAGCTCGGCTTCGGGGCCCGGATGACTGACTGACTGACTCCACAGCGCAGCTAAGCTAAACCCCAAATCCTTTCCATCCCAAGCATACGAAAGGCTGTTAACAGACAGATTCACACAACCACGCGGCCTGGCACTCGGATGTTTACGCGGTCAAAGGGCTGCTTCTCCGAAGAGTTATAACGCATGATCGTCGATCCGGGAATCGGATGGCGACCCTCGTCCATGTTCACCTGCACGCGCTGGCACGGGTTCCATTGTTCCTGCCCGAGGGCACCGTGGAAGTTGTCGATGGCCTGCCGTGTAGCTTGGAATGCATGGAATGGAGGGCCATCGGACTTTTGATTAGCATCCATGCGGACCTGCGACCGGCACGCTCTGAATGGGGGTATGGGAGAGTACCGTTTCGTGAACGTTGCTGGGTCGGGGTTCTGGGGCCGGTTTAGGATGGAGAGGGCTGGAAGAGTCTGGGCGTTCGCAAGTGTTGTGGATTTTGGGGTGCGACGCGGGACGGAGCTCGGGGGGTGGTGGTACGACTTTGAGAATGCGGACTATCTGAGCTCCGCCCATCGCTTGCTTCTGACGTCGGACTCGCGCGTCTGGGCTGGTGGTTGTGGTGCAGCGCGTAGGCTGTTCAGCGCTACTGAACTGTGTTGTGGTGTGCTGACGGCTACCACAGGTGGCTTTCCGAAAGGGTGACAAACTTGCTGATGCTGCCCGCACGTCTACCCCGATATCTACACCATGACTTTTACGATCCACCACCTTCAGCGATCACACCCTGAGCGCACCGTATAGCTCCACGAAGGACTCGGAATTGAGTGCGGACCCAAAATCTTCCAGCGACGAGGTAGTCAGCCAAGGGGGCCCGCCAAACCTCAAAGCCATATTCGTCTACGTCCCCACCAACCTCCACCGACCTAACCGACGCTCTGAGCCACGCTTCTAGTGCAGCCCCCCGCGATCGAAGAGGGGCAAATCGCCATCCCCGAGAGCGGGCGCCATCGTGCACTACAATCCCGCCGAAGTACGGAAACGGCCGCCTCACTTGCGCCATTCGATTTCGAACGGGGGGTCCGCGGCGCGATCCAGCTGGCCGGGATGGCTGGCTGGAGAGAATCGCGCAGAGGCCGGCCGGCAATGCAAGGACGTGATCGAGGAAGCCGGGCAACGGAGGGGCGTTGACGGAGGGAAGATGCCTGTTCAGCTGGAAGCCCCGGCACCGCATGCAGCCTGTTTGGGATGTCTCATCGTTGGCAGTCGGCTGCGAGGAGGAGGCCAGCAGCATTTCCATAGCCGCCAACCTGTCATCAAAAGCTCTTGCTCCTCCTCCTCCTTCCCCGTCGTCGCTATAAACCCCCCTCCCCGCCTTCCTCTCGCCGTGGCCAACATGTTCCTGCACGTTGTCATCCCAACTCGTCCACCGGCCACTGCGGCTCCTTATAATCCCCGAGGCGGCGGCCGTGCGAGCCGCTTCGCTTCTTCGACGGCGACCTATCGCGCGCGGGCAGAGAGGGAATCAAAAGAGAGAGAGAAAGGATAGTCGCGGGGGAAAACGGTTTATTTACGTTGGTAGTGGTCGTCCGCTGCGCGACTATATTGGAGTAAGTGGGAGAAACGTGCCGCATTTTGCGGTTTTTTTTTTATACAAGGATGTCGGCGTCGTCGTTGTAGATGTTTTTTTTTTTGCCTCCTCGTCCACGCGGCACAGGAGCAATGGTGGTGGAGAACAAAAAACGAGGGAGAGCGGGATAGCCTGACTGGTCCCTGATGGGCCATGCTGTGTGCAGAGATTGTGCATCGTTTATCTCATGAGCGGCGAGAAACGTCCTTTTTTTTTTTTTCTCTCTCTCTCTTTTCGGGGAGAGGTTTCAACTGAAGGTGTCAGTTATACATGCTTGTTGGCTGTGATGTTGGCAACGCGCATGACGCTCGGGGAGCGAGTTACTTGTTGCTCCCGGACGGAGGCGTGCAGCTCCACAGGTAGTGGCTTTGTCGACTGTCGGACGCCCACAGCCCGATCATCACGGCGGGCTTTGGAGGAGGTACGGCAGTTCCCGACCCGGGCTGAATGCCGCCTTGTGTAGGAACGACTACGTTGGGTGGAAGCGCGTGAGGAATACGCGTTGAGGCATCGATTTGATCTTAGGCGACTGTAGATCACGGAAGCCGGAGGCGCGGCTTGCGTCATGGCCTGGAGATTTCGTTTCCCTCCTGCTGTTTATGCTGTGCTTTGATCGTCGTTGTACTTGCACTTTATGTGAATGTGGCGGGCTTCCGGCTATCAAACGCTCCTGTGTGCGTAACTGAAAACGCATTGTAGGTCGACTCACTGGAGCGCGTATACTTGGAATGGTCAGCTTTGGAAACGATCCCTTTTCTCTTGGATAAGGCGCTCTATGTTGTGCAAACATCAGCAAACGTGGTTTGCAAAGATGAACAATTAAGTATACTGTGATCAATCCTGCATCGTTACCTTTTCTTAAAAGTGATGGAGAGGTAACTGACACATCAGATACTTGCGCCTTGCCTAGTGTGGGCCAAGGTGTATACTATCACTTGGGTCGACATTTGTAAGATACATCCCAATTTCCAAGTTTACTACGGCGGTCACATTATTCCTATTGTGTGATACGTGCTGCCGCGATGCATGTCGGTGCACTGAGCCCTCATCCCGAGGCCGTCATGGATTTACTACTTAGCAATAGGATGCACATTGAACATGCATCATGGAGAGAGAGCGCGCGTGTTGCACGAGTCATAGCGAAATGTCTTGCCAAGCAGCGGAGGATATTTATGGATCTGGGGAAACGGTTGGGCTTGAGCGCAAAGCAAGCATCCCCAATCGAGGGGATCAAGAAGAGAGATGTCGCAATCCGAGGCGTTTGGGAGAGTTGACCAGAGCCTGATTGGTAGCGATTTGGCGAAAAGCCGCGGGCCTTGGTGGTTGCTACGAGTCAAGAAAATACGAGTGGCGCAACCAGTCGGCGTACTGACTCGTCCCTGCCTGAGGATCGGCCGATGTCGTTTAAAGAGACAACTCTATTGCAACCGCGCGTGTACTACTTGGTGTGCAAGTGGGAGGTTGGTTTCGCACGTGGAGGAGACATAGGTCCCCGGAAGATGCCGTCAGGGGCTCCGTTTTTCGCAAAGTCGACTTGTCTGAGCTTGTCCACAGCGGAAGAGGGAGTGATGATCACGGTAAAGGCTGCAAGGTTCGGGAAAGGAAATCTTGTTTTGCAGCATGCTGTCATGCGTAACGCATGAGAGAGGCGACGCAGTGGCAATTGACGACGAGCTAGGCGGGTAAGCGGAAGAGGGATGCCGCGACGCGAAATGAGTATTGCGCAACAATGAAGCAGGCAATGTGTCTGGACGATGGTTGGTGATTGGTGGCTTGTTCTCCACAGGTGTCCCTGGATCGCCAGCAGCAGCGAAGGAGCCTTGTCGATACGAGAGATGCGAGACTTTGACAGCGACGCTCGCGTTTTTCCGTGGCAACAGTGGGGAGGGGGCTTATTCTCCGGCGGAAAATTGATAGGATCGTCTGTGGAAGCGAGCTGCGGGTAAGATGACGGGATCTGAGTGAAGATGGACTGCAACAGTCGGACAGCGGCAAGGCGAGAAATGGGCAGCGCCGTTGGCGACGGTTGGGCAAACAGACGAGCTGGTGCTGATCGGGCTGGTGCAAGGCACGGCAGATCCGAGGGTGCTCCGTCCGCCCGAGATCAGAAAAGGCGAAATAAATATTGGTGGTGATCCGTCATGCCACGCGCGATGCGATCAGCCAGGCCCTGTCTGCCGTGGCCGGCACCCGCTCCCCTCTCCGCATGGCATTGACGAGAGGGGAACTGGCGAGGTAGCGGGGGAGCGGTCAACAGCGCGAAACATGGATGAGGCTGGTGATCGCCGCGTCGCTCTTCATGCCGTCGGCGGGCGAATAGGGGCGGCTGCTGCTGGACAATCGCAGCCGGAGATTACGACGCTTGCCACAGGGAGGCTGCGGTGGTCGACGACGGTGGTCGACGACGGGCGAGGGGTCGAGGGCGGTCGAGGGCACAAGGGCGGCTTTGGGCAGGCGGGACTGAGAGCGAGAGTCGGAAAGGAAGCGACGCCGGGAACGAGCCGAGACGCGCGCATCATCCATCCCACTTGCATCCCGCTTGCATCCCGCTTGCACCTCACCAGTGCTTTCCACGAACGCCTCCACTTCGACTCCATCCCGCCCAATCTCCCGCATCCAGACGCGACACCGCCAGCCCGCCAGCCCGCCAGCCCGCCAGCCTGCCCCGACACGCGGCGGGGGCAGCCTTCCTCTGGCACTCGGCGGCTCGGAGCAGGCGTTTCGGACGGGCTGACCTCTCTCTAGCGCCGTGGCTCTGGCCCGCCCAAGCTGCCTCAGAGAAACGGACGTCACGCACGGTGCACGACGCCCCGGCACTTTCGTCCGCCCAGACCGGCCCGCACGCCTTCCGTCTGCTGGCCTCGGATGTATGTACCGTCACTGTCGGGCTTAGGTAGATCGTCTCGTACCCTCATCACCACCAGCGAGCCTGGGGTACAGCCACTACCAGTACCGTTATGCCGCGGTGAAGCACGCTGCCGTCTCGTGAGCCTCAGCTCCTTCCTGCCTGCATGGCAGGCTGGCAGCTGGCGCGTCATTCCACGTGCGGCTTGGCCGGACCATGTGCAGATGAAACAGTTTGCTCCCCGCATTATTCCCACCTCGCCAGGACCGTGGTCATGCAGCCCAGCGACCCCCGCCAGCTCCGGCCTGGCCTGCCCGATCTTTCGACTTCTAGCCGCGTTCCGTAGCCGTCTGGCGACATGCAGGAACAACCCGAGCACTCAGCCCATCCGCCCTCCACGGCCCTTGGCAGGGACCAGCCAGAAACTGTGGACCGAGACGTGCCCCCGTTCATTCTCTTGCAACCATGATTTCCCCCGGTCCATCTCCGGCACTCTGCCCAAACTCGGCGAACCCACTCTCGTCTCATATGTAAAAACTGCCGCCCTTGCGCCGCCATTCCGCCATGCTTTCCTGTCACCTTTCGGATTCCGTACACGGCCACCCCGGCCCTCCCGCTCCACCAACCCTCGCCAGCCATGGACACCTCCATGACCGACACCAAGGTGTCCTCCATTGCCTTCGGCTTCTTCCTGGGCTTTGGCTACCTGACCGCCTGGGATGCCTACAAGATCACCGCCCGGAACCGGAACCCATGGCGAAGTCTGTTTGTGTGGATGGTGTGGGGGGAACTGGCCGCCAACACTGCCATCGCCATCCTGGCCTGGTTGTTCCTCGAGGGCGTGCTTCCACCAACGTAGCTTTCATCCCACCTGCCGCTTGCCCGCACCGCTGACCACTCCCAGATTGCCCACCTTCTTTTTCATCCTGCTGTCATGGGTTTTCGAAATCCAGTTCATTCTCCAGATCATCGTCAATCGAGTGGCCATCATCTCCATGGACAGCCGCGTCCTCAGCTATATCCGATGGGGCACCATCACTTTCATTTCCCTCATCAACATCTCCGTCTTCTGCATCTGGCTGCCTGCACACTTGGGCGCCCCTGAGAAGTATGTACCAGCTCCCACTGCGCTCCGAGAAGACGAACACCACGCTTACCCTGTCCGCAGATTCACAGAGGTCAACAACGTCTGGGACAAGATCACAAAGGTCCTAATCGGCCTGAACGATGCAGCTCTCAACTGGTACTTCATTGACCAGGTGAAGAAGCGTCTCATCGCCAACGGACTCCAGAAGTACAACGCTCTGGCCCGATTCAACACCCACATTATTCTGATATCCGTCGGCATGGATGTAAGTCGCCCGCGGCTGCCACACCCCACATGGCTACCCAACTAACAGCGATTCTCTAGGTGCTCATCATCGGCACCATGTTCCTCAAGAACGGCGCCGTCTTCATCCAGTTCCATCCCGTCGCGTACACGGTCAAGCTCAAGATCGAGCTGTCCATGACCAATTTGATCACGCGCATCTCCAAGGAATCCATCAGCGAGCGCAACCTGGGCACCACGTCGACCAGCCACGGCCACAGCCGCTTCGCTTTCAACCCGCGCACCACGGCCACGGGCAAGGACGTCGCCCTCGACGTCTTCCAGGAGCAGAACCACACGTCGACCGTGTCGGCGCAAAAGTACGACGAGGAGGAACACGCTGAAGGGCTCAACCAGATCTATACCAAGCGCGAGGTGACGGTGCAGGTCTCAGACCCTCAGGACATCAACCCGGAGAGCATCTCGCAGCCGTCGGAGCACGCCAGCAGCAGGAGTAGCAAAGAGCACAACACCTTTCACCACGGGAGCCGCCAAGATGACGAGGTTCCCCTGTCGTGGAGACGATGAAATCTAGACCAGGATACCCCCACCCACGCACCAAAAGTAATGATCTGATCGTCTGTTGTCGATTACAACACCTCTCCCTTTAATACCACACGTTATACCCACCATATGTTCAATCAACGTCCATACCCCGTTCCACCTTCTGCAATGCACTGCTCTCCTTTCTCCATATACTTAAAATGGACACCATCTGAGAAACACGCAACCACATGGAGAACTTGACTGTGAATCCGCACATGATCGCTGCAGGCGGAGCCCGATGAAAAACGAGCACCTAGCGGCCGAACAATTCAATGCATACAATAGCGACGCCGTTAACCACCCCCTTGTATGATTAGCGACGGCGGCATTCAATAGACTCACACAGCCTAAGCGCGAACAGTAAAAGGTGTTGCTGATCGAAGCCCGATCCGCCAGATCGTCATATACCAACGACGTTTTGTTCAAACTATAATCACTCAAACTATATCTCCTATAACCCTGCCTTTCTGATGGTTTCCCAGTTGAGGCTAAACTCTGCTTTGCACGCGTCAACGGAGTAGTCCCGAAGCCGATCTGTCGCCAAGGTCGATAGTGCGTGACGATCTTGCTCGCCTGGAAGCTGCTCTCGTGACTTCTGCAACGATGGCCATTCGCTCGACAGGGCCAGAGCAGCAGCAAGCCCTGTACCTCTCTTTCTCCCTCAATTGCCGTTGCGCCCATCCGTCACATGCAAGCATTGGTGATCAAGAGCCGAGGTGTGGATTAGACAGTCGGCGACGATACGCGGCGGCTGCACTGACCACCCGTCGACCGTTCAACGCTCTTTCTCGGCCTTAAGCTCATTTCGACCATCTACAGGGGGGGCAAGATGAGCGGTGGGAACGTGGGAACTCGATCGCGATTTGACGAGAGGCACAAACGCACACACGCACCACTCACACACGCACACACACCGGCATTTTATTTCTTTCTTTTTTGAAATTTTGCCGACTCTCGTCCAAGCGTCGACCGCGGCCGGCCGGCTCGGAAGCACCCGACACGTGTGTATCCGGCGGCGCATCCTACCCGAGAAACGGTTTTGAGAGAGCAAGAGATAGAGCGCCATCGAAATTGGAGAGAAAAAAAAACAAATAACAATGAGTGGGGGTGTTTGGCGCGCGGTCGCTGGCTCAGGGCAGTAGATGGCGGGTCGTCGTGGGGCCGATTGCCGGTTTTTTTTTTTTTTTTTGCAGAACGCTTGAAGAATTCCGCGAAGTTCGTCAGGGCGGCGCGGCGCCCCACATATTAAGAAAGTGGGTTGATGAGTGGCAGAAGAAGAAGAAAAAAAGCAAAAACGAGGCAGATGGGAAAGACGTCGAATCGGAGGAGGCAGGCAGGCAGGCAAAAGGGAAGTCGGACGTTTTTGCCGCGTCTTACTTACTCAATAGAGCCGGATGATCTCGACAGCCGCGAGACGAGTGCACCGAGATCTGTGGATAACCCGATTCCCCGTCTCGGCTCGCGGCAGGATTGACTGTTCGGCCGGCGGCGGATATGCAGCTAGCCGGGTGGTAGTACAGGTGGGAAGTGAGCAAGCGATCGGGCGACTTGTGTTTGATCCACCACGACGGCCACTGAGTTCAATTGCGTCTCGCATCCAACCTCTATTGATTAGGTAATTTACTTGCACAGGGGGGGATGTCAGGGGCACTCCACGCAGAGAGGGAGTACGACCGCGTCATCGCTCGCCGTGTATGTTCGTTGGTATGATTTCCTACAGTGACCCCCTTGAATTGCCAAGGGTATTGACGGATATGGCTATGGCATTTGGCCACGGATGCAAGCGCCCGATCGGCTTGACTCCTTACCACGCTCTACTACGCCGTTCGACTGTCTTGCAATTAGGGGTATTATGCGGCAGCCGGCAGGGGTGGCAGTGCCGGCAGTGACGCGGCAGTGCCGCCAGCCATCTCGCGCTACCGGTAATGCGATTATTAACCCTCGCCTGATGCATGTAAATTAACGATACTCGTAGCCACCTTACTACTTCGTAGGATGACTCGTTTAAGCAACCGATGGTACTTCGTATATAAGCGTTTTGAGGCTAGGGGGGTAGTTATATTATAAAATAGCTAGGAGGCCCAACACTACAATATTCGTAGACGGACGGCAAACCACTACCGGTAAACACGATATTTTATACGGGTGGCTACGCTTATCTTATAGAGCGCCTTGCCTACTGCGGCGCTTATAAATCTACTGCCAATTGCCGGCAGAACCGGCAAAACAGGGGTAGTGGCAGTGCCGGCAGCGATACCCCCTCTGCCGGTAATCTCAACATCCCTACTTGCAATAGACTACTGGTTTTCTGAAATTCCTCTATACGAGCACATATAAGGACTCGGCCTACTGGGCCACGAAATGATGGTTGTTATCCTCCAGCAATGGAGCTCCAATCAACTACACGAGCGTAGCTCAACTGCTTTGTACCAGTATCCATGAATGCTATTTGGTTCGCAGGGCTGTCGACGCTGAGCTTGTGTCGTCACAAGTGTCGCCGGAGTAGTACCTGGGCGGGAAACTCAGGCTAACCCGTCGCCCTCATAACACCTAGGGTCCCATGAGCTTCGCAAAACATGCTACTAGTAGTGCCGCTAAGAGGAGTCGCCCATAGCTTTCCGGGGTACGTACTCTTTCGGGGCCTCACGTCACAAGGCGTTGGGATTACATGAAACTGAAACTAATAAAGTACTTCATATAGGAGCTTGCTAGTCTTTTGTCGAAATGCCACTCGCTGTGCTGGTTTGATCGCCTGTCTTCCATGACATCGGAGGTTTCTGGATGGAGGTAAGAAATCGAGAGGTCTGGACGGAGCTGAATGGTGAAAGGGGGTGACGCGGGATAATGGCGAATAAGAACAGGAAGGAGTCTGTAGTGAAAGGGTGAATGGGTATGGTGGGAAGCACACCGTTTGCGTTGTTGATTGGGTAGTGCAGGTGAAAGAAGATGGAAGGTGAGCTGTTGCAAATGAAAAGCGGTGGATGAATAGACATGTGAGAATGCCCTTCTTGAGAGCACCATGAGCGAAGTCGGCTTACCAGTGATAGTCTAGACACGAGCAACAAGATTCGATACGGTTCTCAAAGCACATCTGACTCAACATCTAAGAACGCGCCCCTATTTACAATCCCCACCCATCGGACAAACCGACTCGACCGCACGTCCAGTTCCAATCTCGCCTCCGTCGCCGCGCCCTGTCACGTACCGTCGCCACTCAGCCAGCAGCACAAACAGCGCCGCCAGACCCCACCAACCCCAAACCCAAACCTACTCCCCCCGCTCCGCAACACCCACCCCACCCCCCACCCCACCCCCCACCTTCTCCAAAACATCCACCCCCCCCTCCCCCCTCCCATAAATCTGCCTCGAAATATGCCCCGTCAAATACCCATCCATATCCCGCGTCCACGCCGCCGCCCCCACCGCACACAGCCCCAGCGCCAACGCGCAGTAATAGACGTACGCATACGCCCCCGCCCACGCGTCGCTCGCGCCCGCCTCGACGGTCCGCAGCAGCGCCGTGTTGCTGCCGTCCAGCCCCGGCACCTGCGCCAGCGCGGTCCCGTTGCCCGCGACGACGGCGGCGAGCATGGCGGGGACGGAGGAAGGGTCGAGGCCGGCGGAGAGGGCGCGCGGGACGAGCGTGGCGGAGAGCTCGGTGGGGAGCTTGGCGGTGAGGATGGCGGAGAAGATGGAGGTGAAGATGCAGCCGAGGATGGTGCGGTTGGCGGATGTGACGGCTGTGGTGAGGGGGGAAGCGTCGGTCAGTCTGCGTTCTGGGAGAGGGGTAGGGGAGGAGGAAAGGAGGAGAGAGGTGAGGCTGCGTACGCACCGAATGCGGCGCCGAGGTCGCGGTCGTCGACGAGGTACTGCACGAGCAGCATGGTGACGACCTCGCCCCAGCCGATGGGCAGGCAGGAGAGGAAGGAGACGGCGATGGCGGCGGGGCGGTTGCCGGCGTGGGCGGTGGTGATGACGCCGAGGAAGATGGACATCCAGGCGGTGGCGACGACGAGCTGCAAGCGGATGTGCTTGATGATGTGGTAGAGCGGGCCGACGCTTTCGAGTTTCGACGTCGAGCGGGTCAGCAGGTGGTGGTCACGTATTCTCGTCATTGTCCGGCCGTCGTCGACTTACATGATGATGCCGGCCCAGATGCCGAAGTTGACGGTGCAGCTCATCCAGGCCGTCTGCTCCCAGTCGCCGGTGCTGCCGAAGATGTGGATGACCTGGGACGGCCAGAGGATGAAGAAGGCGATGTTGATGCAGCCGAAGACGGCCGACATGACGTTGATGCAGGCGAATCCGCGCACGTCCCGGAAGAAGCGCATCGGGACGATGGGCGATGCGGGGACGAGGCACTCGTAGATGACAAAGGAGACGCAGCAGATGATTCCCGATATCAGAAGCCCCAGGATGCGGGGCGAATCCCACGTCAAGGCTGTCGTTGTGCCGCCCCAGGAGACACCCAGCAGGAACAGCGTCAGGCCTGCGGTCAGCAATAGGACTCCGAAGTAGTCAATGTTCTTGAGAGCCTCCTTTCGCTTGAAGTCGTGGCCGTGGAGCTGCACAAAGGTCGGCGGATGATACCAGAGATACCAGCAAAGGGTGGCTGGGACTATGCAGAGAGTCAGCGTGGAAATGGCAGGGGACGGTAGAGCCTACTCACCCATCATGATGATGTAGATGATGAAAATCCAGCGCCAGCTGGAGTAGACGACCAGGCGCTGTCCGATATACGGACCAAAGCCGGTGGCGATGACATTGGGAACAACGACGGTGATGGTGGCCAAGAACTTGCCCCTGTTGGTGGCCAACTCGCCAGTCAGGAGAGGATACGACGCCGGAACGCCAGACGCGAGACCGAGCAGGACCATGGCGCCGATCAGCGTGTTCATGGTCTTGGCGGTGCAGGCCACGATGCCGCCCACGATGCCCAGCACGTTGGCCGCCAGCGCCCAGTTCCGCCGGCCGAAGCGGTCGGAAAGCGAGCCGAACAGCAAGATGGAAATGGGCTGGGCTGCGGTCCATACGATGGCGAAGAGAGAAGAGTTTTCGCTGGGGCCGATGTCTTCGTTGATGCTGATGATGACGGACGCACCCGCTTGGTATGCAAAATACGTGGCCACGAGGGCCAGCGCAATCCCCACGAAGGTGCCGACAATGCGGATGCTGGAGAAGTAGCCTGGTGGAATCGTGTCCCGGTCGGAGCTGAGGGCCTGGGAGCGGAGCTTGTCAGCCTCCTCTTGGGAGAGCTCTGCTACATTGATGGTCCTCTTTTCCGGCACCGGTTGGTTTTTCTCTTCCTCCATGGCTGCGACGAATGAGCATAAAAGCTGGTGCAAAATCAGAGACTGAACGGGCTGACGCAAGTTTCACCGACATTTCGGTTTCCTTCTCATTAAATAGCTGTTTGCATTCATGCTGAACAGTGAACCCTACCGGGATTCTGCTTTGGCCCCCATCCCCACGATCCATCACTTGGCGACGGCGTAGGCAACAAAAGGCCGAAACAGGCAGGGATTTCTGCTGCGCGACGACTAGCTATCGATTTCCCGCGTCTATTCCCTGTCGCTTGTGAGCCGCGCCAGGTCAGAAAGTGGGACGAAAGTCGCCACGCATTTTTGACGGGGTACGCGCGACGCTGCATATGCAAGGTCAGCACTAGGCCACCTTCTTATAGGGATTGTCAGAGATATCCGCACAATAGCCGCCATGTTCTCGACTACATGCCGGCAAAGGTCCCCAATAAGGATAGCTTTTCCAATCTCGCCAAGCATTTCCAGCAGACACGCCTCACAAGTTCAATCCAAAAGTGGTAATAGGGCAAGCCACTTACTTCCCAACCTAGAATTAGACTTTTTTTGGGCGGAATTCTTCCATTTTGGTCTTGTGTTACGCCCCGGAGATCTGCCTCAAATGTCACTACACGTTGACGGCGTCTTTTCCCTCAGTCAGGTTGACAACTGTCACCTCTGCCCCTTCGCTGCGTCTGTGAGGCGGTACAAAACACTCGTAGTACCTCGGCATGATGAAGCCGAAAACGATCATCAGCAGGCAGAGATGCGAAAGGATGAAGCCGGCAATCATCATGGGATCGTAGCGGAGGGAGTGGAACTCAGGATAGGCGAAGCTGAAGATTATTGCGAGAATCGGCCCGCTGACGTATCGGAGGAGAAGCGGTAGGAAGGTAGGGATGTTCCAGTTCTTCCCGCCACCGACCACCACGTTCAGGTCTCGTCGCAATTGATTTCCCTTGTGGAGCAAAAGTTAGCCCAGTTGGGATATGCAGTGTATACCGAGACTCACGGAATAAAATGCCAGATACCAGAGTCGACCGAGGAAAACGTTGGAGTTCCAGAAGCTCGGTGCGTCGGAGTCGGGTGTCTTCGCGATGAGAACAGACGTAAGAGTGCAGAGAACGTAGAAGCCAAATCCGGCTCCGGCTCCTGCCCCAGGGTTCGCCGTGCCGTGTGCGACAGATATCCCGACGACCTGTCCTCCAAAGTATCCAAGGTTGTAGGCGGTGAACGCGGGCAAGCCGGTTTGGCTGACCACGTCCTCCCAGCGATATACCGTGGTGGCGCTTACGACCTCAGACCAGACGACAAAAATCAGAGCGACGTTGTTGATCCATCTATCAATTCCATCCAAAAGGTAGTAGCCAAATTCTGTGCAGTATGGTAGGCACATGAGAAATGACACCAAGGTCAGCGCGGTGACAATGACTGGACGCGAAACCTTGAGTCCTGAATCAACCGCCAAGGTTACGGCAGTGTCCAGCATTACGAAGGCTGAGCTGAATCCAAGGACCACAAGGGTGAAGAACAGAAGAATAGCCCACCAGTTGGCGCCGGGCATCTGGAGCACAGCTTCCGGAAGCGTCAGAAACCCCACGACAAAAGCACCCAGTCTCACCCCGTCCTCCGGCCACCTTCGGAGGTATCCAACGACTCCGAATACGGCAAAAGCTGCAAAGTTCTCAAACAAAACGTTGCTGCCGCAGATGAGAAGTGCATCCATGACGGCGTTGGAATGTTTCGCGTTGTACGAGGCGTAGGACGTAAAGTAGCCGAATCCAATGCCGGTGGAAAAAAAGACTTGGCCAGTGGCCGTCTGCCAAAGGGTCGGTGACGCGAGCTGGTCGCTTCTCCAGGTCGCCCAGAGAAGCTTGACGCCTGCCCCGGCATTTTCAAGTGAGAGTGCACGTCCAACGAAGATGATGGTCGTGACAATAGGAAGCCCCATGGTGAAATACACAACCCGGCCAGTGAGACCCACGCCGCGAAAGATGGAAATCCATATCAGGAACCAGATGAAGACGCTCCACCCGACAGTCTCTCCGAGAACGGCGGTGCCGGGATAGCGAGTGTACTCTGTGACATGGTCGTTGCCTTGACTCAAGCTGCCCTCAACCGAGTCGACGTTGCCGATGACGTTGTTCCAATAAAACTGTTCAATTCGCCCTTCCCACGGGAGAGGACTTGTGAAGGAATGGCGGAAGTAGGACATGATCCAAGCTAGATTGACTGTAAAGTACTGGACGACGACGAAGCTGACGAACACCGGACCGAGGCCGACGCCTCTCAATCGTTTGTTGATGTTGTTGAACGCCATGAGCGACCCACCTCGGTACGCCTGGCCTATCGAGATCTCCAGAATAAGCGACGGAATCGCAATCAACGTAACAGCCATAAGGTACGGTATGAACCACTGGAGACCGTGATTGTTGTAGACAACGGAAGGATATCGCAGCAGGTTGCCCTGGCCCGCGCAGCCACCCATGGCGGCGAGGAGGAATGCGGCTCGCGAAGGCCACTGATCACGTCCATCGTCTGACTTCTGTGGAGGCGGAGCGAACAAAGTGCCGGCTTTTTTGAGATACTGTATGACCACCATGGCTGCAGCAGCTTATAGGTGGGGAAACAAAAGAGCGGCAAGGGAAATCGAACCCGGGCAAGCGGCAGGCAAAATGCAGGTCGGGTTGGCGTCTTATACCATGCTTCCTACGCCCCATCAGCCAAGACTCTTTCCCGATGGCGGCTCTGGTGGCTGGTGTGAGTGGGCGGAGAGGCTCAGTCACTGCCGACTTCCGCCTTGACGACTCTTGGCCCGTCTTGGCTAACATCACCTGTCGCCCACGACCTCCATGTGTAACTAAACCCAACGTCAGGACACATGTAAAGGTCTATAAAGACATATAAGTCTCGGTAGTCAAGTACGTGGTAAATACCGTCCTGTTCCATGAAGCCACTGTCGATGCCCGTGGACGGCGGAGTAGACGAATGAGGTTCTTACTCCACTCCCCGTGTTGTCTCGATCAAAGCTAGGTCATGAGGGGCGATAGCGACGAGCCGAGGCGATGGACAGGAGAATGGAGCTGGAGAATGGCGTTATGGAGTCCGCTTACCCAATACATCCCCAGCGATTGAGAGAATGGGTAGTGGTTCTGAACATCAAGTCGGATGCTTTAAAATCGTATCATTTCTTTTTGCTAGGCTCTAGCTGTGTGCACCATGGCCTGGCCCGCACACTCAGCGAGCCCGTGAGTTGATCATATCCTGCATGTGCTTCCTCAAACAGCTCGTACCTCATTTCACGGAGAGAAAAGCAGCGGGACGTCCGTCGGGCTGGCAGCAACCATGGCCGTGATCATCGCCGTCACAACCGGCACCCCAATCTCCGTCTCTCCGGGCGTCCACCCCAGCTCGACCGGCAAGCGCTCGTTCCCTGCAACCAGTCAGCACGCAACTCGCCAACAAGACCAAACCGCGAATCAGCAACTCACTGAAAAAGTACTCGAAGTAATCCCTCTGCGCGCCCGGCTCCTCGACGCTGCCCCACACCAGCATCATCATCACGCTCTCGCCCACCATGATGGGCAGCATCGACGACGTGATGGTGAACTCTGGGTTCATCTTGCTCATGTCGTACGCGTGGCGGGCGCGCGCGTCGGCGGTCTCGTTGACGCCGAGCACCGTGGCGTTGGCGTCGAAGTAGGAGAGGAAGTTGGCGAAGGTGGCGGCGTCGAACTTGTTGGACGTGTCGAAGTGCATGTCCCGCCGGGAGAGGCTGCCGTCGTGCTCGAGCACGTTGTGCTTATGGAGCATGTCGAGGTCAAACCACTGCGGTGAGGTACGTACTGTCGTGTTAGCTAGGGGGCTTGGTTGCGGGGGTGGAGCGAGCGGTGGGGGGCACTTGCTGTCGCATTGGGGGTCGGGTTCGTTTTGAGGCCGCCGGTGAAGAAGGTGGTTGCCAGGGCGGGGGAGATGTTCATGGCATCGCCGAGAGCGGTGATGGCCTTGTCGACGGTGATGTTCTTGCCGTTGTGGGGGAGGAATTCATGGTTGGCCAGTGTGTTGAGGACGGGGCAGGGAGCGCGGACTGTCGAGACTCGGAGGATTAGTATGGATGTGGGATTTAGGGGGCTTCCAAAAGAAGACGCCGTACCGTCGCCCTCGCCTGGGGCAGTCCAGGTGTAATGCTTCGGCGTTAGGGCGCTGTCTTCCTGACGAGCGAGGTGCGAGAAGCCGAGAGCAGCAGCCGGCAGAAGGCCGGTGACAAGTCCAGTGGAGAAGTGCATTTTTTACAAGGACGACAAACGAATGGCAAGAAGTCACGAACAAGGACAAGTTGAGAGGTTCTACCTACTCCAGAGCCAGGAGAAGGTTCGCCGCTTTATTAATGAGAGAATTGAACGACCACACGACTCGCCGCTCAGATTACATTGCAAGTACCTTTTCTGCGGAGCCGCTTCCGTGACTCCATGTGAATAGAGTCAATCCGGCCGACACGTACGGTGTGCAGTCGAGTGTACGGCCGCAAAGGGCGCCAAGCCCCTACATATTGCCCGTTCCAATCATACCTCGGAGGTTGCCAAGACTATGCACGTTCGCTTGAACTCGGGGTCAGGCGCGATTTGGTGTGGTGTGGCTCGTATTACTATCATGACGCTGTTGATTGGGCGAGGCCTCGAAACACTGGAGGATGCACGCACCAGCATCAGGTTACCGTGCTCGGGTATCCGTCGTCCTCCGGAGTTCCGGCTGTTTCAACTGGCCTGAATTAGTGGTACCCTGGCGCAGAAAATGAATACAGAAGTAGGATTTCATCATCGTTTATTGTACATACAAGTCTTTATTGATCCTTACATCTATGCGTAGTTTGCTTATCACTCTCTGCTAATAAGCCTTTTACCGGCTCTGAAAGAGATGGAGAGAGAGAAACAAAAGACGGTGTAGACAAATTCCAAGTACTCGGAACCTTGACTCTCGCTTGATGAGGTCCACAAATCTGCTGCCGAGGTATCTACTTTCTTGACAGAGCCGCATGTCACAGTGGCAGTAAGTAAGCTCGGCCAAGCACGCAGATCCAGACTCTTGCAGAGTCGATCTTGATTGGCACGCTCTGAATGCTCGAACTAACCATCCACTCTCGATCACACTTCGAGCCCAACGCGAGTCAGGATACATTGGTCCGCGAGTGTTCGTGACGCTTCTTCGAAGTATGACTACCACACAGGCGACAAGAACCGTCTTACACTTTCCGCTGCCCTCCTCAAATCCAGAGACAGTGATCGTGAAGAATTTGCCTGTGTCCGCGGCTGTCATGCGAAAGATGTTCTCTGAGATCCCATTGACACTTTTTCGACCGTCAAGTCAGCATAGAACGATAAACCATCACCTCGATAGCTCTAAACAGCAGTGTTCATACGTGCTCAAAGCTTCTATTTCTTCGAAGTGGAAGCTTGGTGACTCATTAAGCAAGTTCTAGGGGTTTCCTGTTTCTTGTACGTATGTACTAACGTTCAGCGCGAACAGGTGTGTTCTCCATTTTGTAGATACAAAAATCTGGAATGCAGCCACACAATATAGTCACTTCTTAGAAGAGAGAAGAAAACTGTCTTTGCCACTACTGTATACATTCCAACTTGTTCATACCTTAAGCACAGTTTTGTGGATGCTTGAAATATACGCCTCAGCCGGAGCACAAACAGTAAGTTTCTGGGCGGACTTGATGAAAATTGCGAAAGATTAAGCATGAGGCAAACGAATGTCAAGAAAACTCTCCTAACCAATCTTTGGCAGTGCAGGCTTAGCCTGAGCTGGTATGATTACGGATTCGCAATTGACCAGATCGGCCTAGATCTTGACCTGAAACTTCTTGGGCAGCGACCCCAGTAAGATCTGCAGGTGTGCGCTTCCCTTCTCGCCCATGTCCAACTCAGCAACGTTGCCCCATTTTTCCCTGAGCACAGCGATATGTTCGTACTTCCCGAAGCGATGCAGGTATAGTTGGGTAGCAGCGAGGGCACTATCAAGCGCGCCGACGATCCAGGCGTGGTGAGCACTAGATGCCTCGCCGACCATGTGGAACTTGCCGTCGGCAGCCGGTCTCGTGAGGTATGGATACAGATGTCTGAACTGACCTGGCCCGAAGAGGGCAAAGGCACCAGCTGCCGTCGAGTCGTGCGACCAGGAATAAGCGTGGTGGACGCCTTTGTAGGCCTCCTTGATCAGCTTGTACATGTGCTCGTACTTGTTTTCGTCCTCTCCGCATCTGGTAAACTTTGAATGGAGCAGAGCCAAGTTCCCCAAGAGCATCTCCACCAGTTCGTCCTCGTTGGGTGGGCCGACAACGGAGCCGATCCGCGTCGCATCTTGCGCCCAAGTGTACGAAGCCAGCAGGACGGCAGGGCCTCGGTCATGGAGGTTGTATGAGGGGTAGACGCAAGTACGCAGTGGCAGATCTGTCGAGGCGACGCCGCCTTTTTTGATGCCGCACTCTGTGATCCACCACGGATGATCGAATTGGAGTGCCACCTTGGCCGAGTCGTCGTAGTGGAGACTCCGGATGGCATCTTTTTGTGACGGATGCAGTTTGAGTCCACGTAAATCCATGCGGCCCAAGCAGCCTAGAGGGGTCGTGTTGAACACGGTGTGATACCCCCTTCGCGGCTTTTCCTCTTCGGCGCACTTGACCCACATGTTGTCTTCCTGATGACAGTCCTTGTCCCACGAAATGGTGTCAACCCGTTTGTTGGTCTCGGCCTTGGTCGTGAGAGAATGATGCATAGAATCGGTGAGGAGGGAAGTGCCTCCTTCGATGCAGTACCACTTCACCTTGTTTTCCTCTTCGATTTCCTGCTCGTCGCAATTGCTTTCCTTGCGCTTCTTGTCATCCACAGGATAGTCGAAGTCGAGTGAGTCCATGACGCTCTCAGAGAAGGCCTGGTCGTACAAGTTCGTGGACGTATCCTGCGTTTCCATCCACTGGATGGCGAAGAAGTTGTATTGCGGTAGCTTGCCACCGGGTCCGCCTCTCTTGAGAAACTCTCTGGTACTGTAATCGTCCACCTTCATGAGTTCGTCGAACCCTTCTCGGAAGCATTTCTTCATCGCCTGCTTGTACGGAGAGAATGCCTCATTCAAATGGTGGTTTACGCAGTCAACGACATGGTCGGGGACCTGCCCGCCTTTCTTCTCGCTGACATGGTGAGGGTCGAACTCGCCCTTGACGAAGAAGCGATTGTTGAAGAGCTTGGGGCAGTTCTCTCCTTCCAGGTAGTATGGGATTTTGGGCAGCTTGAGATAATCAAACAGTTCGAAGGCTAGCTGCATGATGGGGATGTCGGGAAAGCGCATGGCGCCGACGTCGTAGTAGTCGTGCGGACCCGGGCCGAAACGATGGGTGTAGACGCGGCCGCCGATTCTCTCGTTGGCTTCCAAAATGTCGTACGGAATCCCAAGGGTGTCCAGCATCATGGCGATGAAGAGGCCTGCGACTCCGGCGCCGACGATGCATACCTTGCCCGGTGGATGAGCGCCGATTTTGTCCAGGTTTCCCGAACCGTCGTGGCCTTGGGACGGCCTGCTGCTGTAGGCTTCATGCTGCTGGTCGAGTGGGAGATTGTCATGGGCGTATGGCCTGTTGGCGTCTGGCGGCTGGAGAACTTCGGGAGGAATTGGATTGTCCGACCTCGCCTTGAGCACGTTCAACTCGTCGGCGATCTTCTGGCGCACCAAGAGTCTGGCCCACTCCGCTTTGGCATCGTGAATAGTAGAGGGGGCAGTAGAATTCATCCTGAAGTGAACGGAGGTCAAAGGTTTGACCACGAGAGCAGCTTGTGTGTTGGGACAACTCTGCAGTGCTGCCGAGGGATCACTTGGCTTAGCTCGAGGCGAAGAACAATAGGCTGGAGAAGAGATATGAGAGCGATAATTTTGGCACCGTTGCGTACGTGCCTACAGCTGCTTGCGATCCAACTGTTGTCGTGTAGGAATGAGGCATGCGACCGGCCGGGTGCGCCCCACGAAAACCTCTTCTTGAATCACGTGTTATCCTTGTATGTAGCACAAAGCTTAGTCGAATTTCGGGTATATGAGGACACCCCGGGGGCAGACCCTCTTGATCCTCATGCCATCAATCGAACCTCATTCCATCATCAAAAGATCGACACCACACAACGACACACCGTTACTGGAACAACGCTACAAGAACGGTAATACCGGCGTACCTGGCTCCTTCTCGCCTGCATGCATGCCCGCTGAATTCGTGCAGTCTGCGTACGCGCCTGCTTGGTTACCCAAGCCATCGCATACCTATCTACCAGCCAACATACCAACGAGCGCGTCATCTTCACGATTATTGCTCCGGAAAAGCCACTCTCCGAGGGACTGCTAAGAAACTACATATAGGCACACTTCGATCGACTTTCTCGGCAATATGACTCAAGAACCATTTGGCATGGCGAATGAGGTGTTCGATGTTGTTGTCGTAGGTGGTGGTCCGGTCGGATTGTCAGCCGCCTACGAGGTAGCCAAGACAGGCAAGAAAGTCCTGATTCTCGAGCAAAACAATTTCTTCAATCAGGCAGGAAGCTCCAATGACTTCGCCCGCATGTTTCGAACCATGTAAGTTATTCAGGGCCACCGCGTAATGAGCGACGCGCCTACTTAAACATTTCTTGAACAGGTACACGGAAAACTACATGGCTAATCTGGCCAAGAAGGCCATGGATCTTTGGGACGACCTTGAAAAGGATGCCGGCACCTCACTGCGCTGGATGAGTGGCCTCTTAAACTTTGGTGACATAAGCTACGGCGAGCACACACCGGAAGGCACGTCGCTATCATCATACGTTCAGAGGTTGTTTGCTTACCTACTTTCATTCTGAAGGGACCTTGCTGGGACCACTTCCGAACCTGAAACGGCTCAAGATGTCTTATCAATGGCGTACGTTTTATTTTCAAGACATAGTGCTGCTACGCTGACTTGGTGGATCAGTGACTACACGGGAAATCGAGAGGCGGTACCCGTTAAAAAGCTTGCCGTCGGATTGGATTGGTATCTACGCGCCCGACAATGGTGTCATCAACGTCCAGCTCCTTGTCAGGACCCTTCTTGGTCTGGCCAAAGACTACGGAGCTACGGCTAAGCAGCACACGCACGTCGTAAGAATCCGTCGCCCCGGAGCTCATGAGAGCGTCGGTTGGCAGGTGGAAACCTTACGACACAACACGGATAGAGTCACGTACAAGGCGAAGAAGGTCATCATCGGCGCCGGAGCCTACGTCAACCATGTACTGGAGCTGAGCTTCAACATGTCGCTTGACCTCGACATCTGGGAGATGGTGGCTAGTTATTGGAGCTCCAATGCGGGACCCAGTGGAACAGTATTTCCCAGTAGGTGTTCTCGGTTGCTTGCAGATGCATGACCACGAAGACCGCTCCACGCCACTAACATCAAGGCATGTACAGGCATGTGGTTCCAGTTTGCTCCAGACAAAGCCGGCCGATCCCAGGCAGGCGATGTACTGACCGGCGCGCACAACAGACAACATGTTTGTTCTCGATTTCGTACCGAAGAAATATCTCGATGGTGGGCCTGAGAAAAGTATTATGGTCTACACAGCTGGCTGGGGCATGAAATTCGTACCTCTGCTGGGCAAGGCGCTGGCCGAGATGGCTCTTTATGGACATTCTGAGTATGCGTTGGAGGAGTTTGAGATGACTCGCAGGAATCCAGAGACTGGCGCGGGTATCATCAAGCATGATATTGACAGCCCGAACCATGGCATTCACCAAAGCTCATTCGCACGTGAGAAGCAGGCTTCGGGTTCTTCTATAAAGGGACTCCACAACACGGACGGTTAAGCTTACCGTGGAAGGTGATAAGTCTTCTTTCATATTGTGCCGGGGTTGTTTCGGAAATGGAAATTGAGGCTGTGCGAAGGATCAACGGGGGCGAAAACGACTGGCTGAAGCCGCGCGATTGCAGACATTCTTTTAGTGGATATTCGCTTATCAGGATTATTTCATGCTATCTTAAGGGTCAGCTAGCTATGGTATCCACAAACCAATTGTTGCCTAGCGGTGGCTGACTCGGCAACCGCCGCCCGCCCAGATATATAAGCTTCGAACGTGCTGTGTTCCGTCACCACTCCTCCACAACTCCATAACCAGGCAGCTCAAAGTCAAATAAGAGACAACGAAAGAAAACCTCATCAACCATGTCGCTCTCCCTCTACGACACCAGCGTCGGCGTCTTCATCCGCCAGCTCAAAAACCTCTCCGCCGTCCTCCAAAAAGTATGACCGCCATCGCGAACACCTACCCATGCATCGTCACGCAACTCTAAAAACCAACCAACCAACCCCAACATCACAGGCCGAAACCTGGTGCGACGACAACGGCAAGCCGCACGCGGAGCTGCTCGAGGCCCGGCTGTCGCCCGACATGTACCCGCTCACGTCGCAGATCCGGCTCGCGGCGCGGTGGGCCCGCAACGGCGCGCTGCTGAACGAGGGCTACGCCTTCAAGGCCACGGACGGCAAGCCCGAGCTCAGGCACACGTTTGCCGAGCTGCAGCAGCTCGTGCACGATGCGATGGAGTTCCTGCAGGCGGTCAGGCCGGAGGACATTGCGGGGGCGGAGAACAGGCCCGTGTCGGTGTGGTCGTCTGGTATGTCAGCTGGTTGATTGATTGCCCATTGCCCGGCATATGTCTCTCTCTCTCTCTCTCTCTCTCTCTCTCTCTCTCTCCCTTTTTTTTTTCTTTTTGATTGCGACGCAACGCCTGCGCTGACTGACTGACCTCTTTGCTGATGTTGAAAACTGCAGGCGAGGAGGGACAGGGCCATAACGTCAAGCTGGACGCGGGCCACAAGCTGCTCAGCCAGGTCATCTTCCCGAACTTTTGGTTCCACGACTCCATGGCCTATGCGATTTGCAGGATGAAGGGCGTTCCGGTGGGGAAGCTGGACTTCCTCATGGGCGGCGCCGGCCCCGTCGGGTAGGTAATCGGTCACACTTGGACGTAGGAGACGGAGGCAAGATTACGACGTAAGAAAGTGTTGCGAGGGTCAAAGGTGTTTGTTTTATTTACTCCCCACGATCGACGCAGAATGCTGTACTATTTACATGAACTAAACACTAGTAACAAAGACCACCGCCTACAATCCAGAAAGCGTGTTGCCGGCCTTGCCCACGACAGCCGCCTTGACGGCGCTCGCCTCGACGGCGGTGTAGGTGTAAGGCATCTCGGTGAGGGTGCCCTCGGGGGCGGCGTTGGTGGCGGTGCCCCAGTCGTTGCCGCGCGCCACCGCGTAGCCGTCCTCGGACGAGTCGACCGAGACGAGGGCCTGCACGACGTTGTCGAAGACGTTGTTCTCGACGAGCACCTGGGCGCCCATGCGCGTGTTGATGCCCGACACGGACACGTTCTCGAAGTAGTTGTTGACGACGTGCACGGTGCCGAAGCGCACGAGCGGGCAGCGCGAGCCGACGTTGCTCCAGTAGTTGTTGGCGTAGGTGACGTGCAGCTTGCCCGTGTCCTCGTCGGCGTTGGAGTCCGAGTGCCCGACCAGCGAGTTCTTGTGGTGGTCGTGGAAGTAGACGTTGGACACGGTGATGTAGTCGGCCCCGTGCGACATGTCCAGCAGCCCGTCGTAGAAGTCCTTGTCCGCCGCCAGGTCGCTGGACAGGTCGCAGTGGTCGACCCACACGTTGGTCGACCCGTCGATGGCGATGGCGTCGCCGCCCGTGTCCGCCGCGACCTTGGAGATGGCCAGGTTGCGGATGATGACGTTCTTGGCGTCGCGCACCAGGAGGCCGATGCCCTCGAGCCCGGAGTCGGAGTCGACGCCGAGGATGGACTGGGGGGGTTGAGTCAGAAATGGCCGCAGGTGCATTGGGAGGAGCGACGTAGTTACCTTGTTCGAGCCGACGTAGATCTTCTCCTCGCCCGTGATCTTGCCCTTGATGTAGATGACCTTGGCCGTGTCATCGCCCTTCTCGAGCGCAGCCGTCATCTCGGGCAGCGACGAGATGGTCGTCGTGGCTCCGCCCGCGCCGCCAGTGACGCCGCCGTTCTGCGAGGCGTAGCCGACGGGCGTGGCGGCATCAGCACGCCTCTCCGCCATGGGGACAGCGCACGCCAGGTGCGCGAGGGCTGCCAGAGCCAGCGTGGAAACGAACTTCATGGTGATGGTGGTGAGTACTGGTGGAAAAAAAAGAAGGTGGAGGGAAGGTTGAGGCGGGTGCTGGAGAAGTGAAGATCAACCCTACCATGCCCGTCTATATACCTATGCCCGTCATCGCATCACACCAGATCTCCGACGGTTCGTGGAAGCGGAGTCCCTGGAAACATGGCGGCGGAGATTCCAAACATCTCAAGCCGCCTTGGCGGTCCGCTTGAAACATGCTTGGCATCACTGACAGGCGGAGTCACGGCCCGCTGCGCTGTCACAGCTGGCTCGATCGGGAAGAGAGAGGTCCAGAAACAGCTTCGCGCCTCCCGTTTTGTCTGCGGAGGGCCATGAAACGGGGGCTGCCAAGCAAAGACGCATAAACGCCCTGTGGGGTGCACCTCCCGCCAAGCCCCGCGTGTATATTACGCTCCCGCCCCTGATGTCAACCTGCACCTTTCGTCCTCATTGGTGGACACACTCTGGGAACCCGCTCCGTGCAATTTGCCCGCCAAGTGGGGCGGGGTGGTACGTTGAGATTTCGAGGGTGGTACGTTAAGATTTCGAGGGTGGTACGTTATCGCTTCCCTTCTACACCCACGAAACCCCTCACTACTAGCCACCATATATACATCTGCTCGTGTTCCCCGCTGTTCGCTAATGCTGTCGCCTGAGCAGTGACTCGTGCGTTCATTTAAGACAGTACCAAGCTCCGGCTCGCCTACCACCTCTCCGCCACCCGAGCACGCCATGAAACTTTAACACGAGGACTCCGAACCTGATGATGACATCTTTCTACGAGCACTGGAATGTCCATACTGCAACATGAGACAATAACTTTTCTCACGTCTTCGAATAACTTTCGAGACAAAATGAACTCGAGCGGCTTCTGGAGCCGGACGGATATGGCAAGTTAAGGAGACCGACTGGAGGATGAACACTTCATGAATCTCGTGGGTAGGAGATGTTCCGAAAACCACTGATTATAGCAGCGACACACTTGTTTCACTCTCGATATGGAAGTTCCCCAGTAAACCTCGTAACTTGATGAGACTCGGATGACCGGATTGCATGCTCACCGGTTGGCGACGTATACACCGCCTACTTGAATCAGGCGAGTGATCTCGCCTTATGTCAGGTCCGCACGAGACGCGAGGATGCGGAGCAAAAGCTCCGGGCATTGAGGTTGCGGCCATGGAAGGAAGCATTTGCTCAATGAGCGCCAGCACGCAGACAGGTGCCAGCATCCAGCCAGGCGAGAAATGATGATCACTTCACGCTCTCTAAAATTGGAACGCATAGCCTCGTGGTGGGGCAGCCGAAACGTTTGGGCTGGGGGGATCTGCGGGGGCCGTGCCTCTGGCCGGTGCGCCATCAGCCACAGGCAACATTTGAACCATCACGGTACATCTCTGATGCGCTCGTAGACTGTTGAGGATGCTCTTAGTGTGCCGTGTTGAAGCCTTGCGCGATGAATATAGGCGTTGCTGATTTATCCTGTCTCGCCTTGGTGGTAACGTCTGTCTCCTACTTCCTCCTTGCTTGAGTAGTTGAAGCAGACGCTCGGTCGTAATCACACAAGTCTCTTGTTCTCGTACGTGAGTTATCAAATGATACATCCGGAAGTACATCTCTTCTTAACCATTCATGTGAAATGGTATCAAGAAATATTGTTCGTCACATCACGCTTGTTGTGCACACCTTTATAGAAGAAGACTGGTAAAAATGTTAGTATCGCGGAGAAACCAAACCACTTCGCATGAGACCATCTAAGGTGCCGAACCCATGATATTGCAACTATATGAAAAGAGCGATCAAATGCAACCATCTATCCCAACTGTACTCCGATGTGACCAGCGTAAAAACCTCAGACTCCGATCCGTGCAGCACATTTTCCAGTCTCGATCCCGAAACCTCCCCCTTTCTACTCGCACAGCTCGAAATCGCCCTTGTTGCCAGTGGTGTGGGCCATGACGCCGCAGTAGTCCTTGGACGGCATGGTGTAGATGACACGAGCGGGGCCCACCCAGCTGGCGTCGGAGGGGTTCTTCTTCTCGTCGTACTGGAACAGGTGGCCGTCGGCGAAGACGGGGAACTCGAGCAGCTTGGCGTTCTTGTCGTTGCAGTGGCTGTTGGCCCACTTGAGGCCCTTTGCGTTGTGGAACTGGTGCGGGTAGCCGCTCTTGGTCTGCGGCAGCTTGTCCGGCGGGTTGCCGACCGGCGCCGCGTGCATGGCCCGCTCGGCCTTGTCCGAGTTGATCTTGAAGTTGCCCTCGGTGTTCTTGCAGAGGAGGTCCTGCGGTGTTGCTGTCAGCTTTCGGGCCTGGCTGTTGAGATGTCTCGGGTGTGATTCTTACCTTGCCGCGGGCCTCGAGGGTTTGGTTGAAGGGGGCCGCAACAGCGTTGACGGCGAAGAGGGCGAAGCAGAGGCTCTTGAGGGCGTACATGTTTGAGGTTGGGGGAAGGTTTGATTCGACTGAAGAGGCGGTTTGAGATTTGGGGAAGATGAGTTTCGATTGAAGAGGCGGTTTGAGATTTGTGAATGGTATGATTCGATTGAAGAGGCGGTTGCTGTTGTGTTGTTGAGTGGTGTTTGTTTGATGATGATGGGTTCTGGAGCAGAATCACATCTATTAAGTACCGCACCTAGCATTCTATCTTTGGAACACCCAGATCAGCTTACTGCTGCTTGAGATGGCTATCGTGAGCACTGTGGTGTGGGACAACATAGAATCTTCAGAGGAATAACGGGGCAGCTCCACTTCAGCCGCAGTTGCTGTTGCACGGTTTTGGGGGCTTGTGGAAGATCATCTCTTTCGCTTTCCCATCAAGATCAATACCCGGGGGAGACGGGTTCCTCACGTTGTTCGTTCGAGTCGCATTTGCCTGTAGGTGATCCGGTCTGCGGGCCGTGCCACGGCCCCCATGGGCTTGACCCACATGGCAGGTGTTGTTAATTTTATGTCGCGGCAACGATCTTCGACTCAGCAACAACACCAACAAGATAGCCGTGGGCAGATTGTTTCGCGCCCATTGCTACTCTAGCTGCCCCTGCTGCTCGCCTGCCACTCCAGCTGCTGGTAACAAAGTCTTGCCGCAGGTCGGCCATGGTTGCCCACTATGGGCACATCCGACACAAATTAAAGTATATTACACGTCATCCTTTATTTTTTTTATCGTTTTACACGTTATCTTATTTATTTTGCACTTTATGTTTTTGATTTCCCTCCGTGTATATAATTTGACTCACGTGTAAAATACACAGAATAACGTATAAAGTTATAGGAAGACATGAAGTGGCGTATAATTTATATGTTAATTCGTGGCGGATTTTGCCCGTAGTCGCCGTTGTCGGGCACACCGCTTTGACGTTGCCCCGTACGGCGGTGTCGATTGCGTCGTGCATGTCTCGCGGGGTAAAGGGGCGATGAAACGCGACGTCACAGCCGGCTTACTTGTGGAACCGGATCGGATTCGTCGTAGAGGCTGCCGAGAAGGTGTCCTGGCACAATAAAAACTCGTCGAAATGAGCTGCGTAGAGCAACGAAAGAGGAAAGTGACAACCTTTTACCCCGCACAGAGTAGGGACACAACCACCGATAGTCCATACGACTGTGACTTATGAATCGATGTGTCTATGCCTTTCAGTGTTGCTCTGATATGTCTGTGACTTCTGATTAGCGCGTGGAAGGATGCACGGCTAGGCAACCTTTACCATAGTCGTACGAGAAGCGGCTGAGATTGCCTTCATCTTTCCACCAGCCTTTTGCCTTCTCCTCCTTGCAGCATTTGCCACCGCATGATTCAAACCTCCAGGATTAGTTTCCAGTTGTTTCGCAGTCAGGAATTATTCGAAGTGGTGTTGCCTATGGCATTGTAGGTAACCATATGCGAGGCTGAGGAAACTTCCTTTCGCTCCTTGTTCATCCGTGGTTCCGACTTAGGCCCCTGGGCTCGCAGCATTGGACACTCACAGTGTATTTACTTTGGCGACCGAGCCCTTAAAACCGAAACTTCCCTTGCGTTTGGCAGTTCTTGGATGTGTGAGCCTTGCACACTACAACGACCATGGAGCAAAGAGAGCGACCTGTCCACGATTACAGCACACTGGAGGTTGATCAAGGAGCACCCTTACCGGAGTTGGACGACAGCCATAATCTACCGCAGGTCATACCAAATGGCGATCTGCCAGAGGTGAGGCCGAGTGGCAATTCTCCAGAAGTCTTGGACAAGCATGAAGCTCCAGGGGCCAGTGGAGCATCAACGAACAAATCAAAAATATGCTGTCTGCGTAGGAAGACATTCTGGCTTGTGTTATCTGTGGTATTGCTAGTCGCCGTTGCAGTGGCCGTAGGAGTCGGCGTTGGCGCAAGTCGAAAGCACGGGAAAACCGAGGAGAGAAACAAACCAAACAACGGCGCGACCGGCAGAGGAAACAGCACAGACAGCACACCAAAGGCTGGGCGCATCGCCTCATTTTCACGCCTCGCTGCTGTAAACTACACGGACCGGCAGAATCGAGATCACTCCCAAGTGTACTACCAAGACAACAACCTCGATATATGGCTGGCCGACCTCGACACAACAGCCCAGACGTGGAACTTGACCAAAACAAACACCACTGGGATGGATCCGAAGAACGGAACGGCTATTTCGGCCAACAACTGGCCGTGGCCCTCCGGAGCACAAGTAAGTACAGCCTGAACTTTTGCCAATCGAGCTGACAACAAACCGCCAGCGCTACGATTTTCACACGCGCTTCATATCCGCCTCCAACAAGATCCGCGCGGTCTACGTCAAAGAATCACTGCTCACTAACCCATGGAAGCACTTCGTCGTCGCGGACAACATCTGGCAAGCGACGCCCGACTCGTCCCTCGTGGTACACGGTGGCGACTGCGGCTCCTCGTTCTGCGACGGCACCGAATTCGTGGTGTTCCGGTCGGCCAACAAGGGCGACCCCATCGCCGCGGCGTATCCGCACGTCAAACTTGGCTTCGAATCCATCTTGCCCGACGACGACGACATGGTCGTCGCGGACAACGGCACTGCACTGGCGAAGGCGCCGATTCCGGCCCTGGCGTGGCGAAACGACACTTTTCCGCGCGTGGCCGTGTACATCAGCGCGAACAACGGCAGCCTGAAGGAGGTGTACTACGCGACCGGCAGGTCGTGGAACGTCACCGATATGAGCGGTAGGTAAGAGGACCTCTGCAAGCGACCGAGTTTGGCTAACTGTAGCTACGCAATCGATCGGAAGCAGTGCCGAACATGACCCTGGATGCCGGAAGCCAGATGACGGCCATGTCGTACATCGATGACGACGGCCTGCTGTACGTCCAGGTGCTGGTGACGCGTGCCGGAGGTGGCGTGATGGTGGCGTATCTGGACGGCGCGCCCGAGAGCAACGGCTGGGCGTCGAACGAATCCGTCGCGGGCATGGAGAGCGTGCTGCCGTTTTCGCCCATCGCTGCCTCGCAGATGGGGCGCGTGTACGCGCTTGAGCAAGGGGATGACGGGCCGGAGCTCGCCGAGTGGATACGGACGTCCAAGATTGGGATTCCGACCTTTAAGCGTGTGGGAGTTGTGAATACCACGATAGTGTGAGGACCGGTGCCAGGTTTCTGGTGGATTCGGAAACCGATCGCCGGAGTCCACGTCCTAGAGGAAGTTGGGCTTCGATATGGGGCTGTTATGATTCAACTTCCTCATATCCTGTCCATCGCGCTAGGGGGACACCATGAATGAACATATCAAAGCTTTCGTTGGTACCTACTTCACTGAGCACGTATGTGGGCGGCTGGGCGCAGGAAGAAAGCAGAGTTTCAGTTCGGCAAGAAGTAGAGACTTAATCGCGACGAAAGCTATTTTTGCAGGATGCAGCCTAACGAGGTAGAATTCGAAGCTCCCAATATCAAGTGGAGGAGAGGTGGGCTGTTACAAGACTAATGGTTAAACTCTGTTGATTGGTGATGAGATGACATTGGAGAGTTCCCAGGTGCTGCGCCACTTTGTCGTATCAGTGGCTGTGGTCCAGCCTGCCAGGCAGCAATGGAGCGCATGCAGTTTATCACGCTAGTGAGCTGTCACCCCCCACAGCATAGTATAGGCAGCAGCCCGGAGTTTTCACGCTTTGATCCAGCAGGAGTTACTGGTCAAGCCGACAAGGCTGATTTCTTAGGAATTGCGAAATGGTCCGTGCGGGCGTCCAACCATGGAGCACTGCAGCCTTTTCTGACCCGAGCGCATCTCGTTGCCTACCCGTCGCTGTGGGCACTGCCTTTCAGCCTCGTGGGTGAAAGTCTACTTAAATCGCGAGGCTTGCAACTCTCCCTTCCTCCTTTATCTTTCGACAATGGATGGAATGAGCTGCCGCCGTCGCCGGCGCTACCCGCCTCGTCCACATGAACGCAGTCGCAACATGTCTTTTGACTCTGACGAGGACTCCTCCAGCGAGGCGCTGAACAACGAGCTCGAAAACAACACGGTAAGCCATAGAAGGCGCTGGATTCCAATCCGTCACGAAACACTGAAGGCTGTGAAGTTTGACTTGGGTTATGCAGGCCAACAAAGACCAAGACAAAGTCGATCCCCTGTTTGGATCCAATCCCGAGGTCAAAGCGCTGTACTCGACGAGCAACCCACAATGCAACTGTGCACCCCGCTGGTCAGAGCACGCTGAGGCTGCCGAGGAGGACCGGATGCTCAAGAAGATCGGTGCCCACTCGGCCATCATTCAGCGTTTCAAGCGCTCCAAGGAAGGCCAGTGGCAGACGTCAGCCATTGAGGTGCAGAGCCCCCGCTTGAACCATGTCCTGGAGGACGTCCTGAGAGACTACCCGGATGTCGTCATCCGCCCGAACGAGGCGACAAAGTTCAGCGCCCCATTCAAGCCCTTCTTTCACCGATGGCACCAACTTCTACAGCGTCATGAACGCCAGGAGGATGAGCAGACCAAAATGGAAGTTTCCCTTCTCATAAATGCTCTCAAACCGACCTTGGATCCGCTTTTCAGCATCGCCAATGACATGCGCAGAACCAACGACGTCGACTTCGATCATCTATGGACTCTGTACCCACCCGGTGATCTGGTCGTCTTCAGGTGCGGCAATGCCGTCACCATCTTCCGCCTGCACGACCTAAGCCTGCTCACACCTCCAAACGACCCAAGGTTCTGGGTACTCGAGGTGCAGCAGATCGAGTGGAATGGAAGATACTTTGGTGTCGTCCAAGGTCGCATGAAAATCGTCGAGGCAAAAACGCTACAGTTCGACAAGCTCTCCATCCAACCGCTATCGACACAGAGGGATCAGGATGTGATCAAAAGGAGATTTCTTTCCAAGGGCAATCAGTACGTGAGCCTGTGCAGCCAAAAGTGCCTCACAAAGACGTACAAAGGCACCAAGTACGTTCTGAACTCGAAGTTGGAGACGGTTCGCGAGAAGCCCGTGAGTTCAGACAACTTCGACCTTCAATGCCCGTGTCACTAAACACGACGAATAGCTTTCCGGGAGAATCGTGATTGACCCTTTCGCCTTCTTTACCTGCCAATCCAACATTGCGCCGAAGCATGCTCCTCTGAATGACAAAAAGTCGGACGCCTTTTGCTCAGGCGACAAGGCCGTGTTTGAGAAGTCTAACCTTGAACAAGAAGGACCGAATGAAGAGTTGGAGATGAACAAAGTGAGAGGTGTCGAGAATCGGCTTTTGTGCGTCGCAGATCGAATCAAAGGCTTCGATCTTCGCAACAACGAATGGTGTAAGGGACACTTGATCTTACTATATGCCTTGAGCGATCCTGACAATGGGCAGGTGAATTCGACGTGGATGACGTCTCAGACCCAACTTGGAACGAAAGTGCGTTGGAGCAGCTCGTTCTCCCCCAGGCCCAGAAGAAGCTGCTGCTTGCCTTTACGCAGCGCAACGAACTGGACCTTCCCGATTTCGACGACGTGATCTTGGACAAGGGGAAAGGGATCATCATTCTCCTGGCCGGCCCTCCCGGTGTCGGTAAAACACTGACAGCAGAGTCCAGTATTACCCCACAAACACTGCCTGATATGTAAATTGCTGACTGGTATAGTTTCGGAGCGCACTCGCGTGCCGCTGTACTCGCTCCGGGCAAGTGACTTGGGTACAGACTCTGAGCAGGTGGAGGCCACGTTGAAGGACTCTCTTGAATGCTGCAAGCTGTGGAATGCGGTGCTACTGATCGACGAGGCCGACGTCTTCATGGAGAAACGCAGCTCCGACAGGCTTGAGCAGAACGAGCTCGTCTCCAGTAAGGCCCCCTGGTCATGCCACCAACCGCTTGATACGGCGTACAGCTGACCAAAAAATCCAGTCTTCCTCCGTAACCTCGAGTACTATCAAGGAGTGATGTTCCTGACGACCAACCGCGTCAGCTCCATCGACGACGCCTTCCGCTCGCGCATCGACCTCATCCTCACGTACCCGGACCTTGATCTTGCCGCTCGGGCGCAGATTTGGTCGACTTTCGTATCCAGACTTCCCCCAGCAAGTTGCAACCTCGATGGCATTGACTTTGACGAGCTCGCTCGCTCGGAGCTCAACGGGCGTGATATCAAGAATGTGGTCAAGATTGCTCGCTTCCTTGCGGCGTCTGAGAAGGAGCCACTTTCAATGGAGCACTTGAGGACAATTCTGGATATCAAGAATGCCTCTTCTTGAAGGGCCCGACTCATTTGGCCTACAGTTGCGGGTTTTGTGCATTTCGGACTCAGCTGCTCATGTAGAGGGTTGCAAGCTTTCGGGTAGATTAGTCCTTAAACGGGGTGTTCCTCTATTTAGTTAATGGAGTATCGATTTCGCCGTTCGACAGGCTCGTATACCACAGCGGGGTAAACATCCCAGAATTATTACGACATCTAAATACCGGCACACCATATCCACCAAGCCATCAACTCCACGTCGAACCAGAATTCCACCAAACTCATGGCTTCTTCACATTTCATGACGAGTTGCACACGCGAGACGCCTTGGTGAGTTTTCATGAATGCCTGGCTCTACCGAGTCTCAGTCCCCCTAATGCATTTGGTCCCAATCCGCGGTGTATTCCTCTAAAGCCTAATACCATTGTGTAAGCATTTGGAGTCTAAGTAAAATATGGGAATGGCTTATTTTGCACCTCGAAAAATGCTTGTGTGATCCTTACGAAGTCATCGACGAGAATGCGTGCTAATACTTCCTGCCTAATGACTTCGCAAAAGGCCAGTCCCAAGTCGGCCCCGAAATCATATAACCATATGAATTCTCGGTCATAAAAATACCGTCTTGCAATTTTGGAGGCCTCAGAAAACTTAGAAAGGTGTTTTGAAATGCTGCATCGGCTGAAGTTAGCTAGCAGAAAGTCATAAACCTAGTTGGATGGGTTCCCAAGAAACGTACTCCACACACTTCTGCGCAGACGGCAGTCCGGGTGGTATTGCTCCTGGAGGCATTGCGTTCAACCGATCATAGTCCAGGATGCATGTGAAGAGGACTTGTAGGACTTCCAGGAAATCCGCAATATTATCGTCTTGCGGCTGTATCCAGTCAGGCGAACCAGAAGAAGTATCGCCATATGCTTTCCAAATAGAAGCGAACACTTCTTCACGACCCTTCCTGTGGAGTTTCAACATTCGATACTGAAATCCTAGAGTAAGACTATGGTTGGTCGGAACAGCAGGAGTTGTCGTCTGGTCCTCGGCTTCCAAATGAATAGTCCTCAATGAGTTTTCGGCACTTTCTACAACACCATCCTCGCGGATCAAATCAGCAGCAGCCATCCGGTTCTCAGCTTCCAATAATGGCAAATCTTCAGGTTTCAAATATGGTAGGGTGCTCCGCAGGTAGCTTTCAAGCTCAAATCTGAACCTTTCACGGCTTCCCTCATCGTAGAAGTAGACCTGGCTATCTCGGCGCTGCGCTCTCCCCCAGAGGTCCTCGAACTTGGCGTCGAACGGTCCAATGACACCTGCGGACTCGTACCAGGGTACGCGTACATTGTACTCTGTCCCACTAATGAGAGCCGGCTTGGAAAGATTCGATGACCCGATGATGGCGACGCCCGGGCAGCCGTCTCTGTGCTGGAAATGCCAGCCCTTGGCATGGAAGGTATCCATACCGTTCCGGGGACTGTAGACTGCAATGCCGTTATTGCCGTCTTGGATGCCTTTGTTTCCGGCAATCATTGCAGCAAGCTCGTCCACGGCTGACTGCGACGTGATTCCCATGTGCGTGGTTGTGATGACTCGGACTGGGATGCTTCGTTGCTGCAGATTTATAAATGCACTGCGGAGGACATCAACTCCACTGTGCTGGATGTAAGAGATGACGATATCCACGGCGGCAAGGGAGTGGCATGCGAGTTCATCGAGAAGAACCTTTTCAAGGCTCAGCCCGTTGTCGTTGGTGATCAGATGTGTTCTGTTCTGCTCTCAGATCATCGATTTGGTACCACTTTGATTCGCCTTAACAGACCTTGATGGAGCATAGGGAGTGATTTGGGCAATGTTGGCCAGATAAACTGGGCTGGCATGGATATTGGCAGGACGGGCAGGGTTGGTGAGCCATCGAAAACGAGAAGCTGTGGTATGGTACTTGGGGCAGGGCGAACGACGTGAGTATTTCAAAAATTCCTTTGATAATTGTAGCGACCGAGAAGGGCAGGACTATGACGGGAGCCTGGGCGGGATCCCGCGTGAATGTACTGGATTATGTAGGGGGACTGTGACCTCTAAGCCTTGCGGGGCTGTACACAGCCCCACCACCCCTTTCCAGTTCAGTAAACCCTTGCATTGATCAGGCCTCCCAATTGGTGGTGACTACGATACTATGTAAATACTCGCTGGAAACGAGGCGGCGCAGCATTCTGATATAGCAGTCAATTCCTTGTCACGCATGTTGCCGTTATGGATGATAGCGTTAGTGGTTGGCAACTAGCGCGGCCCGGAGAGGAGCCTTTTGGCCGGACACAAGCCCGGAGAGTCAACGACGTCATTGGTCAAGAGTGCTCGGCGAGACGATCGCGGCGATCAATTGTCGGCGGATCCGCATCGGCCACACCTTGCACCTTGGATCACTCCTGCCATATATGGGCGTCAGATTGAATTCACTCAAGGTTTTGAATTCAAATCCGGTTCATGGTGAGTTTTCCAAAGTCGGGTGCTGACTGAGGATCTCGCCAGGTAAGTTGTCTGTGCAACGATGAACCCAAGCGCTGGTGGAGTGGATCTTCTTAAAACGCCAAGCGTCAGGAGTCCCACAATTGCGCCATCTGTACCGGCATTTAGCGCTCGTACGAGAGTTAAGGCCGTGCTGGTGGCGAGAGAAGGCGTCTTCAAATGAGTTTTGCGAGGAACGTCTGGGAGATGATGCTGCAGGAACCGGAAACTCTGCCTACAAGCTCGGACGTACCATCAGCCAACAAGATGACCAACACGCTTTATGTCCCCAAGTCGGCCAAGGCGGCGTTTGTCAGTGGAGCCAACGGCATCAGCGGCCATGCTATCGTCGAGCATCTCATCCGCACGCCGAAAGCGGAATGGTATGTCCCCAGAAAGCAATCTCCCGAAGAGCTAAATCGGACCTCCTCTGCTCAGGTCCAAAATAGTCATCTCGTCGCGCCGGGAGCTGCCGAACTACTGGATCGACCCCCGCATCGAGTTCGTCGCTGCCGACTTCCTCGCCCCAAAGGAGGAGACTGAGGCGAGACTGGCGCACGCTTGCGCTGATGTGACGCACGCCTTCTTTACCTCGTACGTGCACGTCGACGACTTCGCCAAGCTGCGCGACCGCAACGTGCCCCTGTTCAAGAACTTCATCGACGTCATCGACAAAGTCTGCCCGAAGCTAGAGAGAGTCTGCTTACAGACCGGCGGAAAGGTGAGACTACAAGAAATGCAACAATCCACGGGACTGACGTGTACATTGCAGCACTATGGTGCTCATCTCGGCCCCGTTCCCGTCCCGCTCACCGAGGACTTGCCGCGCTACGAGGACGACGGACTGAACTTCTACTACACCCAGGAGGACTACATGTTCGAGGTCCAGAAGCGCCGGAATGCCTGGTCCTACAACATCATCCGTCCGAACGGCATTGTCGGCTTCACGCCTCACTGTAAGTTGTTTACCGAGAAGTGATCCGATCCGGCACCAGCCAGCAGCTGATTTTCGCAGCGAACGGCATGTCCGAGGCGCTCACCGTCGCGCTGTACTTCCTGATCTCGCGCGAGATGGGCGGCAACGGTCTGTTCCCCGGCAACAAGTTCTTCTACGACTCCATCGACGACCAGTCGTACGCGCCGAGCATCGCCGACATGAGCGTCTGGGCCGCCACGTCCGACCAGTGCAAGAACGAAGCCTTCAACCACTGCAACGGCGACGTCATCGTCTGGCGCCACTTCTGGCCGAAGCTCGCGCAATACTTTGGGCTGGAGGTGAGCAGCAACCGGGCTGGAAAGGGCTGCTGACAGATGCTTACACCGACAGGTCCCCGAGCCATCCTTCGAGAAGACGGCGTCAAAGGCCGACAGTATGGCCAACGAAATCGACCTCGTCGAGTGGGCCAAGGACAAGAAGCCCGTCTGGGAGCGCGTCGTGGCCAAGTACGGCGGCCGGGCCGATGCTTTCGACTGGGGCACTTGGGGCTTCTTCATGTGGGCCACGGGCAAAAGCTGGCTGACCATCGGATCCACGGCCAAGGCGAGGCGCTTCGGCTGGGCCCGCCTCGACGACACGCACGACTGCTGGATCGAAACGTTCAGATCGCTCGAGAACGCGGGTATTCTGCCCAGGGCGAGCGCTATCCGAGCTGTCGACGCCGCAAAGAATTAGAGAGCACCCGTTTTCGGAAGATAGTGTGCGGTAGCCGATAAATCCGAGATCGAGAATGGTATAGATGCAGAGTTCCCACAGCGGTATCCACGTGGTGAGTGCGTGACGTGCGCGTAGTGCGTCGTGCGGTGCTTGGTGGGCTGTATATCCGCAAATCCGACGGCCGTCGGATTTGCCAACCCCAGTGTAAACCATGGTCAATTGCTCTTTTCGGGAGAAGCAGGGTTGCATCGTGAGGGGCGAGGCTGAAAGAAGTGCTGACGTCACCCGCAGTGTAGGAATATTGATCATTTGCAGATCCATCTCGCCTCACCCGAGCCGCACACCACCGCTGATGAGACGGACTTCGGATCGATCGGCAAGTCCGGTTAGAGGTCCGTCTCTCGCCGCAGCATGGTCCATTCCCTGTCGTGCTGTGTCTTCACCGATGGCAGATCGGTCATTGACGAACAGTCTCGTGTCAGCGCGGCATGGTCGTGCAGGCGGAGATGCTGCCTCTGCCGATGCGCCCAACCCTGATTCCATCAATAGACCACTGGAAGCGCGAAATTCGACAGTGCCGATATCCGTAGTGAAAAGGTGCTATAAGAACTCCTTTGAAGGCAAGAAGATGCTCATTGCAGTTGCGGAATACTCTTACAACAGCCTCCTTCCATCATGCAATTCTTGAGCCGGAAAAACGTGGCACTATGGCAGGCCTGCATCGCATTGCTCACCTCAACAGCTGCGTCAGCCAACTCGACCCTATTCGAGCGCGGTACCGTCATCTCCTTTGACGATGCGACCAAGACCCCCAAGGTCCTCTGGAACACCTCCCTCCTCATAACCGGAGACCGCATCGCCGCCATCTTCGACGACTCTCAAAACGTCACCATCCCCTCCGGCACCGAGCGGATCTCCGCTGAAGGCAAGATTATCACACCCGGCTTTGTCGACACCCACCGGCACGGCTGGCAAACCGCCTACAAGACGCTGGGCTCCAACACCACGCTCGCCGAGTACTTCCAGCGGTACGGCGAGTTCACTCAAGCCTCGACCGTCTTCACCCCAGACGATGTGTACCTGGGGCAGCTGGTGGGCATCTACGAGGCGCTCAACTCGGGGGTGACGTCCATCCTCGAGCACGCCCACGCCACCTTCTCCAACGCCACCGCGGCTGCCTACCTCAACGCCTCCATCGACAGCGGCGTGCGCATGTGGTGGTGCTACGCCTTCCACGAGCTGGACAACGGCTTCAGCATCGCGGACCAGATGGCCAACTTCAAGGACTTGAACCAGAACCTGGCCGAGCGGCAGGACCAGAGCCTCGTCGAGATGGGCATGGCCTACGACGCCTTCGCCTCCGCAGACGCCGACGAGATCCAGTCCGTCATCAACCTCGCCAAGTACGTCTTCCCCCATCCCCATCCCCATCCCCATCCCCCTCCCCCACCACTCCCCACCGCCTCAATCCAGCCGACTAACCCCCAAACCCCTCCCTCCAGAACCTCCAACATCACCGCCTTCACGACCCACTACCTCGGCGGGCCCTGGTACGACGCCAACTCGCCCACCCTCCTCGACGCCCTCGACTTCCTCAACACCACCTTCCCCATCATCTTCTCGCACGCCTCCTACCTCACCCCGGACGACGTGCTCCTCCTCCGCCGCCACGACCACTACATCTCCACCACGCCCGAGTCCGAGATGCACTACGGCCACTCGCACCCGGACGCCGCCCTCGCCCAGGACCAGGCCGCCCTCGGCGTCGACACGCACTTCACGTACAGCACCGACATGGTCGGGCAGGCGCGCCTGTGGCTGCAGAGCGCGCGGCTGCGCTTCGCCAGCGCCGTCCTGCGCGACTGGCGCGTCCCCAGCACGAATGCGATGAGCGTCAATCAGGCGTTCCTGCTGGCGACGCGGGCGGGCGGGATGGCGCTGCGGAGGGGCGGCGACGTGGGCGTGTTGAGGGTGGGCGCGGTGGCGGACGTCGTGGTTTTCGATGGGGAGTCGCCGAATATGCTGGGGTGGGTCGATCCCGTCGCGGCGGTCGTGCTGCATTCGCATGTGGGGGATGTGAGGCACGTGCTTGTTGGGGGGCAGTGGCGGAAGAGGGATGGGAGGCTGGTGGTGCGGGAGGGGATGGAGAGGGCGGAGGTGGAGAAGAGGTTTTTGGAGAGCGCGCGGAGGATTCAGAAGGTGTGGGCGGAGACGCCGTTGCCGGTGTTGGAGGGCGTGTATCAGGATGGTGTGGAGTATGGGGAGACGTATCGGATGGATGTTGTGAGGGGCGAGGGGACGGGGTATTAGATGAGGGTGGAGGGGGGAGGAACGGTAATGGGCGTTCGTTGGGATGAAGTGATGATGATGGTTAAAGTAGATGGTATGTAATCTGTAATTGAGACCCACGGTAATAGCGCAAGTATGCATGTGCAATCCGTTGCCGCAAGCAATGCATGTGCAAGTGGCTGCTGGGCAGTGGCAAGAGCGACTTCAACTGGGGATCCGACCACCTTTGCTCCTTTCGAACTGTTTTCCCCGCATGTAGCTTTGACTGGATCCGAGCCGTCTATGATAGTGTGGTGGGTTCAAAAGGCTCCGACGGAGCTTATGCAAGCCAACCAGGTTCCTCCGGCGGAAGAAAATGGACGAACGAATCAGTCAACTCAGGCGGAAAATGGGCAGCTGGGACACAGCAGTCGACCACGTCGCTGGCGGAGGCTGATGCAGGGGAAGTCCGCTGAGAGCAGCCTTGTGAGCCTCCTACAGCTAAACACCAAACCTTGCTAGCTAGCTTTGTTCAACCAACATCGATAATGGCGTCTGGAAGCAAGCATATGTATACGCCGAGCCCGGCGCCCTTGAGCAGGAAAACAGCTTGACAAATTGGGCAGGGGCGCGGTTAGTGTGGCGGAGCTGGCCACGCATAGGTATGCGTTTGAGGAGGCGGAGAGGGCTTTCCAGGGCGTGGCGATACGGGAGGGGATTAAGACTGTGATTTATGGACCGAATGTCAAGGCTGCGGATGCGTCTAGTCGACTGTGAGCGGGACGGGTGAGGAATGGAATTGTGGACGTTCGTATATCAGAATAGGGAACTGAGTGTCTTCGTGAAATGTTCTCCTGACACTGCTTAAAAAATCCGAGAGTTCGCCGGGTCCGTGTTTCGCGGTTCTGTTTATGACTCCATGAACTGATTCCGGGTGGTTGCTGTCCGCACGCATGAGTGTCCCTGTCATTGCGGTACTTTGCTACTAGCAGAAGACGACAGAGAACGAGACCATCTGCGTAGGCCGTGAGGAGAGGCGAAAGCCCACTGCACGGCGGGGGGTCTTGAGCACTGTGCTCAGAGGCTGCGTTTGTCTCCGCCCAGCCGAGCTCCACGGACAGCAGACAACGTCGGCCAAGCTAGAGAAGGCGAGGAGCTGTGCTCCGTTGTGGTCGGAAGGTGGGTGCGGGATGGAGCGGGCTGGGCTTGGCTCCAGGACAGTCGCCGGCGGAGCTCCGGCGGCCCGCGGATCGGCCAGCTGTAAAATGCCCTTCCCCTTCCCCTCCCACATCGCGCCGGCTCCGTCCTGTGCTCTCGCTGCCGAAATGGACACCGGCCCCGTCCCACCACCAAGCCAGCCCCAGATGTCCTCCGCCGGAAAGGTCAGCAAGGCGTGCCAACGTTGCCGCCGCCACAAGAGCCGCGTGAGTGACCAGACCGCCCCGCAATCCCTGCTACGCCATTTTGCTGACCGCATGTGCCAAGTGTGACCTCTTCCGGCCATGCACCCTTTGCGTCCGGGCCGACGCCGAGTGTATCTCCGACCCTGATTCCACGCGTCCGCGCGCCAAGTGAGTAGTGCGCCCTTGCCTCACATCTGCCGGACCGGCAGTTGACCGAGCGCGTGCACTCGCAGGAGGCAAAAGCTGTCTGTCAGCTCCAGCACCAGTCGTCAGCCACGCGACCGCACTGCAGAGCCCCGCCCGTCGGCAGACGTCACAGGGACGCCCTCTGCTCGGGACGTGCCTGAGGTGGTGGACCATCCAGCAGCTCCGACGCCAGCCTCGGCCCAGGACGTGTCACAGGTCGACGACTATGGCGAAGCCGACTCGACCATGGGCATCACCCGTAGGGTAACTGCTCTTGCTCCTCTGCCCTCACCCTGGTCCGAGCCCGGCTGATGGCGCCCGTGTAGATCTTCCAGCTGGGGAGTCGGGACATGGACTTGAGGCTCACCTCAGCCATACCCGACGGCGAAAACCTCGCTCGCGCCGCCCCCCATGCCGCCACCGACCAGACCCGCCATGTCCGCCCCGTATCCCACATCCTTGGATACTCGCTGCCGTCGCGCCCCGTCGTAGACTTTCTGCTCGAAGAGTACTTTGAGCGCGTGCACTGGTTCTCGCTGGTCATCTACGAGCCGCTGTTCCGCAAGGAATACGACAGCGTCGCCGACGGCCTCGCCTCGCCTGAGCAAAAAGGCTTTCTGACTCTGCTGACCATGGTCGTCGGCCTCGCTGCCTGGTACCGCTCTCAGAGAAACGCCGTCGAAGAAGCGTTTCTTGCCGAAGACTTTCGCGCCTGGAGCTCCGAGCTGCTGCGCCAGACGGAGCTGCGGCTGTTTGATCTGATGGATGATTCCGACCTGACTTCGGTGCAGGTGTGCATCTTACTAGGTTCATACGGTGTCTATCATGGGAAGCCCAACGTTTCTTTTGCCCTGCTGGGCGCGAGCATCAAGATGGCCCAGGCATTGCGACTGCATCGCGAGCCTTCTCGGGGCGACCCAGGCGAGATTGAGGAGCGGAAACGGGTGTGGTGGACTATCTATACCTGGGACAGGTAGGGGCCATCTTCACTAGCCCATCCATTTTCGTAGAGGCTGAATGTGTGCAGGTTTGCTTCCATCACCTACGGGAGGCCGCTGGGGATCAATGAAAAAGACTGCAATGTCTCAATGCCGGCGGATGTGCTCGAGAGCCCTTGCTTCAGGTATAATTCCAGCGACGGCGGCGGCACCTTGATCCACTATTCAGCTTACCAGCGCGAATTGAATACACTGTACCAAATCGCCTCTCCCATGATCGAAGCCATCTTCGGCACAAGGGGCGGCGAAGCAGCCTCTCGGAGAGACCGCTCGAACGTGGTCGCAGAAATAGACCAGCAGCTACGCGACTGGCACCAGCGCCTTCCCGCCCATCTCGTACTCGATCTCAACAACGACACCCACGTCGACACGCTCGCCGAGGCCCGAGCGCACCGCCTCCAGGCCCTGTCCCTGCAGCTGACCTACGACAACATCGTCATCGTCCTCCACCGGCCCTTCTTCGCCCAGCAGGTCAACTACCTCACCCGCGTCCTCCCCGTAAACCTACAAGGCTCAACCCCGGGATCCACCCTGCACGTGGCCGACACCCCGCAGCCCATGGCCATGCCCGGCGGCTTCAACTCCGAGACGTGGTGGAACGCGGCGGTCCGCACATCCCGCGTGACGGAGCTCCCCAACCTCGCCCAGCTCGCCACAGAAACCCACCTCGTAGCCTTCATGGCGATCAACCTCTTCAACGCCGCCATCGTCATGGTCGTGTGCGCCCTGTCGGATCCCCTGTCGGACCGCGCGCAGGAGGCGAAGCGCAACATCACACGCATCTACCGCCTACAGGAGCTGCTGGGCTACCGCTCAAAGCTTCCCATGCAGAGCAGCGTCATCCTGCAGGATGTCATCCGCGTGTTGCTGAATCGCGAGGCCGAGGCTATGTTGACGTCCGTGGTCGGCTTGCCGGCGGCTGGGGGGAAGGGCGGGGATCAGCGGCCGGGGCTGGGGCCGTCGGGGCAGTCGGGAGGAGAGGGCCGGTGGCCGGCTAGCCAGCAGCAGCAGGATTCTCTCGGCATGGCAGCGCTCGGGCGGTCGAGGACGGTAGAGGATACCTTGAGGCTGCCGCTCGACATCCCGGCTGGGGCGGTCGTGGACTCGGCCGGTGCCGTGGGGGATCCGCAGGCTGAGCATCTGCGCGAGGCGGCTAGGCTGAATGGCGGTCTGGCCTACGTGCAGCGGGGTATGTACTTTTGCCGCGTTTTATACGAGTATTGTTGAGCTAATTACTGCGGTAGTCTTGCCGAATGGCAGGGCCGAATCACTCAGTTCAGCCGCGTCACAGATGGGGCAAGGCCGCCAGGATCTTTTGCAGGGTGAGTTTGACAGTCACGTCCCCGGACAGCGGGATCCAGTCGTGTACGGCGGGATGGGGTCGCCCCTTGGAACCGCGCTACATGGGGAGAAAGATCTGTACTGGATCTGGAGTTCGGTGGCGGACTGGCCGTAGTGCAAGTTTCCGAAGCATGGCCACGCGGTCCATTGCATCGTCACTTGCCCCGCCGATGACCACGAAGATGAAAACCTTGGACCGAAAATCATATACTGCTTCACCCGAATGGAAGTAGCCGCTAGAGGTCCGATATCATTGGCCAACCCGTACTGACCAATGCCCAATATGCTTGGCAAAAGAGGCGCCGGCATCGGTTATTTCCTTGCATCCTCCGGCGGCCGTGTCGACATCCTTCCGCCGGAACTCTGCACACAGACGCTGTCCTCCCCCATGGGGATCCCGCAAGAGGCTTGTTTTTGACTCCACAGGTAGCGTCCGGCGATCCGAGCATACATTCGACCAGAATCCCCGCGTGGTCTGACTTCTCAGGTCTCCAATCCACACGTTTCTCTTCCATCGCCCCATTGAGCAAACTGTGCTTTCATCAATCATGACTACCACCGAGAACATCAGCGAGGTCGTGAAGACGTTTCCGGTCGGGAAACAGAGTGAGCCTGCGGGTCAAAAACCCAGTTGGCTGGAACGCACTCTGAAGCCCAAGACTTACAACCCGCGCTATCCGTTTGTTGGGAAGCCTCTGTTATGGATGACATGCGCTTTCGGTAGCTTGGGAGACGCGCTGTTTGACTACGATCAAGGTGTGATGGTCCAGACGCATGCCGAAACTCTTGGAAATGGCCCACTGACCTCACGCACGTAGGTATCATGGCCGGCCTCCTGGTGAACCCGGTATTGGTCAAACTCTTCTTCTCCGAACACGGCGGCATGGACGGGATCTACGGCAACGTCGACCCATCCGTCACCGGCATCACAGTGGCCTGCCTCCAAGCCTCGGCAGCGGTAGGCTCCCTGAACTCAGGGCGGCTGGGCCACATCATCGGGCGTAAGAAATGCGTGCGCATAGGGGCCTTCATATACTTTGAGTGCGCCTTCATCCAAGGCTTCGCACCGAACCTCGCTTGCTTCATCGCCGGCCACACGATCCAAGGCCTCGCCGTCGGCTTCCTCTCCTTGACCGTCCCCGTCATCCAGACCGGAATCGCGGCGCCGCACCGGCGCCGCATCATGGTGGGAATCGAATACTCGTTCTTGATCGGCGGCTACGCGCTGTCCTGTTGGGTCGACTATGGCTTCTACTTCGCGCTGCCCAGTAACGTCTCCTGGCAGGGTCCGGGTTTCGTGCAGATGGCCATCGCCTTCGTGCTGTTCTCCATGTCTCTCCTCCTGCCCGAGACGCCCCGCCGGCTCGACCGCAACGGCTTCGCCGAGGAGGCACTGCAGACGCTGGCGGACCTGCACGCCGACGGCAACATCAACGACCACGACGTCCAGCACGTCTTCCGCGAAGTCCAGGACGCCGTGCGCTACGAAGCATCGCTCGGTCAGTGCAGCTGGCTCGTACGTTCCCCAAATCCTCCTCTCATCACCGACGCTCCGACTCACACAAAGACCAAATAGGAAATGTTCACCCGCTACAAAAAGCGCATCTTCGCGGGAATCAGCGTCGTCTCCTTCTACCTCCCCTCCGTCCTCGCCCGCGCCGGCTGCCCGGACGAGAAGTCCCTCCTCTACACGGCGGCCAACTCGCTCGAGCCCCTACGTCGCCGCCACCGTCTCAGCATAGCTCCTCACCGACCGCTGGGGCCGGCGGTCCCCTCCTCGTTGCTGGGCGGCTGCCCGCCGAAATCTTCCCGCTGGGGAGTCGGCCCAAGGGCGTGGCGCTGGCGACGTGCTCGAATTCGGCGTTCGACTTCATCATCGGCGTGTCGAGCCCCGATGCTTTCGCTGGGATCGACGGGTACTACTACTATGTTGTTATCTCCGGTTTTTGTCTCTTCTCGGCGGCTTTGGCTCGGTGGACGTATGTCGAGACGGCGGGCTGTACGCTCGAGGAGATTGCGAGGGCGTTTGGGGACCGCACGTTTGCGTTGGATGATCAGGAGGCGGTTATGAGGGGGGATGTGCTGGTGGGGGATGAGAAGGCTTGATGGGGGTTGGGATGGAGCGGGGTGGGGGTAAAAAGGGAGAGGGGGGCGTTTGCTCTTAGACTCTGTGGAACACAATGGCTTAGCAGCAAAGACAACACAGCTTTGGTTATCCAAGGACAAGTAACGCACAACACAGTGCATAATCCTGAACGGAATGGCAAACACCAGTCTCTTGACAAAAGCCACTTCACTAACACGCATCCACCACCACCCCAACCTTTCCTCCCCAACTCTTCCCTTCCCCATTATTATTCCAATCACCATCCCCACCCCCTCCCTCCTCAAGCCCCTCACGCCCACTTCCCCAACACCCCCATCCCCACCATCCCCGCCCCCAACGCCCCCAACCCCACCACCGTCTTCCCAGCGCCCTCCCCCGCCATCACCCCCCCATGCATCCAATCCCCCGCCCACATCTCCACCAGCCCCACCCACGCCAGTATCCCCGCCGACACCGCGTCCAGCGTCCCGATGGCCACCAGCGTCGCCGGGTCGTTGCCGTTGAACCGCCCCAGGCAGCCGATGCCGATGGCCATGCCGAGCGGGGTGGTGAGGGCGAAGAGGGTGGCCATTGTGTATTTGGTTGTGGAACTGGTTGTGGAGGTGGTGGTGGTGCTGGTGGATGGTAGTTCGGCGATGCGCGAGCCCAGCGCGATGCCTTCGAAGCATTGGTGGAAGAGGATGACGGCGAAGAGGGTGGGGAAGAAGGAGTCGGCGGCGACGACGAGGGTGAGGCCGATGACTGTTGGTTGTTTTTGGGATTTTTCGTCAGTGAGTGTTTGTGTGGGGGGTTATGGTTGGAGGGGGGCGTGGGCTGGTGATAAGGAGGAAGAGCAGGAGGAGGAGGGGGGCGGTGCTTACGCAGGGAGTGGAAGATGATGCCCGCTTCCATGACGGCGACGGCGAGTTTCTCTTGGCCTGGGTGCCCGGCGGCCGCCCCGCCGAGGGCGTTGCCGCAGCCGGCGATGGTGGTGAGGGCGTTCGGGGGGGAGGCGGAGGCGGCTTTTCCGTCGCTGGCGCCGCTGCCGCTGCCGTTGCCGCTTTCGAGGCCTGCTGGGGAGGGGTTTCTGTGGTTTCTCCAGTGGAGGAAGCGGGCGCCTAGGTATTCGGTGAGGAAGGCGAGGAAGATGCCGGCCATCATGATGGCGGCGGGGGTGCCTTCGTACTCGGCTGGCCATTTGATGCATTCGTTTGTGAGCATCAGGGTGGCGTGGGTCAGGAGCTGTGGGACGCCGTCAGTTTTTTTTTTGGATCAAGGAGTGCGGTGGGGTGGGTGGGCTTCTTGCGTGGATGAAAGCAGTCGAGACCATGACGCCGGTGCCGAACTGTTTGAGTATCATTAAGCAAAAGTTGACAGCGTTATTCTGGAGGTACGATCCCATTAAAATGGGAGCGAAGACGGCTGGTTGTGGTTAGCGAAGGCCAGTGAATGCCGATGTTGACTCACCAATGGCGCTGGTGGCGAATATCACAAACAGGAGGCCGATTCTGAGCGGGACGTTGTACTCTCTATCGGTGCGCTCGCAAGATCGGGTGCCGCCGCTCTCTGACTCCCCTTCTCCCACGCAGTGCCTGTCGGGATACGTCATCAGCCGATGTTTTGAATCCAGAAATACAGATACGAGATGATCTACTTACTCTACCCCGGCGTGGAAGTGGCAGTTCTTGCCCGAGCTCGAGCTTTCGGTCGACTCGCTCTCGTGGTCATGGTCGTGGTCATGGTCGTGGCTTTCTTCGGTCCCGGAGGCTTCGGCGCCTTCTGCGACCAGTTCGTATTCCTTTCCCGCAGCGTCGAGACAATACCTGGCGAACAATCAGGTTTGATCTTCAGGTCATAGGAGAGGATGAGCCTTACATTGTCGAGCCATGCGAATGGCACCCAGTGTACTGGGCGGAAAGCTCCTCAGTGGCAGTTGCCGATTGCATGACGTGGAATTCGGAGGTGCCAGCCATGCAGTTCCTGGAGTGATGGTCAGCAGCGAAAGACCAATCATGACAATACAACCGGCAGCGGACATACCAGACACTGCCGTGCATATGACAGCCGGAGACTGCTGTTATCGACGAGCTTGAATGTGTCGTCGTCGGTGCAGCAGTGGTTGAAACGGCAGCGGTAGCAGGCGCCGTGGACGCAGCTGTCGACGACGCGTATGAAGTCCAGAGAACACTTGAGCCATTCTGATCGAGACACCATCTGCCGAGTCCTTTTTGTCAGTGGATGCAGAGCCGAAAGGTGAGGGTGGGTTTACTGTTCATTGCCGAGTCGGGAGCATGCAGACAACATCAGCGTCTGGGACTGTGCCTGGGCCATAAAGGCGCCACATGCAAGCAGCAGCGGCAGCCTCGTGCAAAACGTCATGATGGGTTGAAGTGGAGAGGGAGCAAAGTCGAGGGAGAAATAACGCGGGCCAGCGGGTACTGCCTTAAAAAGCATACGGCTTGGTAGCCGTTGTGGGTATGGGCAAGAGGGTCCCAAGGCGAGCCATGGTTGGGAAACTCGTCATGCCAAGCATCCCGCCGAGCAGAAGGAAAACCCGCGAGGCTGATGTGTGGAAAGCGGAGGGTGCTGTACGGGGTATAGGCGGGTCCGATGTTGTCACGGTGGCCAATGGCAGGGCGCAGGATTCTTGAGCACCTTGATGTCCCGCCCAGGCCCCACGCCCTTTTCTCGTACCGCAGTCCCGCGCCCTCAACAGCCACTGGTACTTCCTGTCTCATCAATTGCGTTGGACTACTGTCGCAGTGCTTGTTTCTCCAAGGCTCACTATCAGCCCTTTCCAATCCGGGAAATGCCTTATATACGCTACTCAGCAAGTTTGCGCCCACTTGTTCCGCTCCCCTGTTACTAACCGCAACTGCCAGCAAAAGCAAACCATGCTGTCAGTGGCACCAACCTCTCGCTTGGCCCTCTTGGGGTCTCCACTTACCATGCCGGAACCGTGCTGACGTCCGCCCGATGCACTTGACTTCCGTCTTGGCTGTGCACGCCTGTTCGTAAGAAATGCCTTCGCTATTCACTTTTCCCGCCGTTCAGTCCGCCCGGCCCTGGAAAACGACCCCGTGGCATGTCAATTTTCTTCCTTGAAAGCCTGTCGTCATCTTGGCGAAGACATCAGGGTGGTATCGAGCAAGAAGAGGCTGACTTGCTTGGCCGAAAGAGGATATATAAAGTGCAGCGTTGTCGAGACCAGTGACAATCCCAACCTCCCGGCTTCTCCCTCAAGCCCTTCTCAGCCAGTCAACTCCCCGCCCAGCCGCAGTCATGAAGCAAGCTCTCTTCTCTGTCCTACTTTCCTCCTTGGCCTTCAACCTTCCTGCCTTCGCAGCCAATGCTCGTGCCAGACGGGAAATCGTCGTCACCGTCACCGAGACTGTCACCGGCTCCAACCCGGCCGCCGCGACGCCCTACGACTGGGCCGCTGGCGCAACAAAAGACTACCCCATACACCCCTCCTGCAACGCCACTGAGCGCGCCCTCCTCACCAAAGGCCTAAACGAAGCCATCAAGCTAGCCCAGCACGCCAAAGAGCACATCCTGCGCTTCGGCAACAGCTCCGCCTTCTACACCAAGTACTTCGGCGACGCCCCTACCGGCGAGCCCATCGGCTGGTACGACCGCATCGTCAGCGCCGACCGCGGCGGCATCTGGTTCCGCTGCGACGACATTGACGGGAACTGCCATCAGGATGGTACGTCTCCCGACCTCCACCTCTACACCCCCAAGATCAACAGAACCTGCCCCTCCCCCATCCGCCACCACTGACGCGACAAACCCAACCCCCGCAGGCTGGGCCGGCCACTGGCGCGGCTCCAACGCCACCTCCGAAACCGTCATCTGCCCCCTCTCCTACGCGACCCGCCTCCCGCTCGAAGCGCTCTGCGGCTTCGGCTACACCGTCGCGGGCGGCAAGCTCAACACTTTCTTCGCCGCCGACCTCGTCCACCGCCTGTACCACCTCCCGGCCGTCGGCGAGACCGCCGTCGACCACTTCGCCGACACCCACGCCGAGTGCGTCGCCCTGGCCCGCGCCGACCCCGCCCGCGCCGTGCGCAACACGCACAGCCTGCAGTACTTTGCGCTCGATGTGTACGCTTGGGACGTCGCACTGCCGGGGGAGGGGTGCACGGGGAGGGATGGGGCGGACGGGGGGGGTGGGTCGTCTTCTTCTTCTGCTGTTGCTGCTTCTTCTTCGACGACGCCTTCGCCTTTGGTTTCCGTTGCGTCTGCTGCCGCTACTGGCGGTGGTCAGGAGTGCCACTCCCACGCTGATGGCGTCGTGCACTGCATTGCGGGCGAGACGGCCTCGGCGTCGTCTACCAGCGCTGTTGCTGCGTCGTCGACGGCCGATGCACCTACGGTAGGTTTTTCGTTCCTTTTGGCTTGATGTGTGGGGTATGGTGTGCTAATGTGCGAAGCAGGAGTGTCATACACATGCTGATGGAGTTGTCCACTGTGCGTGATGTGGGATCAAGATGGAAGAAGAGGTAGATGAATGTCATGATTCGTGATGGTAATGGGCTGGAGAGGCTTTGAGATCTTGGAGGACGGGGAATAGAGTTTTGTGAATGTTGACGAGTTACGCGCCACGTTTGTAAATAGAGTAATGCACATGCTCAAAGCTCCGCTGCGCTTCGCCCACCAAGTGGAATATTGTTTCTCGTCACGATTGACGTCAATTATGCATAGATTGCATTTGAATCAGGTCGACTCAAAATTGGGATGTGAAAGATTGTTTAATCTCTCAGAATTTCACTTGGAGATGAGTTCAACTCCAGGACAAATACCAAAGAAAAAATAAGCTAAAAAGACTTATCCAGCAAGCCTCTCGGCGAATCGAAGGTTTTGTACGTGTCACTTTTCGTGCTGTTACTGCATCGCGACCAAGCTTTGTTCACTTAATCACTAAACCACCTTACTCACGCCGCCAAACACAGCAGCGCCAGCAGCATGCGCCTACAGTTCGTTAGCATTCGCTCTGAAAACGGAGCCGCAACGGATATTCCTTACCAAGGCATCCTTCGCAACCTCGGTGACAAATTTCTTATGGTATTTCGCCGTCGCCGGGGACACATCCCTCCCCATCTCGGGCCCCATGATCGACTGTCTCCTCAGCCCGGCATTGCGCCCAAACGCCCCGGCGGCGTACATCTGCTCGATCTCGCGCAGAACCAGTTTGCGTTCGACGTAGTAGTCCATGAACCACACTACCGTGACGACCAGCATCAGCGCGGCCGAGGACCACGCCATCCAGAGGAACTTGTCGCCGCGGGCCGCCGAGATGCCAACGTCGGCGCCCAGACCGTTGACCTTTTCCACCGTCTCGACAAGCACGCCCGTGACGACGCCGCAGGACAGCCCGAGCCCGAGAAATGCCGTCTGTGCGATGATGTTGTGTCAGCGAGATGTTTGATATTTGCGTCCAGACGGACGGACGAACACATCCTTGGTGCAGGGCGCATGGGAGGACTTTACCCCTGATAGCACGAGGTTCACCAGCGAGACCCGCGTGCCGTGCGTGAACCGGCTCGCGTCGACAATCGCCACGATCGTCCCGAAGATGAAGCAGAGCCCCGTTGCTGCGATGCCCGTGCAGAGGAAGAAGAAGACGGCTTGGTACGCGTTCTCGATCTTGCCGCCGACGTCCGTGATGGTCTGCGAGAACGAGACCTCGAACGGCCCGGCTGACTTCGAGCTGGCGAGCGAGATCGGGTTGATCGAGAAGAAGGCGGTGCTCTTGGAGCAGCCTGACAGGCTGCGAGAGCTTCCTGAAGTGTAGTTGCCGAAGCAGTAGTTCATCATGTGGACGCTGTACCACTCGTTGCTGTCCGCGAGCATCGTCCCACTGGCGCCGATGTTGCCGCTTTGCTCGTAGGTGATTGCGGTTTCTTGCGCAGTCTGGTTCCGCAGCAGCTTGGAGATGTCCAGCTGAGGGTGCCGAGTTGGTTAGGAGGGACGGTTTGCGCCGGCCGGGGTCGGTTGGGTACTTACCACCATGATATCGGCGTCTTCAATGAAGTTTGGCTGCCATCCCGCGAAGAGAGAAAGCATGGATAGAATCACGGCAGCGGCTGTGCATATCATAGCTACGATGGAAAACACCCTCATGTTTGCTGAATGGAGGACAGAAGTGAAACTGTTGGGGAAAATGGTGCGTTGAAAGAAAGACGTGAAGAGAAGGGAACGAATGTAAGGAACTCAAGGTCTCTCTCAACAGTCCAGGCTGATGCTTCGCTACAGGGAGCCCGAGACTGAGAACATTTATCTAGATCCCAAAGTGAGTTTCAAGGCGAGAAATCACCTCCGCGTCACTCTCCGAGTACAGATCTCGTTTCATGGGTGAACAATGACGCTGGTCTGGACCATTCCCTGAGGTTCTTGAGCGTTGGGTATCCCAGCGTAGTTCTTCATCTGGCCATTCCCACGTGTGATTACCATGCCCTCCCCGTCCCAGGTTTGATGACACCGTGGAGCAGGACGGTGGTGTAGACGCGTCTGAGTGGGGTCATCTCTGGATCAGCAAGGCGTGATGACCTGCTAGTAGGGCTGCAGCCCCTTGATTAATGATTTGATGCACACAAATCCGCACGAGAGAGTAACAAGCCCAAAAGATAAGAGGCCGATTGGCTGAGTTGGCCGTTGCTTGGCCGTGTCAATCCCTGTCCATTTCGGACCGCGGGGCCAATCGGGTGAGGAGTTTTACGACCCTCTGAACTGGGGCGTCGATCAACAACTGCAGTGAGTCTAGAACCGACATATCGATCTGTTTCATGTCGGACGAACATCCCCGCAATGCCCAGACCGAGCGAAGCTTTGGGTGAAATTAAGTTCCACATCGTGGATGTACACTGCTCGGGGCCAATCGGGTCCATTGACGACGAATTCATGACAGCTTGGCATCGACATCACTCGATGGTGGAGGAGCTTTATGGCCCCTCAAGGCGTGTTGAGCACGTCAATGACCGCTTGAGCAGTGGCACCAAAGTTGAGGAGAAACAGGAGCAATTCTCCGAATCCTCCGAACGGTTCAGGCGAAGGCCACCAAGACATTATGCTCGATGCGGTACAGATGTTTGTGACATTAGGCACAGATTTGTAGGGGGCTGTAGGGCCGTTAGGGCGGGAGGGGTACTTCTCGCAAATTACAAACTCGACCCCGGTGGCCCCACTCCCGTTTCAAACTAAACCGGTTAGGACTCAACCACACTGAGATCCGGGGTAGAGTATAATCTCACGGGTGGGCTCCGAGCAGATCTTCAAGCTGTGTCCTAGCGAGTGTGAAACTTTGTCTTACATCTGAACTGGTGATGGCAGGGTGATGGCAGTTGAGAGCCGACTTGGGCCTCCCATGGTGTTGCGATGGCGGGTATCTAGGACGAATGAGAGTAGATCTTCATGGCTGCCAATTACTTCACCATGTCAAGAGTTTGCTGGCTGTGCTGCGCCATTTCTGCTTAAGAGAACATCTCCGTCCTCAGAGAAAGGAGTACACTATCCAATTCAACCCAGTCCATTTCAATTTCAGAATGCTTCTTCGAACAACTTCTTCGCTGCTGGCAGCCTTGGCTCTGGCAGCTTTACCTTTCTCAACTGCCGTGCCTTTCTCAATCGGCGGCAATTCCAGTACCGCGTCTGAGGCCTGCGGCCAGATTAGCTCCAAGATCTCGGATGCTAGCGACGTCATCCACTCGTGTAGGTTGACTAGCTAGCACCATTCCTTCGGTGCGGGCGAGCTGACAAATTAGTGAATCCCGACTTCATACCCGATATCCATCACTGGTATCTGTCGTCAAGTCAGGTTCCAGAGTGCGTTTTCGAACCCGGCTCTGCTGATGATTTGGCTACTGCTGTGAGACGCCATCCCTTGAGGTCCCACTTCATTCAATACTGACAGCACAACGCAGATGGAAATTATCGCCTCGAAGAAGTCCTCATTTGCTGTGGAGTCAGGCGGACATGCCTCCATTCCTGGTTTTTCGAGTACCGACGGCGTCCACATTTCCTTGAAACGGATGAATCAGGTCGTACTGTCGAGGGACAATGCTACAGTCGAGCTTGGCTTCGGACTCGTGAGTAGCTGCCGCTGCCGACTAAATTGACTGGGCTGACGGCTGCATCAATGACTTCAGACTTGGGCCGATGTCTACGAAAAACTCGATGGGACTGGCTACAATGTGGTTGGTGGACGAGTGGTTGGCCCGGGAGTTGGCGGATTTACCCTCGGTGGAGGCTTCTCCTGGTAAGAAGCTATTGAGCCCAACCGTCCACTTATGATAAGCTCTATGCACAAGACTGACTGACTGACTTGAATCCTGCAGGAAAACTAACCAACACGGTGAGTCTATTAATACTCGCATAGCACAAGTTTCCTTCACGGGAAAACTGGTTCTGATCATCGCAGGCTTGACGTGTGACACGGTCAAGAGCTTCACGTTAGTGATGCCGGTAAATATCCACCTTCGGCAAGGAAACTCCTTAAGCGTATTCAACACCGTCTAATCAAACAAAACAGAACGGGACTGTCACTCGCGTCGATTCAGAGACGCCGGATCTGTTCTTCGCTCTTAAGGGAGGACTGAACCGTTTTGGAGTCGTTGCCTCGGCCGAGTTCTATACTCACCCTCAGCCTCCTCAAGTCTATGTAAGTAAAGGCCCTGGTAGACATGAATCGTTACTTACCATTTGCATAGGGTGGCGTAGTAATCTATGGAGATGACCACATCGACGCCGTTATCGATGCGACCGCACAGTTCGACGCAGATAACACGGACCCGAAGGCACAGATAATTACCACACTTCGTGGCGAGCCGACGGGCGTGGTGTCTCTAGTACTCTTCTTTTATGACGGACCGGAACGCCCGGCGGCTTTTGCCTCGTTTGATAAGATTGATTCAGTCATCAGCCATGTGAAGACTCAATCGTTCGCCGACTTCGTGAAGGGTTTCCCGGCGAATTACTTGCCCCAGGCCCGCGGTACATTCCATACGCTTTCGACCTCGAAATTGACATCCGGATTCTTGAGTGCTGTTAAGAATGAGTCGGACGTAAGTTTCCGCCTCTGCACACTCGTCGTTAGAAACTAACATTGTATTCAACCAGACCCTTAGAAAACAGATGATCGATCACAGCGGGTTCAGCGTCAGCTATGATATCGAACCGTTCTTGAAGACATGGGGCGACAACGCAACCGAGAGCGCATACCCGCACGCCAACTCACCTCTACCCGTAATACCAGGCCACCCAACGCAAAACGAATTCTTGCTGATGTCCTATGCTCTACAGCTAAACTTGGACTTCGCCTGGGTCTCGCCTGACGACGACGAATTCTGGCACAACGCCATGCGCGCGTCCGTGAACCACCTGAAGCAGGTCGCCCAGCAAGAGGGCATCTACTCCCCGGACGACTTCGCGGCCTACCCCAACTACGCCATCGCGAACACCACGGCCGTGGAGCTCTACGGAAGGAAGAACGCGGCTCGTCTCCGCAGCATTCGCAGCCAGGTTGATCCTGATGGCGTGATGGACCTTGCTGGCGGTTGGTCCATTTGAAGTCATTAGGCTCTCTCACTCGTCGTCATGGCAGCCGTTCATTCTCTTCCGATTCACTCATTACTCTATGTTGGCTTTACGTTCTTGCTCGTCTTTTGATGGCTTTATGTTTTGGAGGATTTTCGTCGTAGCTTTTTGTGCAGGCTAGCTTGATCAAGCAAATCACTGGTGTTCATATGCAAAGTTTCTCGAAGATCACAATAGTCAAGAATTGGTCGCCTTTTTGAGGGTTTCTTGTCTCGCTGCGATGTGATAGGTGGATGGGGCGGGGTTGGGTCGCGGGCGGCCTCCCGGCGTCATCATGCGTCCAGTTAATGTCGGAGAGCCCGATGCATGTAAGACCTAAAGAAGGCACTCTAAATCATTGGGTAGACATGATGCAGCCAATGCAAATGCGAGTGCACCCTGTTTTCCGTTTCGCACTCGGCATGAAGTTCAAGACGGAACAGGACTTTACAATGTTGATTGGCCGAGGACAGTGTGGCTGAGGATGCCGTGTACCTAGCACGACTTGGGTCTGACGCTGACAGTTATAAGCTTGACGAATGAGTGGTAAGACCTCTCTTGAACTCCTTGCTTACTGACTGATGATTTTTGCGCTAGGCTCTGGATTTTGGACATGCTTCTCCTTTGTATTCCGGGGCATGAGTCTCAAACCAAGAGCTGAAAGGCGACCACGGTTTGAACGCAAGGCCGAAGGCAGCTAAGTTGCACAAGCCAATAGTGGCAACTTGCAACGGGCTCTCAGCCCCGTGTCACGAGTTATTTGTCATGCTTCTCCAGCATAAATACGTAGTTACCTTTCAGCCAAAGCTCCATTCATTTCCACCATCCTCCCCCAGACTCACCAGCAGCCAAGACCACCAACTCCATCCGTCGGAAAGATGGCAGAGATCGGGACTGTAGCTGCTGCTGCTCAGCTTGCCGGTTACGGTATCAAAGCCGTGATGGTATGCGCAAGACTCTACCAGCAGCTTCGCGATGCGTCGCAGGAAGTCCAGTGCAAAACATCCAATATTCGTCATGCAGAAGCGCTCATCAGAAACATCAAGGGGAGTCTTGACTCGGTGGGGCCGGGCAGTGTCTCCAGCATCATATCTCCTGGAGCGTTGAAAGAGGCCAACGATCTGGTGCAAGCGTGGTTGATTCGAGCTGAGTATCTTTCTGCCTTGTTGGACGGCCTCACTGTCGCACCAAGAGATGCCATATTGAAGAAGGGCCTGAAAAGAGCCAGGTCGCTTCAGATACAAGGGGAATTGGATGCTCAGTTTGAGGAGCTTGACAAGCTTGCACGAACATTGGATCTGTGGCACTCTCACCAGAACATACGCTTTTGGCAACAGCAGCTGTAGGTAGCGCTTTCTCTGGCAATTGATCCGTTGCTGATTATTTTGCAGGAGTACTTCAAGCACTACGCAGGCGAGTCTCCAGACTTTGCAAAAGCAGGTCGAGGAGTGCAACGTTTCAATCCAGGCCATGGTGCAGAGCCTTCCGCAAATCAACCGCCGTAAGTGCCAGCGAAAACAACGAAAACCATGCTCAACCATGACCACAAGTCAATATGGAGCTCCCTGTCCGCCACTGCGTCACCATCAACTGCATTCTGATGCTTCTATCTCAAGAGCGTCGTATGCATTGGGAATGTGCAGCTGTTTTCGAAGTCCGGCCGGCACTGGTGCGAAGAGAGACTTCTTCGTCGGTCCACTCACGTTCTTCTATCAATCTGACGCGCATAGCGGCAAATGTCCCCTCAGAAGAGCCCCGGTAACAAGGAGGTGCGGGGTGACTGCCAGACTTCGGTTCAGCACTGGGCTCAACGTCACCCTGGCCTTCCGAAGCATAAGCGGCGGTCTTGTTTTCCAGCTCTCGCCACAGATTGTAGCAACTCGAATCGTCGACCCCAAGGCTTCTCCTGCATTTTTGTCTCTTGCGCAAATGGGCGAGAACTTGTGCAAAGCTACGGGCAAACGTTCCACGGGTGAAGATTGGTGGCTGAGCAGCTTGGCTTGCCAACGGCCGGACGGACAATACTCGGAGCACATTGGAAGGGTGCAGGCTGTGCTAAGGGATATCTATCACAAGCTGGAGTACAACTTCGGAGCCGGTCTCGCCTCGGCAAGAGATGAGGACGAAAATGGATCAACCCTACTACATGTAAGTTCGAATTCGGACCTCTCTTGCAACCATATCTAATGTGTTTGAAGGAGTTCGTCCGATACATTTCGCCTGTTTGGTACATTCAGAGTGAAGTCTATGATACGCTGGCAAGCATCGTGAGACTACTCATTTCCCATGGTATCGAAGTCAATGCAAGAACGCTGTACAGGTATGTGATCTATGCCACGAGTTGACCTAAACGGCATAGACTAACCATACATGTATCCTTTGCGAAGACCGATGAAGACATACACCGCGCTCGATGCTTGCTTCTTCGATGCCGCGGGAGTAGAAGGATTCAAATCCTGCCACATGCTCGGCCTCTCGAAAATCGATCGACTGATCTCCAGCCATGGCGGGGAGATCACCAGATCGAAGCTTGGACCCGGCTTCCCATGTGAAATGCGCGTTATCTTGAATAATCCCGACATCGGAGTGGGTGAGTACTCAAATAAATCCCCCTACAAGTGAGTATAGAGCTAACATCGCACAAGAATACGGCTGTTCTCCCCTTGGCCTTGCAGTCATACGACGCAGTCTCGCAATGGTCAAACAGCTTGTTGCACGAGGTATTGAAATCGACGGAAGGCCCGATGACCCTCATTCTCCGCTCTCTTTTACACTCGGCTGGCCCGAGGGGATGAGGTTCTTGCTCGAATCAGGAGCCGATCCATCTACAGCAATCCACTCTGCCGTCTTCTTCGGCAACGCGGCCGCCGTTCGAATGCTTCTCGAATATGATTGCACCATCTTCCGAGACTACTCGGCGCAGTACCCACCACAGTCCGCATGGTACAGCCCATTCGAAGGAGACCCGCGAAAGGCGCCGGTGGATTCGGTATTGGAATACTCGTTGTGGAAGTACGTGTACTCGAACGACAGCAAACGGTGTCCAAACAACTCCAGCATGCCCTCAATTCGGAGGGCACTCGTCAACTACATGGCCGAGTCGCGGAGGAAACTGGCAAAGCTGGCACTTTTGAAGATCCCTCGGGCAGAATTATACAAGCTCGGATGGGATGCATCGGAAACCATCATCGACAAAGCGGCAATTCCAATCTGCAAAAGACTTGAGCAATTGGGTATCAAAGTCCCTCGCTCCCTAAAGCCAGGCCGCTACGCAACCGCCTACCACATGCGGTACTTGGACACAAGCACCGCGGACTGCCTATACCAGGCTGGTTTCCACGACCTCGACGTCGAAGACGACCAAGGTTGGACGCCGCTCCTCCTCTCATGCTCCGGCCACCGCCACAAAGAAAGCCTCGACTCTTCCGACCCGCTCCCATCGTGGTACCTCGACCACAGCGTCATCCCGCGCGCCACCGCCGCCTCTTCAAACGGCACAACCCACCTCCACCTCCTCGCCATACGCTTCCGCCACCACCTCCGCCACCCCTCCCCATCAGCCCCAGACCCGCAGCACCGCCTCCGCCTCTCCACCACCCTCGCCCGCTTCTGCACCAGCACGCCCTCAACCCCCCTCATATCCCCCGACCGCTGCCGCTGCCCCTGCTCGCCGTCCGGCGGCTGCCTCCCGCCCACCCTCTTCCTCAAGCGCCAACCGCTCTCCTGGCCCCACAAGTCCGACCACCTCCACGCCCTCTTTTCCCGATCCCTCGCCGCCGGCACACCCAATCCCATCCGGCCGTTCCACTTCTCCGCCGCCAACGTCGAACTGTTCGAGCGCTTGGGCCTCACGCATACGTGCTGCGGTGGCGGCGGCAAGTGCAACAGCGTGGACGACGACGACGACGACAGAAGCGCGATCTGGGACGAGGAAAGCGAGTTGATCGCGTGCCTGCGGGACTGGATGCGGCTGTACGCCGAGCTGGAAGCGGAGCACTGCTGTGCGGCTGCGGCGGAGCAGCAGGGCGATGCCGATGGGGGATCGGCCGACGTCTTCTGGGACGCGTGGTGGATGGCGGTCGGGAAGTTTGTGCCGGAAAGGCCTTGGGTGCGGAGCGGTCAGCGCGGGCCGGGAGATCGGGCGGCGGGTTGGCGGCGGGATGGCGATGTTTGTGATGGGTGGCCGGGTGGGGAGGGTCAGGGGGGGTATGGTCCGGATGCGGTGGCGGTGAGGGCGGAGGTGGGGTTCGCGGTGGGGGAGCTGAGGCGGCGGCGGGGGGAGTGGGAGGTGTTTGGGGGGTTGGGCGGGGATGTGTTTGCGTGAGTTTGTGGAGGTGGTGTTGATTGCGAGGGGAGGATTTGCTTAGGGTCCGTTAGCGAGTTTTGTGCAAGAAGTGTTCTTCTGTTACAACTGATCGGGAGTGTAGAGTCTGTTGTGACCTGCGATAATATAAGCAGTACCTTCACCATGCTATCTTTCCGTGAAAGGAATAATAGTGCGAACAGCTGAGAGATGAATAGTGTTAAGGATTTGCTCGAACAGAAACACCAATTCCTCGCCTCTTTTCCAACGAAAGAAGCGATTGTTACTCATCTTGAGTACTCGGCGGGAACTTGACATGTACAACCAACCTTCCTCTCAGTGCTTCGTTATCCGCGAATGGAGGCTTTTAATATACGCAGTTCCAGTCCCAGGTCGCTACGCTAGTAGAAGGTAAGACACCTGGTGTTTTCTCGCATCAGCGATATCGCTTCCGGTCTCACGTGCGTCCAGCTGTTCACAGTTGATTGGACATGAGTACGATAACGGCGTAGCCTGCAAGAAGGCCGTCCAATGTGTCAGCTACCCCGCTTCGTTCGCCAAACAATACTGCAGCAAGACAAGAAAACCCAAAACACTTCAGGAATTCTCCCTCTACACAACGAGCCTCGCATTAGGAGTTTCGACTCGTTACTATTCCCTACCACGCCTGATTCCGAGTCGCCTGAGCCATGTCAGCCGAGAACCCTTACCCCGAGATCCAACATCTTTGCGCTCCTTGCGCAGGGCTGAATTTCCGGGAGATCCTCCTCCATGATCTGACGATGCCCGACGACGCTTTTCCATATGTCCGCCACCACAAAGGGGTTGAAGAGCTGGTAACATGCGCGATCCAGGAAGGCTGCGAATTGTGCAGGATTTTCATGGTTTCATTTGCTTCGGAACAGAGCTTTATCTATGGCACGATCCGGCCGGAAGAGGATTGCGAGGAAAGGGTGCGCGATATCCTTGAGAAACAGCCGCATCTTCGCGAGCGTGTACTCATTGCAGGACCTTACTCCGGATTTCCTGTTCCCGGTGCGCTTTTTAGCGAAGGTGGAGAAAGTGCCGGGATCGGGCTGTGGATCAGTACAGATCAGTTTGATAACGGAGATGAGAACGTAAAGGAGGACATGGACAAGCAAAACGAAGAAGAGTATCAAGAAAGCGATGAGCAAAAAGCACCAAGCCTGGGTAGGATAGGAAAGACGCCGATTACATTTGCCAAATTCAGCTCGGAGAGATGTATGTCGAATGTCTACGATGTTGTACCCACACACTGACTGCGACCAACAGCCACGACGCTCGGAGACATGCCTCTTGTTCAAAATATTCGACTTCGCCCAATCTCAAATGACCCGAAGACACCAGCATGCATGAGAACTGCCAGCGAGTGGCTCACGAACTGCCTCCAGAATCACAATCAATGCAGAAAAGACACACCAGCTCATAGCCAGCTACCAACTAGAGTTCTCGATGTTGGAGATGAGACACAAGAGCCAAGACTGGTGGTTACCGGAGATTCCGTTGGAAACTACGCCGCCTTGAGCTATTGCTGGGGTGTAGACAAAAACAAGCACTTAACACTGACAGAGGACAACTTGGAGGTATTCAGAATTTCAATACCTTTATCATCCCTTCCAAAGACTCTTCTGGATGCGGTGCTTGTTACGAGGTCTTTGGGACTCCAATACCTTTGGATAGACGCGTTATGCATAATCCAAGACTCGGCCGAGGATTGGACGTACGAGGCTGGGAGCATGAACGCCGTCTACAACAACGCCATCGTGGCAATATTCGCAACATCAGCAAAGTCTGCAGACGATGGGTTTCTGGAAAGGCGTGTACCTGATCCATATCGTTATCACCTGCCTCGTTCGGCCGTGTGGCCAACCAATACCAATCTCGACCGAGACTTGACCGAGACAGAAGCCAACCCAATATTCCTTGAGCTCTTCGACGAGAAACCTCTATACCTCGATGAAGACATGCGAGAAGACGACACCTATCCCTGGAAAACGCGCGGTTGGACATTGCAAGAGCGTCTGTCGCCGAAGCGTGGTATAAGCTTCAACAAAACGCAAATGATGTGGCATTGTCTGACGTGCACGGAGCAAGAATGTGGACACCATGAGGATTACAACGTCAGAAGACAATTTGACTTGGTGGATCATATCAGCGCCGTCGAAGGCTCACTGCTCTTGACTTCAATATCTGAGCGTTGGGACACGCTGGTCCGCTTGTCAGAGTCTGTCTTGGCTGTTACTGGAGTAGAACGCTACGAAGAGTTGGCTGTTCAGCTTTGGTTTCGCATCTTGGATCATTACAGCACCAGAACGCTTTCCGACCATTCTGACAGGTTGCCTGCTGTTGCGGCTCTTGCCAAGACTCTCGAGGATCGGATGGGCGGAAGGAACCGCTACCTGGCTGGGTTGTGGGAAAATGAAATCGCTTTGGGGTTGGCTTGGACACCTTGCGGCAACGAGATTGCTCAGTGGTGTAAAAATGAGGCAGCGATACGAGCACCATCGTGGAGTTGGGCGAGTGTTGCCGCCAGCAGCTACAACGGGTACAGGTGCCATGAATTTGATAAATGGAACATCCGGAGCGTCATGAATCTTGAAGGGATCGAGATTGCAAATGACGAAGAACGCTTCCTCCCGCGAAGTACTTTTGCACTCAGAATACGTGCGCCGGCGAAAAGACTGTCAGATAGTTGGGCATCGACGGAAAACACGACAGACGTGGATGAGCAAGATTTGGCACAAGCTACCCTGGAGAGGATTTTGCGAAGGAGACTCGTACCCAACAGACAGGGCTCCTCCGATGATATCATAAAAGAGCCCAGGAGCTCGGAGTATGTCCAAAAGCATGAACCACATGTCGGTCAACGTTTCCTTGCCATGAAGTATCTCGAGAGGACAGGAATAGGCGGGGTACACTTTTTCTACCGACCTGGCCCTATAGAGTCGTTTTTCCTTATTCTAGAAAGTGTTTCCGACGGCGAGAATCGGTATCGGCGGGTAGCAGACGTGATGTTGGCGGACCAGGCGTGGTCTGATGAGGGTGTCGTTGAGAAGGATCTATTGGACAAGATAAAAGAACAGAGATGGCCGCGGCAGGAGATAGAGCTGGTTTAGCAAAGACTTTTTGATGGAATGTATTTCTGTCATGGTAGTGGAGCATTGAGACTAGCCGAGGCGAGATCGTGACAGCCGGACTCCAGAAAAAGCATGACTTGTTGATGCAAAGCTCATGTAACCGAGCAGCGGGTACGTGTCAGGGCACGAAGATATATTAGCCTGCCATGCCAGAATAAACTCTAATTGGGTTTATTCCAGTACCTCTTTTAGCCCCCGGAGGGCCTGCATACGCATGGAGCAGTGGGTAAGGGTATACTCCTTACAGTACGAATGTAGAGACTAACAGGTAAATATATAAGCCCTAGAGGATAGCCAATAAGCGCACCATGACATACGAAAGTAAATTGTACGTCTCTTGTGGTCCAACCTTTTTCGTGCTGTCACTGTAGCTAAATTAGAGGCAGCTTAGCAATAGTGCATGTTGAAAATGTGGTTCCTTCCAAGGCTGGCCCCGGTGTGAAGTCTGCATTTGGTTCATCTGACCTTGAAGATTGCTGTTCGGGGCCCGGCCGATTGATTGGTTGTTTTTCCATGTGCCCGGTCCGCTCACTCGAGACTATCTATCTGGATCGCTCTTCGGGTGGTGCGCCTTCCAGAGATATTCCGACCATTTAAGTTAGGAAAAGTCTTATTCTCGAGAGCTGGTGCCTGCTGCCATTAGCTCCTACATCAAACCTCATCAATTCTCCTACCCATTGATTCCACCTCGCATCCCGATCCGAAGTTTCTCCAATCCAGCCTTATCAATGAGAGGTTGACGGTGGGTCTTAGAGTTGAAGATCATTAGCATATGGCTAGTCACGATACTCGATCGCAGGCTCCTGGTCTTATTGCGATGCTATCTGATATTTATGCAAGTGTCGGCGGGAGGACGTCTACTGTGGGGCCATCGTTACTTTCACAGTCACCACATGTCATACGTAAGCCGATAGGGTACTAGGATTGCCTTGATAGTGTGGTCGTCAATGGGCGTTTCAGTGTTATCTGATATGCTGTTGATCCTATCAGAATGCTCTCAGGCTTATCGACGTCGAGTGTCTCTACTGTTTCGATGGCTATCTGGGATACCTGGGGGCCCGGGCGGTTTACCCGCGACGCTCGGTAAGCAACCCGATGGCGTATTTGAGCCGCGCTACCCCACCCCTGCCGTCAGTAGAATGGGATGTCTCAGTTTCAAAGATAACGCGGGGTATGACATAGGACCTCGGGCTTAAACGACCTGTTTTCTGGAGCCGTATCAGGACGTTTTAGACGCTACTTCGTTCATGTCCCCATCGTTTTGGCCAGTGCCAGCATAGTTCCAGTGCTTTGGGTTTCGCTCTGTCCAAGATGTCGTCCGAGAAAAACGAGTATGATGCGGAGCTTGCTCTCAGCAGCTCAATCAAGAAAGAGGAGGACGACTCCAACGTGCCTATCCAGGAAGATGCCGTTTTCGGTGACATTACGGAAAAAGGCCCAAACTATCGCAATGTGCGTTGAACTGGTCAATTCAGTCCTTCTGTGGTAGCTGACAGTAATAGGTGGGCTGGCTGGGCACGGTGGCTCTCATGATGAAGACGCAGGTCGGGTTGGGCGTCTTGTCCATCCCGTCTGTTTTCGACACGCTCGGCCTTATCCCCGGAGTCATCTGCTTGATTGCCATTGGCATCATCACGACCTGGTCGGGTTACATGGTCGGTGTCTTCAAGCTGAGTCACGGCTCGGTCTACAGCATTGACGACGTCGGCCAATTGCTGTTTGGCCGGGTGGGTCGTGAGGTGTTTGCGATTGCATTCGCGCTGTGTGAGTATACCGTCGAGGGAGAGATATCATCCCTTCTGACATTGGACAGACTGGATCTGTTGCGCCGGCTCCGGCATGCTGAGCATCTCGATCGGCCTGAACGCCCTCTCCACCCACTCTGTCTGCACTGCCGTCTTCGTCGCGGTTGGAGCCATCATCGGATGGGCTTGTGGCAGCATCCAAACACTCGGACGCATCACCTGGCTCGCATGGGTTGGTCTGGCCGGCATCGTAACCTCGATTCTCGCCCTCACCATCGCCGTCGGAGTCCAGGACCGGCCTGATGCCGCCCCTCAAGCGGGCGTCTGGCACTCGGACTACAAGCTCATTGGCAGCCCGACCTTCGCCGAAGCCGCGGCGGCGCTGGCTTCACTCGTCTTCGCCTACGCGGGCACGCCGGCCTTCTTCTCCATCGCGTCCGAGATGCGCGAGCCGCGGCACTACACGCGGTCGCTGATGATCTGCCAGTGCTGCGTGACGGCCATCTACGTGGCCATCGGCGTCGTTGTCTACTACTACTGCGGATCCTACGTCGCGTCGCCGGCGCTGGGGTCGGCCGGCGTGGTCATGAAGAAGGTCTGCTACGGGCTCGCCCTGCCCGGCCTCATCGTCACCACGACGCTCATGACGCACTACCCGGCCAAGTACGCCTTCGTCCGCATCCTGCGCGGGTCCCACCACCTGGCTTCCAACTCGGTCGTGCACTGGACCACCTGGCTCGGCTGCACCGGGGCCACGGCCGTCACGGCGTACGTCATCGCCAGCGCGGTGCCCGTCTTCGACGGCCTCGTCTCGCTGGTCGGCGCCCTGCTCGGAACGATGATGAGTATCCAGCCCATGGGCTGCATGTGGCTGCACGACAACTGGGGTGCGGGGAAGATCAGGCTCAACCGCACGCCCAAGTGGACGGCCATGGTGTGTTGGTGCGTCTTCGTCATTGCGGCGGGCACGTTCCTCATGATTGCTGGCACATACGGCGCGATTGTGGGCATCATGGCGGACTACAAGGCGCAAGGAGGCTCGGCGGCGTGGTCGTGCGCCGACAACTCGAACTCGACGTAGCTGGGGGAGGGATTCAGTGCGAGAGTTGGATATCGTTACAGTTTACTCTTCGTCCATGTATGGTATGGAAAGCTCCGCTCCTATGAAACCAAAATCCTACCGAAAAGTGCTAAAGAGCAGGAGGCTATTAGGTAGATGCGTTGGTAGATGCATTAGTATGTACAACCCCATGCATTGGTGGAGAGCTGGAGGCTTGTTCTGCCAACGACCTACTTTCCCCGGAAACTGCGGCTACACCCTGTTGTAAATGACGTCGGATAGAGAGATAGTGTAGGGTGACTGGTAAGTGAGTCTCCACATCTCATCGTATCCCCCACGTTCTCCGCAAGGTGCGACGGGAGGGCTTCCGACTTGTACTTGCCTAATATGGGCAGCTGATCTTTTGGGGCCGGGTGCTGATTGGTCGCTACGGTAGAGCATCCGGCTTATCGACACCGTCATGGGCTGGAGGGCTGGCCAATCAAGCTGCCTCTTTCCTCTTTCCCGCCAGTGCTCGTCGCGGCACCTCATCTGCTGCTCCCCATACGAGCCACGAGCATCGCACCTCTCACCACCATGGGCTTCATCTCCTCCCTGCTCCACGTCCCTCCGGCGGGCTTGTGATGGTGCCCCGCCATCACCTTAATGTTCGACACACGACCAACCCAATCGACCTCGCCTCCCAATCCCGCTACCTCGCGTCGACCGGCCTCACCAGCATCATCGCGCCGGGCGTTGTTGCCACTGGGGGCTTAATTTTTCTTCTTGAAAAAGGGGGGATGGATGTAGTTCGTATCACTATGGGCAAGTCCGAATGTGGTGTAATGTATACGTTATTTCGTGGCAGATTTGCCCGTAGTGGTGTGGTTTGTCGGAATCATGATTGTTGAGGGCGAAGATGTAGTGTCGTGGAAATGCGGTTCCGTCACGGTTGGTGATAGAAGATATCGGAAAGGGTAATTCGAGGGCGGTTATCTTATCTGTGATTACGATGCTGCCAGTACAAGGCTCGCTCTAGAAGAATAACAGAGAAGCTAGCAAATGCGGATTTCGTTTTTTTAAACAGCGGCAGCGCAGGGACAGAGCAGTGTCGAGAGCGTGTCTCGGGACAGGGCCTGATGGGCCGGAAGGGGGTTGATAGTTACCCCGCATTTCGACTGCAGATCCACACGTCGCGATAAGAAAACCGACTGGCAACACTTGCTTGTCCGGTCTTCCGTCATTCACTTTCGATATGCCTCCCCAATCCAGGCGATCACGAATGCCGGGTGCCCAAGCGGATGCGGCAGCCGACAGAGGGCGCGTCACAAAACGCAGATCCTGCAACGCGTAGGTGCCTTCTTCGCATGCCCGGTGCTGCATCATCCATCTGACTCCAACCTCAGTTGCGTGAGATGTCGCCGCCAGAAAATCAAATGCTCCGGCTCGAGGCCCTGCGACGCCTGCAGCAAACGCAACCTGTCATGTGACTTTGACGAACGCGACCAGAAAATCCTTGTCACAAGAGGGTATCAACTGCCCCTTGCTCCCTCGCTGCCCATCAACTGACTGTCTATCACCAGATATCTCATCGACCTGGAGCAGAAAGTCGAAAACTGGAAGCGCCATCATGGCGGTGCAGATTGCCGCACACCACGCTCTTCCCGTGCCAGTCAGGATGTAGCTGACGGAGCCACCGACGCTGGTACGTCGCAATCCTCACTTCTCTCTACCTATATCCAAGTGGCCTGAATTCTCGCAGGAGACTCCGATGATGGCTCCGACGGAGCAGATGAATCCATAGCTGCTCCGCCCAACCACCAGAGCACTCGCTCCATCGCACGGTCTGATCTCGTGGCCTCCACTTTGACAAATCCCCTGTCTACTGGTCCCTCCACCTTCATGGCCGCTAGTGACGGGAGAAAATGTCAGTTCTCCTCCTCCTCGCTTTCTCTACAACGACACTAACTATCGCAAAGTCTACCTTGGAACCTCGTCGAATTGGTCTTTCACTCGCCGGCTTCTGAGCATGACACACGAATTCATCTACCAAACCACCGTCCCCAGCACCACCCTTCTCTTCGACGGAGCAGCATACGACTTGAATTGGTCCGACCGCAGGACCGCTGCCCATCTGGAAACCCCTCTCTTGCCAACACTCGACTATGCCATCTACCTCATCAACGCCGTCAAGTTCCATTGCGGCCAGACTTTCCACTTGTTCGACGAGGCCTCCTTCATGGAAAGTCTCTACGACTTCTACTCTGACCCCAACCACAGCATCGCCGAAGCCCATCTGTGGTATATTCATTTCCTCATTATTCTTGCCTTTGGCAAAGCCTTCACCACCCAGAGGAGCCAAGGAAAGCGGCCGCCGGGAACCGACTTCTTCGCCAAGGCCGTGCAGATGCTTCCAAGTACCATTTTGCTCGAGAGGCAACCACTGATGTCCACCGAGATCCTTTGTTGCATCTCCTTGTATCTTCAATGCTTGGACTACCGAGACGCCGCGCACAATTACGTGAGAAACCCAACAGGGCAAAGACTTCTCCCGGACACGACTGACACGTGAAGCAGATCGGACAGGCCATGAGGATTGCACTCTGCCACGGAATGCACACGGACATGCCAGTGCGCCATCTCGGCGAAGTTCATGTCGAGAGGTGTCGCAGGGCTTGGTGGACCACATACGTCTTGGACCGGGAAATGACGTCCTTGATGGGCCTTCCCCAGTCCATCCACGACGACGACGTGCATCCTGACTTGCCCACCTTCTCCGGCTCCATCCAGCGAGCTGCCGCTCTGAGCATGCAGATCAAGCTGTCTCGAGCCATTGCTCGTGTCAATAGGGGTAAGTGAGCCTGACCGTGCTTGGTTGCTGTTGCTAACCTCTACTCCCACAGGCGTCTACGGTGCCGATGGCCGGCTCAACAGCAAGTTCCTGCTGAGCACGAAAGAAGTCCTGGCCAGCATCGCACACCTTGCTGACGAGCTTCGCGAAGCGTTCCCGTTGCAGATAGCCGATGCCATCAGCGGCATCTCCCGGACATACGCTTACCTGCATCTCCTATACCACCAAGTAGGTCCCGCATCAGATATCGACGAGCGTGCCGAGCTAACCTTTTCCTCCACAGTGCATCGTCCTCGCAACCCGACCCCTCCTCTTCTGTTTCCTCAAAATCCGCTTCGAATCCACCGGCGCCGACCGCATCACCCTGCACTCCTCCCAAACCACCTTCAACCTCGCAAAAATGTGCATGGAGTCGAGCCAGCAGATGATCAGCATCCTCAACTGCGTGCGAGCCCAGCACCTCCTGGGTAAGCCTTGCCCTACCCTACTCTTCAACCCCCCCGCCCCGCTTCCGGATCGGACTCACCTCTGGACTAGAAACGTTCCTCCCCTTCGACCTCGAAGCCATCTCCGTCTCCACCGTCAACATCATCCTCGCCCCGTCCGTCGATCCCGATCTCCTCGCCAACCGCGCATCCTGGCTCGACCGCGCCTTCGCCATCTTCGACGACATGGCCTCCGCCGGCAACGTCGTCGCCGAGTACCGCCGCGCCGAGCTGCGCAAGCTGGACGGCATGCTGTCTCAGCTCTCGCACTTGCACTCGCGTCGCGCGAGCGCATCGGCGGAAGCAGCAGCAGAAGCAGAAGCAGAAGCGGCGGCAACAGCTGCTGCTGCTGCTGCCGCCGCCGTCACCGCCGCTCAGCAAGAGTGTATGCGCCGGGGCGGGCCGTCTGGCGCCATGGCACAGCTGGACGCCCCAATGCAGCAGACGACGCCGGCGGGGTGTATGGGGAGTGCTAGTATTTTGCCGTCGCCCATCTCGGGGATTCTGGATGAGATTTGCTTTGGTGGCGGGTTGGCCGGGGCGCAGATTATGGATACGGTGAATCAGATCGATAGCGGGGACAACGAGTGGATGTCGCATGAGATTATGGAGCATAGTATCTGGTAGGTAACTAGGCGGGAAGAAGGCAGCGAGGGGAGCGTGGGGTTCTTCGCGGACGAAGGATCCATTGCTCTCTACAACTTTGCATACCCAACACTCTCACAGCTTCGACTTCGCATCAGGCTTCACGTCCTCAAACTCAGCCGTCTCACCCAACCTCCAGCTCACATCGCCACCCCAATCCGCACCTTTCTCCTGCCCCGGCCCACTCGCCTTCCACCGCCACCTCTCCACCGGCTGCTTCCCATCCCCCGCCTCCAGCAACGCCTTCACCCACTCCCCAAACACCGGAAACATCTTAAAGCCATGCCCGCTATCCCCACTCAGCAGCACCACCGACCGGTCCGTCCCGGGCACGTAATCAATAACGAAATCCGAATCGCTCGTATCCGCAAACCAGCACAAGCTCTTCCCCACCAACGGCCTCTCCGCCAACCCCGGCAACGCCTGCCTCAGCAGCTCCCGCACCTTCCTCTCGTCCCCCTCCGGCATGAACGCGCTCTCGTCCCCCAGCGGTGGCGGCAACGACACGCCTTCGTCGCGCCCCCGCGTGTTCACGTACCCCCCGCCCATCGGACACAGCTTCAGCAACCCCGTCCGCGGCTCCGGCTCGAAAAAGAAGCCCAGGTCCCGCGCGTACGTCACGGGGATGCCGCGCAGCGCCGCCGCCTCCTCCCGCGTCAGCCGCACGTGCGCCACGCTCCAGCTCTTGGCCACGACCCCCGCCGCCGCGCCCGCCGCCGCCGCCGCCTCCGGCACCACCCGCGCCGCCCCCGCCCCGCACGCGACAATCACCACCGCGGCGCGGTGCACCGCCTCCTCATCGTCGTCCCCGTCGGCAGCAGCAGCAGCAGCGACCGTCCGCACGCCAACCGCCTTCCTGCACAACGGCGACGACGACGATGAAGACGCCGTCGCCTCATACACGATCCCCACCGCCCGCCTCCCCAGACAGAACCGCGCCGCTTTCCGCGCTTCCAACTCGTCGTACACCCCCCGCAGCGCCGCGCCGCTGCGCGCGTACCCGTCGAAGCGGTTGAGGTAGCCGTGCCAGCCGGGGAGCGGGGCGAGCGGGGCGAGCGGGGCGAGCGGAGCGAGCGGAGCAAGCTGCGCGTCGTGCTGCGCGTCGTCGTGTTGCGCGTCGCTCGTCGTCGGGTCGCGGAGTTGTAGCAAGCGGCGGGCGGCGGCGGCGTCGGGGACGAGTTCGACGTGCGGGCGCAGGAGCGGGTGGGCGGCGGCGGCGGCGTGGAAGCGGGAGAGGGTGGCGCGGGCTTTGGCGGGGGCGGCGCCCGAGACGCAGTGGAGGAAGCCGGTTTGGTGGAAGTGGGGGGAGAAGAGGGGGGAGGTAAGCCAGGTTGTTGTTGCTTTCTGGTGGGGGGAAAGGGGGGTGTTAGTGGTGGTGGTGGTGATTGTTCGGGGAGGGGAGGGGCCGAGCAGGGCCATGTTGAGGAGGGTGGATGGGGGGAGGTGGTGGAGGCGGCGACGTACGATGGCGAGGTCGGTGTAGAAGGGGTCTTCGTACTCGGCGCGCACGATCTTGTTGATGTCGTTGGCGGCGGATTGGCGCGGCGGGATCGATGTGTCTTGCTCGTACACGGAGATGTTGGTGTAGCCGGCCTGCGACAGGTGCAGCACCGTTGACAGGCCGAAGGTGCCGGCCCCGATGACGATGATGGGTGCGTTGCGGTCCACGGCCATTGTGTTGTTGCCGTTATCGTCGTCTTGCAGACTATGCAGATGATGTGATGACGTATTGGGAACAAGTCATACAACCAGCTTACTTGATATTCTCTTTTCTCCTATTGCCGCTGGTCTAATGTTGACATATATGTGCTTTCCGCTCTTCGGCGGTTGTCTCGCAGTATTGTTGCCATCTAGTTACGAAATCGCTGCTGGTGTCCTGGATCCCGCCCCGAGTAGCCGGCCGGGAGGGGTAGCTAGATGCCGGATGGAGCTGCGGGGAATCGAAAGATAAGTCGGGAGCGTTCCCGGTTGCGAAGATCGAGAGGCCTCTACGCCCCACGCTGGCGTGCTCCGGACTCGGCCATGCACCCTGGAGCAGCCCTCACGCCACCTTCAATCATCGGCACTCACCCCGTCAAGCTATCACAAGGGCAAGGTAGCATGCCCTGTGCGCGACGACCACTGAGATCCGTGAGGCTTTTCGTGGTGGTGGTACAGCCAATGAGAATCCCCGCACGCCGCAATTACCCTACGAGAATTGTGACGACTTCCATCTGATCAACAAGTTCCTCTTCAGGCTGTGTGTAACGCATCACTTGCAGCAACCGGAGTCTAGGGCTCTCAAACAATCTTCGGCCGAAGTAAATCTGGTGGCCGTCAACAAACTCATCCTGAACACCATGGATGCTTTCAGAGCAATCAGTCACAAGGGCAGTCTGGAATGGACAAAGACTCGATTACTCGACTGCTGGAACAGGTACATGAAGTCATGAAGTCATGGCCAAAGATGCAACCACCCATGCACTTCGATCACACCCTGAATCACTTCTCACTGTTTTGTTCCTACAACCCATGGTATCCTTTACTCCCAAAAGTGGCACACTTAGTGGTTGCTCGGGTACTTGAACCCAGTGACCGGGAAGAACTCTTCCTTAATCAACCGCGGGCTGGTGAAGCGGCGCAGGACGTCGGAGCTGCCAGCCTTGTCGTTGGTGCCGCTCGAACGGGCGCCGCCGAACGATTGCTGGCCGATCAGCGCCGCCGTAGTCTTGCAGTCTGGAGTGGTACAAGCCGTCAGTCATGATCGAACAACGACCAAAGGAAGAACTTACTGATATAAAAGTTACCCGCCGAGTACCTCAACGCATCCTCCGCCTCCCGCACCGCCTTGCGGCTCTGCGCAAACACCGCACCCGTCAGCGCCAACCCACCACCGTTCCGATCCACGCTCTTCAGAATCTCGCTCCACTCGTCATCAGGATACACGTGCACCGCGAGGACGGGCCCAAAGATCTCCTCGTTGAACAACCTGTGCTCGGGCGAATCGACCTGGTACACCGTCGGCCGCACGTAGAACCCAACGCTATCATCATACGTGCCGCCCGCCAGCAGCTTCACCGACGCATCCGCATTACTCGCATCAATGACGCCCTTGATCCTGTCAAACGCCCTCCTATGAATCACCGGCCCCATGAACGCCTCAAAATCCCCGTCCGGGCTCCCCTGCGCGATCGCCCCCACGCCCGCCCTCAGCAGCGCGACGAACTCGTCCGCGCGCGACCGCGGCACGTACGCGCGCGACGTCGCCGAGCACTTCTGGCCCTGGTACTCGAAGGCGCCGCGGATGGTGTGGTGGACGGCGCCGGGCACGTCGGCGGAGGCGTGCAGCAGGTGGAAGTTCTTGCCGCTGGTCTCGCCCACGACGCGCGGGAACTCGCGGTAGCGGTGCTGGCCGACGCCGTCGCCGATGCGCGCGCAGAGGCCGCGGAACACGGACGACGAGCCGATGAAGTTGAGCCCTGCGAAGGCGCGGTGTGCGAGCGCGACGGAGGTGACGGACTCGGCGTCGCCGGGGATGAGCTGGATCACGTTGGGTGGGAGGCCGGCTTCGAGGAGGATTTGGTAGATGAGCGTGCTGGCGTAGATGTTGTATTGGGATGGCTTCCAGAGGACGACGTTGCCCATCAGGGCGGGGCCGGAGATGAGGCTGCCGCCGAGGGCGGTGAAGTTGAAGGGGGAGATGGCGTAGACGAAGCCTTCGAGGGGACGGTAGTCCAGGCGGCTGGAGTTGGTGGTGTTAGCTGGTTTGTCGTTCTGCGGGAAGGGTGAGGGGTTTGTAGCAGGACTTGCCTCCACATGCCGTCGCTGCCGCGCTCCGGCTGCCTCGCCAGCAGTTCTCCGGCCCAGTTGCAGTTCAGGCGGAAGAAATCGGCCAGCTCGGCCGCGGCGTCGATCTCGCCCTGCCACACGTTCTTGCCCTGCCCCAGCATCGTGGCCGCGATGAGCTCGTAGCGGTATTTTCCTGTCACCAGCTCGGCCGCCTTCTGGAAAATGGCAACTCGGTCAACGAAAGGGGTTTCCTGCCACTCGGTCTTTGCCTTCAGCGCTGACTCGATGGCCGTTGAGACCTGCTCCTCGGTAGCCAGCGGGTAGTTGGTGAAGATCGTCTTGTGCTCCGAGGGCATCACTTGATCTTCCGACTTTGCCGACTTTTGCACTTTGCCATTGTAGTAGATGTCGCTCCGCGCGGGAAGTTGGGAACGCAGCTTTGCGAGTGCTTCCTCCAGCTTCTGGCGCTCGGGAGAGCCTCTTGTGTATGTAGGCTGCAGTTCGCGTCAGTTGGATTGTGAACTTTACACTGAGGATTCACTTACATTTGGCTCATTTCGAGGGGCGGGCAGACTGAACGGAACGGTTGCCAAGCTCCGTTGTTGAAGACGGAGTCGGGTGGTTGCAATGGTGCGGGGATTCCTCAGCGCTGGCCGCCGAACCGCGGTCGACGAGAGCTTCCAAGTAACAGCCATCGTGCGATTGGAAGAATTTACATAAACGAGGCAAAAAGCAAAGAAACGACGGCTTCAAAGATGCAAGAGGTCATTCGTTTTGTTAGAGTCGCCAGGAGCTTGCCCCGCATGGATATGAGATCACCGGCACAGCGTTGACGGCGACTGGGCCCGGGAGCGCTCCCGAAGGAAGCAGATACACGTCTATCCCACGATATTCCCCACTCCAGCATCGCATTCCATTTCCGAAAGTAATAGATTTGGTAAGTAGTTGGTATGGCACGCCCGGGAACACGTCCGGAGGTTGCCAGCATAATGCTCAATCGAGAGGCAGCGCAATGCCGCTGGAGGAAGATAGTTCAAACCGGCATCATGGCGCAAAGGGAAAACGAAGGCTTCATGAGCAAATACGATGACCTCTACGGTCGTCGAAAAGGCGTCAGGGGCAAGTTGTTTAGAGACCTGTTCGCGGCGGCCGTCGCGGCGACGTTGGTCGCGCCCTCGGTGACGCTCATCGACAGGCAAGTACTTCGGCAGCACTTTGAGCTCCGCTGGACTCAGCCATTAGGGTCGTCGTCTAAAAAGCATCAAGCAACAAACCGCTCCTTCGCGGCCTCCGCGCACACAGCCTCGCCGCCCTGGAGCGACCAGGAACACTCTTCCTCGCCCGCCCCTTCACCTCCGTCTGGACCCTCTACGCCGCGACGTACGCGATGGCCAACAGTGCCGACACAGTGATGCGGGACTTCGGCCTCGCCGCAGCCGGTACCGTCACGTTTATCTCCACCCTCGCGGTTAACATCCCGCTCGGCATACGAAAGGATCTGCGGTTCGCGCAGTGCTACGGGAGCGCTGCCGAACTCGCAGCAAAGAGCACTATCAAGCAGGGGACCCGCCGCCCCGCAATCCCAAAAGCGGCCATGCCGACGTTCCTGATTCGCGACACCCTGGCCATCTTCGGGTCGTTTGTGGTGCCGCCGCGGGTCGCCAGCGCCATTCCCGACGAGCTGGCGGGCCCGCACGCCAAGGCTACTCTCACGCAGATGACGGTGCCCGTCGTGTCGCAGATGGTAGCGACTCCGGTGCGCCTGCTCAGCCTGAGTCTGTACGACTGATCTGGGAATGTCCTGTTGGTAGAAAGCCTGGCGGGGATCTGGAGGGTGCTGCCGACGGCGACGGCGGTGCGGTGCGTGAGGATCATCCCGGCGTTTGGGCTGGGGTTGCTCGGGAACAGAGAACCGAGGTGGTTTTGTCATGGCAAGGTTGATGGGGTGTAGACTGGGTATTGCAGACCCTAGGTTGTGTTTTGCAGCGGACGAATGATGGGATATAGACTTCTCGATATGCACGCACGCCGCACTAACCCGACGACTCCCAAACCAACCCACCCCCAACACCCTCCACCAAACCACCCCCACCCCACCCTCCCTCCCATTCCCCTACTACCTCACCGTATCATTCACATGCCCCGCCCCCCCCTCCCTCCCCATCAACCTCGCCACCGTCACCGCCTCCCTCAACGCCCTCCCCACCGTCCCCCTCACGCCCCCCTCCTCCATCACCATCAACCCGCCAATCGTGCATCCCTCAGGCGACGTCCCGCGGTCCTTCAACACCCCGGGGTGCACGCCGTCATTCAGCATCGCCGCGGTCCCGGCCATCGCCTGGAAGATCATGGCGCTCGCCTGGTCGCGGGGCACGCCGACCGCCACCCCGGCGTCGACCAGGGCGTCGCAGATGACGGCGAAGAAGGCGGGCGTGGAGCCGGCGAGCGCGGTCGCGGCGTCCATGTGGCGCGGCGCGACGCGCAGCGTGCGGCCGACGCGGGAGAAGATGGCGGTGGTGAGGTCGAGGTGCGTGGCGTGGTTGGCGGCGGCGGCGGCGGCGGCGTCGTCATCGACTTCGATGGCCGTCAGCCCCGCGGCTGCGAGGGCGGCGATGTTGGGCAGCGTGCGGATGATCCAGGCGCGGTTCTCGGCGCGGCGATTGGCGGCGGTCGTCGCGGTGCCGTAGAGGGTCGTTTCGAGCGCGGGGCGCGTCCAGCCGGCGGCGACGCTGATGAGGAGTTTGCCGGCGAGGGCGTCGCGCAGGCCCGGGGCGGCGAGGAGGCTGGGGATGTCGGCGGGGTCGGCGGCGAGGATGATGACGGAGGCGGATTGCACGGCGGCGGTGTTGGAGCCCCGGGAGATGGTGAGGTTTTGCGGTGGGGAAGGGAAGCGGTGCTTTAGGGCTTGCTCCGACTTCTCGCTGCGCACGCAGGCGATGAAGTTCGTGAAGGGGAGCGGGTCGGCATTGCTTGGGGTGGGCTCGATGAGGTTGGTGAGGATGGCGGTGCCTAGGTTGCCTGTGGAGTGGGTGGTTTGTGAGTGGAGGTTTGGGTGGGCGGTCGGCAAGCTTACCGCAGCCCAATATGCAGAGGGTGGTTGCGTCTTCCAATTCGGACATGGCGGGGTTGGAATGAACAGATGCAGGGAATGTTCAATTGACAAACTTGGGTTCAGGTGTCCATCACTAAAGTAAATACTCGACCAACCCACGGCGTTCACGTGCATCCCCGACGTCACTTATCGTGACCGGCATCACTCCCGAACCACCACTGACTTGCCCCGCCATCGTCATCACCTACCTGCCCCTCCAATCAACCTACTTAGCGCCAGCAAACCATCTCCCCGGCGCGCGCAACACCACCCCCAGCCTCCTCCCCACCTCCCTCTTCAACGCCGCGTACTCCTCCTTCGTCCTCCCCGCCGCATCCCGATTCTCCACCGCCCTCCTCGTCAGATACGCCAAACACTCCCCCAAGCTCCCCCACGTCGAGCACTTATACACCTCCGGCCCCCTCCCCTCCCCATCCCTCCTCCGCACGAGCCCGAAACTCACCCCATCCGCCATGCCGTGCAGCTGCGCGAATGCCACCGGCACCGTCGGCAGCTCCCCCGCCACGCGCTCCGCATGCAGCGCGTGAGCCGCCCGCAAGCTTTTCTCATTGTGCCCCGCAAGCAAGAGATCCACGCTGGGGAAAGGCCGCGAGCCAGCGCCCTCGCCGCCGAAATCCCCGATGCGGCACCGCAGCGCGCCCTGCGCGATGCCGTCGTACGCGGCGTCCGTGTCCTGCTTCGAGTCGCAGATGAGGCGGCGCTCGTCGCTCGCCATGTACGCGCCGCGCACCAGCTTCAGGCCCAGCGTGAAGCCCTCGTCTTGCGCGGCGCCCAGGTGCGCCGCCAGCCGCGCCGGCGTCGATTTGAGGTAGGCTTGGTAGGTGTTGTAGACGAGGGCGGGCGCCGGGCCCCCGGCGCTGCGGTTGCGGTTGTGCTCGCGCATGAGGTGCAGGCCGACGCGCTCGATGCCCGCTTGGAAGCGCTGCGATTCGGCGTCGATGATGACGCGGGCGCCGCGGGCGCGCGCGCGCTGGCAGATTTCGCGGAGGGCGGAGAGCAGTTGCCGCGGTGGCGGGGCGCCTGTGTGGAGGCGGCTTGTTGCAAGGGGGCCGGCGCCGGTGAGTCTGTGTGGTCGGAGGGAGGTTAATGCCGTTTTTCCTTTTTCCTGTTGGGCATATTGGGTAGACGTACTTGAGGGCCAGCTGGTCGCCTTCTTCCAGCAGGTCGACTGTCTCGAGCGTGCCCTCCCGCCATGCGGCGATTTCCTCGCACCAGGCAGGTTCACCGTCCTCTTTCGACGCAATGCCCATGCCGTGTTCTGTGTTGGTACGGTGATCGAACACTGTCTCTTTTGCGTACGTCAGTATGGTGCCGCGGAACCCGATTTCTCGCAGCCGCCGCATCGTCTGCGTCACCTCGCCACCTGTCTCGCCTGCGCAGAATTGCTTATAGAATGTTGCCTTGAGGAGCGAGTGGAGCAAGGGGTTGCGGTCCACGTTGAGGACCCAACTCCTGCTAGGCTTGCTGAGCGCCGAGAGAATGGCAAGGGAAGGACTGAGTAAGAATGGTTTGGACGAGATGGCGTTGATGAAGACTGATCTGAGGAGCATGCTTGTGGGCAATGCCGACAGCGGCGGCAGTGCTGCAGGGTCGACCTCTGTGCAGTTTTGCTTGCTAGCATCTTTTTGCTGCTGCGAGATGGAACCACGACGCTCCGTGCTGATTGTTGTGATTTTCCGGGTGCTTCTGCATGTTCTTTGTTGTTGTGTGCTTTGGATCCTCCATGCTGTGGTAGCGGGAGTCCTTCGAACGATCGTATAGGCCATTGCTCGGGAGGAATCAAATGAAATTCTGGATACCATCAAGCCCGTTGGTGACACTGTACTGGCAACATAAAGCTACCACGCCGGAAGTTAGATAGCACAACCGAGACATGTGGCAGTCCTTCCCCGCATTTCGTATCAACTCGAGATGCATCGGTCGCCTTCCCGATATCAAATGTAGGGCGGTATTTGGGGCGTCGGATACCTTCCGGTTAAAGCTAATCACCTCCAGGACACCAGGACGGCCAATAGGGATTAGTACCGGAGATACGGTCGAAATCCCACCTTGCATGGGATTGTTATACGTATAGAGTACTTTTTTCCCGTCGGTCGCCCCACCGCTGTGGCCTCCAACAGCTCATCTGGCCTGCTTATAGTATATCTCCGCTTAATAACGTTGATAAAAAAAGGTATACTTAGTAGTATCCGTTTGAAAAAACTTAATAGACTGCGTGGTAAAGAGCTAGTGTTCTTTAAGAATACTATACCCTTAACACTGGGTAGTCTGCCTCAATCTCCGGCGGGCGCAAATTTCTGTCCACCGCCAGCTAGTAGTCGTGGATATTGACCGACAACTGACCGTCACCCAGACCATCAACACCGGAGGCCTACCCAGCGCCGGCCCGCGCCTGTTTCCGACGGAGCTCCCGGCGGAGCTGGAGCGTGGGGTGGCAGCGTTAAGCCCTTTGAGGAACTTCTACTTTAAATACAACTCTTTTCCGATACCCTACATTTATCCCAGATCCATAAAGACATGACCAAATCTAACTGCATCCCCAAGCAATCACCCCGTGTCATCATTCTTCCCACTTCCAATCCGGGGCCATCACACATTCCAACTCAGTCATACTTTGCCACCCCAACCTTCACAAGAACAATAAACCACTCAGCCATTCCCATTCCTCTCCTCTACAAAACTATGGAATATGCCGCTTACAGAAGCTCAATGTAACATACATCACCGTCAACGTCGGACAGCTGTAGTCGAGTATGCATATCAGGCAAAGTATAACCAACGTACGGGCTCGATGATGCATAGACGGTTCACCGCTCTACCGTCTTCACTTCAAGTTAAGCTTTGTGGGCTGTTGCGAGCATGACTTCCTTGGAATTTGGTGCCGCTTCCCATGAAAGGCATTTTCGAGTAAGAAGCCACTAAAAGCGGTGACACTTGCGAATCCCTCGCAGAATTCGTATTACGGTAATGGCAACCTGGCATACAAACTACGACATTAAGCCAACGCTAGGTATGCACAGCAACTCAAGAGACCTCCTCCAGCCCCGTCGCCACATCGAGCCCATGAATGGTCCTGTTAAAGAACTCCAACATGGCGCGCGGCTGGTACGTCTGAACCATATGACCAGCATCATAGACCCGCAAAAAGGCGAGATTGCCATTCTGCCTCGCCTGGCCATGCTCTTCCCCATCGACCACAAACGGCGTATACTCCGTCGCCGCAAAGTCCTCCGCGCCGGTATAGTTGACCGCCAGCGACACAGCCCTACGACAACCCAAAAGTCAGCAATCCGTCCACAACCGGAGATTAGAGAACGAAACAAAAAAAAAAGGAGAGAGAGAGGGGGAAAAGAAAAAGAAGCCCACTCACTCCCCACCCAGCCAATTACACGCATAATCCGCATCGCCACTAAACACCAACACACTCACGCCCCCCTCGACCAGCTCCCCCACCGCCTCCAAAAAACCCCCCAACACCCCATCCCCGGACTGAAAAAACGCATACGTCACCGCCGAGCTCTCCGCCGAATAATTGCTCGCCCCCACCCCCAACGCCTCGCGCACCGCCTCGCCATTCAAAAACGCCTGCACCCCCGCCTCCACCGCGTCGAACGACGCCGCCCCGCCCTCCTCCACCCGCACGTCGAACCGGTCCCGCCCGCTGACGGCGCGGTACGGGCCCTCGACGCCGTCGAAGCAGGCGTGCCACGCCTCGGCGCAGACGGCGTCGCGGGCGGCGGTGCGCGGGTAGAGGGCCTGCAGGGCGCGGCAGCCGGACGTCTGCGCGAGGCAGCCGGTGCGCGGGGCGTGCAGGGAGAATTGGGCCGCGGCGTGGACGGAGGCGTTGTAGGCGGTGATGTTGTAGGGGTTGCTGGTGGCGAAGCGGGGGAAGAAGGGGGCTTGGATGGCGGCGTCGATGTAGGCGTTGCCGAGCTGTTTTGGAGGGCGATGCGTGTGTGAGGTTAGTCGGGGGCTGGATTCTGGGCGGGGGGTTGATGGGGTGGGGGTGGGGTGGTGACTTACGCCGAGGGATTTGAGGTCGAGGTGGGTGCCGTTGATGTTGCCGGCTTCGATCTCGGCGTTTTGGTCTTGGAAGTGCTTCATGATTGCGGGTCTGTGACGGGGGTGGTTAGCAGGTCTTGATGGAGTGCGCGAATGCAGCGGTTTTTCGGAGAGCCGAACCCGTAGTGGCCCCTGTTGTATGTGTTAGCCGCCAGAGAAGTAGACAGCGTCTTCTCGTCCTTGAGATTACTCACCCATAGCTCACTGTCCAGAGATGGAACTCTTTGGATTTGATCTTGGGATTCAGGGTCGGCAGCGCGCTGTAGAACGCCTGAACGTAATCCCAAGCAGCAACAGCTGCATCTTCGCTTGTGTCGATGGCGGTAGTCTCGTTGATGACCGGCCAGACTCCCGTCACGTTTGCCAGGTCAGCGCTGAGAAATTGACCCGTATACTCATCGAGAGAGCCTTCTTGGAGATCGGCATAGGAGAAGCCGGTGCCGATGGGCTGAGAAAGGTAGAGCACGTTGGAAACGTTGGTCCAGCTCAGTGGATTGATTTCCGTTGTACCGTTCTCGGTGAGTGCACATGGGCCGAAACCTGCATGGACGTTGGTGTCTTGCTCCAAGGCTCACAGACTCTGAATGATTTCTTTACCTGTGAACACGCCAACGAGGGAGTCAGATCCAGGCCCGCCGTTGATCCAGACGGTGATTGGATCATTTGCCGGGTCGTTTCTGGACTCGAAAAACCAGAAAAAGGTGTGGCGGGTGGGGGAGGTATCGATGAAGCCAGAGTATCTGCGAATACAGTCAGTCAAGTACTTGGAACAAGCGAGCACTTAGTAGCATACGAATTCACTCCAGGAGTGGTCTCGCAGAGGCCATCTTTGCTTGGCTCTTTGTAGCGAATCGTGGCTCCGTTGGGGGCCGTGATTGTGGTGACGCCACTCGGTTCCCGGGGACTAAGCGCTACGACAAAGTCAATGGAAGCAATCAGGCCGAAAACAACGGGGGACCACATGTTCAAGTAATTTGCGGTTGTCTTTACATGTTCGGTGCAACCGTAGAATTATATACAAGCTTGCTTACCGTGTGGGATCGGGAACCTTGCATGTTCTGGATCCTTGGGGTGAGGCGCAGTAGGATCAAGCTTGTACAGCACCACCTGAGTTGTCAAGACGTGGCGCAGTGGGATTAAAAACCTTGCACGAAGGTCTGTGCGAAAAGCTTCCTAGGCTGGTCCATGAAGATAAGAGTTTGCATCGTGTTGGTGGCGTTCGACTGCCGAATGTCTGTTAAAGACAACAGACTAAACGGGGCACGGGCTCACCGCTTGCAAGAACTGTTGCCTACCCTCACCGCACCACGGCAACCTCAAAGCCAGATGTCAAAAGGTCACAGTGATGTATGAGATTCAAATATTCATGCACAGGGGCATTGCAATGATACAGTGTTGTAGAGGAGGTTGCTCATCGGTGCACAACCGTCGGGAACTGCCTCCGGTAATATTATTGAATATCCGCACTCCACACCATGCGCAGACGAAAGCGTGTAATGATTGGGCTTACTTGCGGCTGCAGGACTTTGTGGCGTTGCTTATGTCTGCATAGAGACCCCAATACGCTAGAGAGCGCTTACCACAGATGGCGTGGTTTGGCGCCCTACCACTGACCTTTGATTCAGTTTCTTTCCCCCCCATAAAAATCTCACTCTCTTGGATCCTCCAAGGCTCTTGTCGGCACTTGCCGGAACAACTATGTTGTCTGCCTAGTAGGATGGCCTTAACGTCGGGTCACGGACCTGGCTCCGCGCGGTCATCCCCACCGAACAAATATTCCTCGGCAAAAGTACGTCTGCTATTGACATGTTCATCTTCACAACGGCCCTGTTATCCGCGATTCGTGTTGGAAGTAGCCCGTCTCTTCGCGCATTCATTAGCCAGAATGGGCTTTACCTGTCCAAAACACATACCTCCAATAATCCGGAACTCAGATACACTAGACACTGAATACGTAAGGGAGCCAGATGAACAATGGCGATGCAGTCCTCCACGGGTGGGAAAAAGAGGATGGTACATCGAAATGTTCTGTTAAGCACGGCTGACGGCCATGGTCGTATTCCATTGGAGCTGAGAAAGGGACAGTGCGCAAGCTGAACCACCGAAAGATTTTTTTTCATCAAAGACTACCGCGGCATGGCTAGGCGATATTTGGTGCCTGAGCGGCAAGCTGGTTGGCTCTTTACACAACGAAAGCATGGCCATGAAGAACTGTTTAGTAGGAGCGGCTGAGAGCCGTACTGATTGGGCATCCCATCCAACCATCTGAGTGTACCTCTTCCACCGGCCTGACGCAAATGGCAGCACCAGAGAAACAATAACCGAAAACGAGCATTGAAATGAAGACAGACTTGACCGAATTTGCCTTGAGCAAAAAACAAAAAAGGCTTTGAAGTTTTGAACAATAGACCACCTCCACTGACCTTTCATAATCTCTTTACTCTGCATCAGCCCTGACGAAGCTCCCTCGAGACATGCTTGGTGATAGCCGGGCTCCAACTCCGGGCTTCATACGCATCCCACCACCACGAGTGCGTCACATAATCCGGATCGTCCGGACTCAGGACGAAGCTCCACGGCTTGTTGATAATGTACTACAAGCACGTCAGCGCCGTCCACGCCGTCAAAAAGCGAGCTGACAAAAGAAAGAAGAGAAAAAAAAAAAAACAAGAACAGATACACTCACATGCACACACCGCACCTCCCCATCCCTCCACACCGCCGCATGCGTCCCCCGCAACTTCTTCAACGCGTTGTAAAACCACGGCAGCGGCGTCCATCTACCACATCCATCCCCATCCTCCCCACCAAAAAAGTCGGCGAGAAAGTCCTGGTCGGGGAAGCGGTAGGCGCGCACGCGGGGGTCGGTGGCGATGGCGCGCTCCATGGCGGCCATGCGCGCGCGGGAGGGGTGCAGGACCACGAGGCCGGAGTTGAGGAGGCGGTGGGTGCGCGGCGAGGACGGGGCGAGCGGGGTGGGATGCGTGAGGGCGGCGGGGTGGGTTTGCGGGGTGAAGGCGCAGTTGGCGGGGGTCCTGTTTTGATACTTTGTTGTGAGCCTTTCTTTTTCTTCTTCTTCTTCTTTTTTGCTTGGATGATGGACTACTGTACCAGTCGTCTGGATATGTCGATATCCTGTTCGGGTTGCAGGTGCAGGCGAAGCCGGCGGCGATGGCGTCGCGGCGCAGCGGCATGTCGAACAGCTCGTCCATGTTGCGGCGGACGAGCATGTCCGAGTCGACCAGGACCGCTCTGTCGTACTCGGCCAGGCCGAAGGCGCGCAGCTTGGTCCAGGTGCCGCCGAAGTGGTCAAAGGCCATGTGCGCGGGCTGCTGGTCGGGAGCCGGCGTCAGCGGGTCCACCACGCGCAGCCGGCATCCCAGCTCCGCTATCGTCTGCCGCAGGCCTTCGCCCGCGTCGGGCGTGACCATGGCTACCAGCGGGTACTCGGACGCCCACGGGGAGCGGAGCAGGGACTCGGAGAAGACGGCCAGCCCCGGGAGATACTTCTCGCCCGTGATCAGCGTGACCCAGCATTTGTTCGTTGGCGGAGCTGGCTCCATCTTCGGGTGCTCGCGGTGAGGAAGCTGGAGTTGGTACATCTGGGTGTGGCTTTGATATATATTGCTGCTTACGCCTGAGGCTGAACCCATGTGATCGTCGTCCAAGGCTTCCCGATGCTCTCCACAGTCGGTCACGGTGCCGGCTCCGCGCGCATCTGCCATCAAGCATGTAGCCGCATCTTGGAGCTGAGTGCTCGACGTATCAACATGCTCTAGCTTTCAGGCGGCGCCTCAGGCTTCGGCTAATTTGTCCACGAAGAGGAGATCGACCCGATGTACGACAAAAGAAAAAGCAGTTCGGAAAGGGACCCACTCGCTCCAGCAAATAAGCAGCCGGCGATCACCGCACACAGATCAAAGGGCTGACTCAACAGCCCTTTACCTGTGAAAGAACTACTAATAATGAGGGGCCTGACTGACGAGAGCCCGTACTTTAACTTCGACTTTGGTTTAACACTCGCGGCTAGGTTCCCTTCAAACACAGCAAGCTCCCGAAGGTGTTGCGAGGCCGCCATTTGCACGTTGACGCGACTCAGATTCTTTTGCATGTTCGCCAGCAGCACCTCTATCTTCCAGATCTCTTCCAAAAGGGTATTGGTAGTCTGAAGAGTACCAGATGAAGAAGCATGGATCCGCAATTGATCTACATGCAGCATCCACTTAACGCTGAATGGCAGGTATACTGACATCAAAGCATATGCTCGAGCAGACGAGGATCGGCCAAGCAAGCTGCCGACAAGTTTCAATTCTGAGCCTGAGACATCCTTCTCTAGCACGAGACAAAGGGACTCCAAAACTGAAAGAAGCAGAACCCATCCATATTTTCGTATCCGACAAATAAGATATAAAAAAATAAAAATATAAAAAAGACTGCACAGCAAGTCTGGGTATCCCACATCCACCACCAAACCCCTCCGCTTTCCTTTTCGTTCAAAAGTGCTCCTTCCAAAACCTGAAATTCACATCCGAGCTCGAGCTCTCCTTGCACGCCTTCTTGATATCCCTCGCCGCGACCGTCGGCCCGCAGAAATACACGCCCACCGTCGTCTTCAAGCTGCTCTCCAAGCCGGGCATGAACTCGGGGCCCTGGCTGGTCGTGATGCCGTCCCTCAGCCCGCCCAAGAACTTGTAAAAGTCCGGCCGGCCGAAATTGGTGCGGCCCTTGAGCTGGGTCAGCGGGTCCATGTCGGTGCCGACCGAGTTGAGGACGATGTTGTTCGCGGTGTCGGCGTCGATCTTCTGGGTGAGGTAGATGTGGATGTTGAGGAAGGCGCCGGCGCCGTCGAGCTGCTCCATGCTGGCGAGCAGCGCCTGGAACCACTCGAACGCGCGCGTGTCCTTGCAGATCCACACGAACTCGACGCGGCGCAGCCGCTTGAGCGCGCCGCGCGTGCGCTCGTGGTAGATGTTTTTCAGCACGCTCGCCCACGGCGTCACGCCGATGCCGGTGCCGATCAGCACCGCGATCTCGTTCTCGAAGACGTCCTCGGCGGGGGCGCCGTAGGGGCCGTCGACGCGGATCGGCGGCATCTCCTGGCCCGCCTGCAGCGCGACCTCGTAGATGCCCATGGGGTCGATGCCGTCGTAGAAGTCGGCCTGGGCGGGGCCGGCGCCGACGGCGTTGGCGAAGTCGCGGGTCCAGTCGCCGACGTGCTTCATGTGCACCGACACGTACGGGTCGTACGGGCACGACGTGATGGTGAAGGGGTGCCACTGCTGCGGCGACACGCTGGGGCAGTTGAGGAACAGCCACTGGCCGGCGCGGTACTTGAACGACGGCTTGACGAACTGCACCTCGACCGCCTCGTACGGGTGCCGCACGATCTTGACGATCTTGGTGTCGCGCCGCGCCCGCACCTCGCGGTATAGCCGCTCGATCAGGTACAGGCCGCCGCCGACGAGCTCCCACCGCCACCCCTCGTACCCGAGGCAGTGGTTCCAGAAGGCGCTGCCCGCGAACGGCGAGATGGGGTCCGTCGTGTCGCGGACGAAGCAGCCCGTGGCGTGCGTGTACATGCCGAGGAGGAAGGGGATGAAGAGGTGGTGCGTGTACCAGAACGTCTCGAACGACTGCTGGCGGATGCGGGCGTGGGCGGTGGTGTAGATGAGCATCATGCAGAGGAGCATGACGTGTCCGGTTACCCCGCCCGCTTGGGTGTAGTGGATTTGCAGGGCGAGCTCGGGGCGGACCTGGGTGGCCTCGACGTTGAAGAAGCTGATGGGGCATCGTCAGTCCTTGGGCCTTTTGTTTCCCGGGGCTAGATAAAAGATGATGATGGAACTCACTTTACGTAGTGCCCGCACGTGTGCACAATGGTCCAGAAGAGCATGCTGTACGCGACTTGGCGGTGGAACCAGATGGATTCATCCAGAGGCAGCCAGCGGATCTTGGGGCGGACCAGGCGCAGGAGAGTCCGGCACATGGGCAGCACGATGAGCATCGTGTCGAGAGACAGCACGAGGCCGGCGCCGCGGGAGATCCACACGGACCATTTGAGCAAGTTCAGCGCGGCCAAGCGCTCGTCGGTGGCTTGCTTGTACCTATCGAGGGTGGCGTAAGCAAGCGCGCGGCATATGTGGGGGTGCAATTGCTGCTGACCAGCCATAGGCGAACATGAAGATGTGCAGGCCGTAGAAGAAGAAGTAGAAGACGAGCTTTCGCGGCTCCAAGAGAGCCTTCCACCGGATCGGCGCGCCCATGCTGCCGGGGTCGGGGATGCAGCGGCCGCGCAACGGCCAAGAGCGGGGAGAAGGAGTCGACGGCCGTAAAAGTCGACAAAGAGTCGTCTTCGTCGAGGCAGCGGCAAAGTGGACGGAGAGTGGCAAAGGAAAGGCGAAACGGTAGCGAACGACCAGCGAACTATACTGCACGGGGATTCCAATAAGGCGGATGGCGGGCGGCGGCGACCGAGTTAAAGGCGCGGGTGGTGGGGGGAGCGACAGGGGCGGATGTGCGACATGGAGTTGCGGTTCGTTGCCATGCAGCGGCAGAGTTTCTGGGGCCGGGTCTGAGCAGGACCGCCTTGGGTTTAAAGCAACGGGCGGCAGGGCTGATGGATCGCGTGATGGTCGACCGACAGTTCGAAGGCTTCTCGCCGGTTACGAGGCGTTCCTAAACGCAGCATGTGCGAGGAGCCGTTGAATGGGCGAGGTTGGAGTCGGGCGCTTAAATATGTGGCACACGACGCGTCGCAGCCTCGTGGTTGGCCCTGTTGCCCCGGCCCAAACCGCGACCGACGTGTTCGTCCGTGTTCGTTCGCCCCGCCTGTCATTGGCTGCCCGTGCCCATCAACCCTCTTCGCCGCCTGCTTCCACCCAGCGGCTGGGATCCCTTCCCGGCGAGCATCTCGCCATCCTCTCCTCGGCACGTCGTGATCCCGACAACCCGTCTTCTGACACCTGCGTCGAGCCAGAGGCGGCGCTGTTCTTCACTTTAATCTGTGCGTCTCGACACGCTTCGCGAACATCGTACGATCCACAAATTCCACTGAACCGTCACGTGCGGCCGGGGATCGCAGAAGGTCGCCCTTCTGCACGTCAGCCAGACAATCACTATCACTATCCCCTACATCAAGGTGGTGTGCACGAGTCTGCTTGCTGCCTTGCCTCTTTCGCTGCTGTTTTCTGAGCCTGTGTGGCTCACCATTGTACCCCTTTAGTCTACACAAAACCACATTAACTCCTCGACGACACAACGTCGACGAACAACGGAAATTCGTTGAACACTTGCTTGCTCACGCCTTTCCCGCCATTCCCATATATATATATACACACACACACCCGTCTTCGGTACGACGACGACGACGACGACGACGACCCTCTCAACCGCCGATCCTCCCCTTCAACGTCTTCATCAACACCCCAAACTTGATCGGCTTCGTCATGAACACGTCCGCCCCCGCGTGCATCGCCTCGAACCGCGCCGTCGCGCTCCCCAGCCCAGTGATGACGATGATCTGCACCCGGCCGTGTGCCGCCAGCACCGAGGCTGTTGCCGGGCCCGTGCCTGTCCCTGTGCCCGTGGCTTTCGGCGTTGGCGTTTCAAGCACCGCCGATGGCGACTCGGCTGAGAAGGATGAGTGAGGCGGGGAGGAGGAGGAGGAGCCAATGGATGCCGAGGCTTCCTTGTCGGACGGCTGCGACCGGCTGGGCAACGAGGAGCGGGGGGAGGACGACGACGGGATTCCCCGTGGGACCTCGCTCTCCTGACCGTCTTCGCCCCGTTCCTTCTCTTCCGAGTCGCGAGTGTCGTCGTCCGGCTCCGCTGCGGGACGGAGCGGGACAGACGGTGCCATAGATGCACCATACCTAGTTGATTCTGCCGGCGGCGGCTTGCCTTGGCCTTGTTCTTCTGTCTCCTCCTTCTCCTCCTTCTCCTCCTTCTCCCCCTTCTCCTCCTCACGCGGGAACGGGAACCCATCCGGGAGCATCGAAGAAGGCGCACCAACGATGCCGTTGTCCGGCATCTGCGGTGCCGGTAAAGCCGGCGACGACACATCCGGCGGCGGCGCCCCCGCCGCGCCCTTGCTCCACCTCTTGACAGCCTCCTTCGACTCGTCTTTCGCCGACCGCTTCGTCGCCGGCGACTTCTTGGCATCGCCGTCATCCGAGCCCCCGCCATAGACAAAGGCCGATGGGGTCATGGCGCCGGGTTGGCCGCTGCTGTTGTTCTGTATGACTCGCCGCTCCCACGCCCTGATCTCTTGCGTCGCCGTCACCCCGTCCATGACCGGCATGCTGATGTCCATCAGTATCGCCGCCCACCGCGCCGGCTGCTTCTTGAACATGTTCAGCGCCTCGAGGCCATTGAGCGCCGACGTGTGGCGGTGGAAGCCGGCTTTGGTGAGGAAGGCCGAGAGGAGGCGGAGGTTGAGCGGGTTGTCGTCGACGATTAGGATTTCCTTGCTGCTTCTGCTACGGTGACGAAGAGACAGTGTGAACGAGGAGGGGTCGGATGCAGCTGCTTCGGAGGAGGACGCTGGCGGTGGGGCCGAGGTGGCGGCGAGGAGGGATTTCTGCTTGCCCACCATCTCATTGTGCATACGGTGGTGGTAGATGTGCGAGGATCGAGACGACGATGGTGGGGTGACGGCGCCTAGTGACGAGTCGCTCGACACGCTTTCCGACGGCTTTAGGGAATACGGAGGCTGCGATGGTTCGTGGACGGAGCCCTTGGGTGTCTGCTGCGGGATTGTTTCCAGGTCATTGCTCTTCTGAGCGGCTCTTGCAGAGCTGGGTGATGGGCAATGTAGTAGGCTAGACATGACCGTGGTCCCCACGCCGGGTCTCGGTGATTTTGAAATGTCCGGCCGGAGTGGAGCATTGGACTCCGGGTCAAGACGAGACATGTACCGATCAAGGATCCTGGCGAGCTTGGACGGACCACAGCTGAGGACATGTCAGCATATCTGATACAACATCTTTTGTGCAGGAAAAACGCCATGGTGACTTTACGGCTGCGTGACCACTTCGATCCAGCCGCTCTTGATTCGAGGATCAGTCCTCAAAGTTGCGGCTTCGACGCCATCTATAGCGACAATCACAGTAACGCCCCTCCTCTTCCCCGCTTTGTACAGGGCGTGGAAACTGGGTCCAGGATAGATCACGAGTCGGCTGCTGGCGTCGTCGCTATCGCGTGAATTGGCCACGTTCACTCCGAACCATGCCTTCAAGCTGTCAGTCAAGCAATCGTGAAACTGGCGCTCGCTTGCGCGTAGAACATCCCGCGTTTCCTCGCCCTCGAGGATCCTGTCCTTGATGACAGTGACGTTTCTGCCACGTGCTCGGGTTGTTACGGAATCCTCGAAGTCGTCATCTGCGATAGCTACACGGCTGGGGAGAACCATGCGGATTTGAACCGTAGTGCCGGACTGGACTTTGCTCTTTACTGTAATCTCGCCGCCGAGGCTCTGGACAAGACGCTGCACGATGCTCATACCAAGACCCGTGCCGGCTGAAAAGGAGTTTTCTTGGGAGAATGGCTTGAAGAGTCCATCCTGCACGTACTTGGATGACATTCCTACGCCAGAGTCCGTTATGGTCAAGAGCAGTTCGCTCTCGGACTCGCCGACATCGTTGGCTGAGAGAGCTACGCGGACAAAGCCGGTTTCGGTGAAACGAAGCGCGTTGCCAAATACATTCATGAGAATGCGGCGCCAGATGCCGGGCTGTATCGCGAATGCCCACGAGTGGCGGTTCGGAAGATCGAGAACGACACGGACGGGCTTGCGGCCTGATTTCGACCGGGGACTGGCCGAGGTCGGAGGGTCTGAGAAATAGTCTTCGTCGTCGTTGGGTTGAGGGGTTGAAAAGTTGTAGGATTGACCGGCAAAAATGGCTTCGACGGTTTCCTCGGTCAATCGCCGTAGATCGACGGTAGGGTTGCTGCCAATGGGCCCGATGGACGAGCGGCGCAGGCGCAGGGCGGCAGAAGTTGCGCTCTTGGCATATGGCCCTGTGAATTCGTTGATCTTTGAGTACTCGAGCACGTTCTGGACAGTGTCAAGCAGGGTGCGGCCGCACATGGCAATTGAGTAGACGACGTTGGCTTGGAATGTGTCGAGCCGCATGCTCTGTAGATATTCGGCCGCTCCCAGAATGCCGTGTAGTGGCGATCGCAGCTCGTGTGACATGGACTCGATGAAGGTTGTTCTGGCCTTGTCCACGGCAGCCGCATCTATCCGGCCCATTTCCGCCATGATGCTATGACCAAAAGCACGGAGGAAGAGGAGATCGGATCCGTATGTGAGCTCCCGTCTGGGATCCGTAACCCAGCACAGACAGCCGGCGAACCAGCGCTGGCGGTTGTAGTCCCACAGAGGTATGATCGCAGCGCTGCGGGCATTATGGGCGACGTCGATGATGGCATCCACCGCCGTACTGCGGCGGGTTTTGCCTCTCCTGGACCGCTTCACGGGAACGTCGTCGGTGGCCTGCCTTGCGATGTTGAATATCTTGCCGTGCGGGTGTCGGGTGAGGAACTTTCGCAGGGAGGTTTCGGTCAGCATCAGATAGTCTTTCCTGATGCGGCTACCGTCGCGGCTCGAACGACTGGCATCGGCGAATCCGAGTATTTTGCAGGTGGGGATCGAAGGGCCCGACGACGTCGAGGAGAGGTTGGACCCAGAGGACTCTTCGGCAGTGCTGGTGGTGAGAGCGGTGCTGGCTTCGGCGTCGCTGTCGTCGCTCGACGTCTGGGGCGGAGTGGCTCCTGTGGGAAGGACGTTTGCCATGGAGGCGTCGAAGAAGATGACGCCGGACAGGGCGCTGGATTCGCGCATGATGTTGGCGGCACGGGAAAACATGCGCTTTGCACCAGAAGGGAGGATGGAGTCCTGTAGCGTGGGCGGGTCCTCGTCTGGAGTCGCCCCTTGTGGTTCGTCCGACGGGGGGCTCTTGTCTTGGGTTGCAGGCGTGCGAGCTGGCAGTGGCGACGCAACGGACGGGTTTTCGGGGGCACGTGGCACGTCGAGGTCGGCGGTGGCCTCCAGGTCAGCGGCACCGGTGACGAAGGAAGCCAGGCCGCGTATCATGTGCTCGGAGTTCCGATTGGTGTCGTGTGCTTTGGAGACGCCGAGATAGGAGACGACAGCAGCGGCAACGTCTTGCAGGAAAAGCAGCTCGGTTTCGGCGAGGCCGTCGCGCGGAGAGGTGTCGAAGATGGCGTAGACGCCGATGACGGAGCCGGTAGGAGCCTTGAGCGGGATGCCTGCGTAGAAGCGAAACTGCGGCGAGGCGCGCACGAAAGGACGGGCGTGGAAGCGGGCATCGAGCAGCAGGTCGTTGACGACGACAGCCGGCTCGTCCAGCACACACTCGCAGACTCCGTACTCGCGGGGGATGACGGCACTGCCCAGCCACAGAGCGTCGGCGGGGCCGGTCAAGGACATGTTCGGCGTGGCCTCAGCCAGCACGATCTGCGACTGGCTGTCGACCAGCGACACCAGGACATTGGCGGCATTGAGGCGAAGCGCGCCCAGCTGGGCCAGGGCAGTGAGTACAAGGTCCGTGGAGGGGCGCGGGACATGGGCGGAAGAAGGGTTGGAGTTGGTGCCGGGGCCGGTGTCCAGCTGGGCCCTCAGATCCGGGATGCTCAGTGAAGGCGGGTAGTAGCTGCGCGTGCGTTACTTAAGACGAAGGACGAACAAGCAAGGGTCGAAGGCAGGGCGCACAAGCAAAGATCGGATTCTCGAGCGCGCTCCGCGGCGAGACAAGACCGAGTAGCCGCGGTCATTGCTGGACGGCGGCAGCACAGCGCGAGTGAGGAGGCATGGAGCGCAGCGAGAGGCGCTTGATGAGAAGAGCGACAGGGCCACGGGTTGAAGGTGCGGAGCCAGGCGGTGGCGTGGGTGGCAAGCGGAGCGGCCAGAGGCGCTAGCCATTAGCTTCATCTGCGTGCCGCAGCACCCTCCTGCGGCCGTCGGCTAGCGCGAGAGTCGGGCTTACGAATTTTCTGCCTCTGTGGTTGAATCCGTATCGCTGGACGCCCAGAGCCCTGGTCGTCTCTGGTACAAGCAGGTCGGCGACGCATCGATCCAAACAAGAGCCGCGGCTGCTGACGGGAGCCCCGAGCTGCTGCTGGCCAGATCTGGCCCATGGGCCCCGCCATGGCCGCTTTCCCATCGCAATCGGCATCCACCCCGCCATCGAACATTGACTTTTCCATCCCGCGACCCACAGTGGCGCTGTCGCTCTGCGCCCCTCTCCGCTACCTAGGTACATCCCCACAGAACAACCGATAGGCAGCGGACGTCGCGCCATTACTCATCACGGCCGCTCCTTGCGTGCGATTACCCAGGTGCTGTCCACGCCCATCGCGTCGGCTTCTTCTCTCGTCGCAGCCACTCTGACGCGCAAACGCCACAGCTCCTCATCCGCAAGACACGTCTCGAATCCGCCGTTCGCATCGTCGACGGAGTCCTGCCATGGACTGACGTCCGACCCCAACCTGGCCTGATTGGCCGTGTTTCACCAACCGCTGGTCTCACCTCGCTCCTGGGAGTTGACCGCTGCACGTTTGATCTTTTTCGTTTGGCCATGGAAACAACCGCTGCTCTGGCGTGCGCGAGCTTCCGTACCCCATGACAAGCAGAGGCCCATAAGCTGTACACGCATCTGGCTTATGTCTTCCAGTGTTACTCGTCACGATTGCTCGTTTGTCTGCGCCATCAGGCATCCGAAAAGGGACCGGGGCTGCAGTGGTAAAAGGACTTGGACTTTCCAGCCGACCGACACGTTCGCGCCGCCTATCATATCTGCTGCCGTAGTCTCGTCATCTACCGCTTTCTTTGCGTCTCCGTCAAGGTGGAAAAGGCGGAAGAATTCCCAGTTGCGCAAGAGATGTTCCACTTCTCCAGGTACCTGCGGCGTGCGGGGAATCTGATTGGTTGCAGACATTCCCACCTGAATCTTGCCATCCGGAGAGGCCAACGTCAAAACACCTTTTATACAGATATCCAGCGAGGCAGCCAGTACTTCGTACATGCATACAAGAACCAAAACGCCGACCGTTGGAAGTCGTGGCTCGTGTATATACGCCCCATACGACATTAGCAGGAATCAGACCTTGCAAATCCTTGAACTGGCGAAACACCACCACCCACCCAAATGAGAGTTTTCCCCCCTTGGCCAAACACCACCCACATGCAAGATTGGAGAAAGAGACAGAGGGGGTGAAAGACCAGAAAAAAAAAAGAAAATCATCTCGTATCCTCCGCAAACGCCGATTTCCTCCCCACCTGCACCGTCTCTCCTGGCTGCCGCCGTTGACTCGCAGAGTCACTATAGTCCCCAGAACCCCTACCTCGCCTCCTTTCCACACTACCAATCGGACTGACCCCAACCGAGCTGTGTGCCCCACCATCGTCACCTCCTCCTCCACGACCACCACCGCTATCATTACTAAACTCCCGACGCATCCCCGGCCTCCCCGCCTCCTCCACCGGACTCAACCCACCGCCCCCCTCCTCCCTGTCCCCCTCCCCCTCCTCCCCCCTCTCCTCCTCCTGCCTCCTCCTCCACTCCTCCCTCACCGCATCCAACTCCCTCCTCCTCCTCGCCTCCACCTCCCCCTCCCCCTCCCCCTCCCCCTCTCCACCCC